CTGACTTGACAAGGGTCAGCAGTCTTCTAAATCATCTCCTGCAAGCACAGTAGGACAGCAAGTCCAAAGTCAGTGGTCAAAGTGGGGGCAGTTCTTTGCCCAAGAGGCCATTAGCATTGGTGCCCAACATTTTCTTGGGAATAGCTTGGTGCTGTCAGGAGCAAATGTGTTATGTCAACAGAGTACTAATATTAAAACATTTAAATGCCATATTCCGAAGGTCTATGAAGTGTTTGAAGACCAAAATCAATGTCTAACTAATCTCATAGATACAAGAATGTGGGTGAAAATCTGTAATTCTCAAGAACCTAGTTGTAGAAAGGCTTAAGCTTCCTAAATAATTTAGCAAGCACCAAGATTACAGCAATATAACTATATATGCATATATATATATATATATTTATGTGAATCTCTAAAACAGAGGTAGAAGTGTTTTAATCTGAGGTAGAACTGTATAGTGCAACATGATATAAATATACTAAATTCTGTCAAAATATAAAATATCTTAAACATGTAAAAGCATATCTACATAGAAGATGATAAGGATATTTGTGCATCAAACATTGTAAATAGAAAGAAAACCTTACACAGTATGACACAATGTGATATACAAATTATCCAAGAAAGGAATCCAACTTGATCTTACTTAAGTTACATCATACAAGAATCTATAACAATGTAAATTGTCTATAGGTAATAATTACTAAGGTAAATCACAAAAAGTTATATAAATCTACCTATATTCTATCCTAAGCATATCTTTCCCATCCAAACCTTAAACTTATCTAAAAGAGATACCCACGTTTGAACACCTTCCAAACCCAACCCTAAACAATAGAAAACCAACCCTAAACAGGTGTAAATTATCCCTTAGTGTAAGCAGTAGGGAAAGGGGGTGTAGTACTCTTAGAATTACTTCCTGCTGAAAGGGGAGGATCATAACCTCATGGGATGCTGTGTGAAGAAAATTTTAGAGTAAGGAAAGTCTCAAGCTGTAACATTTGTACCCAGTCTCTGCATGGCAGGAGATGCTTGACTGAAGTTCTTATCTGAAGTGCTGGCCAGAGTGTAATAAGAAGGTGCACCATCTCAGCTAGCTAGTCTGAAGTTGTCTAGAGCAATGTAATACCAAACTGGTTTTAGGTTGGTAATAGTTAGTTCAAAGGCATCAAGTTGGATCAAGTGGAATCGATAAAGTGGGGCCCCATTTTCTTTCCAGAGAGTTCAAAGATTGCTGTTAGGTAATTCTTTGTTCCCTATGGAGGACTTAAGCACTAATGTCAACACAGAAATTTCAACTTTTCTAAGTATGCATACCGGGAAAGGCAACAATAAGGAAGATAATAAATATGAGGAAAATTAGGCTTTCAGAGAAAGAACTGAGTATATAGAGAAATGACAGTCCCTAGATTTTGTTTTCTTCTGTCTTACATCAATTGGCTTCTTGATATAATACAGAAAGTTTGAATTTTATTTTAACAACATGCTTGGATTTAGAGGAGGAGAGCCAAATCCAGCTTCAAAGCCAGCATTGGTTTAAGTGAATTGGGACTAAAGGAGTACTAGGAAGTAAAGAGAAATAGATTTTTGTATAGATATAGTTAACAGAATTAGACATTGATACCGTATATCAGATTCTTTTTTGTTTGATGGTTCTTTTTGGATGGTTATCCTCTCTTCTTTAGGTATCTACACGCTCAGTGTCTTTTTGCTTTCTGGAGATGAGTTTTCCTGTTACGACAAGAACAAAACACTCCCCTTTCCTTTGTGAGGTTTCCATGCAATCCGTGGGATAGAACTTGGTAGATGACCTGTCATTTTTCCTCATCCTGAGGTTTCTCCTGTTCGAACCGAATCTTGATCAACTTTGATGGTATCCAAAGCTTTTCTTCTCCCCCAATGTAACACATGTCCTGGTTTCCATGCAGAGGTCAATACATCCTTGAAGTACAACGGCTGGTTTAGTTCAGAAGTTTTTCTATAGTCCAGTGTCTTTCTGCAGCTGTTTGTAGGTTCTGGGAACCTGAACTCTAGTCCTCACTCTGGTATAGTGAGCCCTTTATTCACTGAGGTGTTTCCCCAGCTCAGCATGCACTTTAACTATAAATGTACTAGACTTTGAGAACTTAGCACAAAAAAAAGACAATGTAAATATTAGTTCTTTATATCAATTATCAGGTAAGATGACATTTTGGATATATTGAGTAAATTACATGCAATTAATTTAACTTCTCATGTGGTTACTAGAAAATTCTTAGTTAACGTAGCCCTCCTCTTTAGCTTTGGTTGCTAGTTTCAGTTGTTTGTGTAGTCAACCGTTATCTGAAAGTCCAGTGCAGTGCAGTAACACTATGGGAGGAAAGAGCACACTCATTCAAATCTTGTAATTTGTTAAAATTGCTCCATCTTTTTATTATTTCTAATCTAACTGTGGCCTGATGTTTGGATGAGGGAAACCCCTACAGTATCTAAGGTCACCACCATCCAGGGCTTCAGGACTATTCGGAGTCACGAAATACACGCTTGTGGGTGGTACTGCACGTGGCTCACAGTTCTCTTGGGGAGAGCTGGTCTGAAGGAACGTTTCTGAGGAGGCAGTAAATACATAGCAAGAATCAATGGTTACAGTTTCCTGTTGTCTCTTTTCACATTTGGTGACTCTCCAGGAGTGTTTAGCACAGGTGGAAACGTCAAAGCCAGCACTGCTTTCTCCCAAGACACCACCACTGTAAGCAGCAGTTTCCAACCTGTGGGTCACAACCCCTTTTTGGGTCTAATGACCTGTTCACAGGGGTCACCTAACACATCAGAAATGTCAGTTATTTATATTATGATTCGTGACAGCAGCAGAATTAGTTATGAAGTAGCAATGATTTTACGGGCGGAGAGCCACAACACGAGGTGTATTAGAGTCACAGCATTAGGATGGCTGAGAACCGCTGATCTAGAGTCCAGACATGCTCATAGCTCCCAACTGCAGTGAAAGGGGAAGTTTTTGTTTTTGTTTTGAGACAGGGTCTTTCAGGGTAGCCCTGGCTGTGGCTGTCCTAGAACGCACTATGTAGACCAGGCTGGCCTACAACTCAGGCATCTCCCTACTTCTGCCTCCATTATGCCTGGCCAGGGAGGAAGGGTTTTTTTTTTTTCTTCCCATTTTTTGAGACACGGTTTCTCTGTATTGCTTTGGAGGCTGTCCAGGAACTGGCTCTGAAGACCAGGGTGGCCTCAAACTCACAGAGATCCGCCTACCCTCACCGCCGCCCCCCCCCCCCAACCACGCGTGCTGTGATTAAAGGCCTGCACCCTCAATGCCTGGTGGGAGGAAGTTCTTAATTTCAATAGTTAAGACCTTCTGGAGAAGCCATTTTCAGTACAGACAGCTTTAAGCCTGTTTTTTACTAACCTGTGGATGTTGGTGTCTAGTAGGAGGGTAGGCAGAAGGGCTAAGAGATGACTCTAGAGGAAGACAGACAAGCAGCATGGAAGTGAGGTGAAATGAGGTCTATTTCCTTTTTTCTACTGTTTCTTTGTGCAATAAATATCCCTGGCTATCCTGGAACTTGATTTGCAGAGCAGGCCTGCCTCTGCCTCCTGAGTGCTGGGATTAAGGGCACAAGCCACGAAGCCCTGCCTTAGCCTCCCCAGTGCTGGCCTTCAACTGTGCCACCACACTCAGCTTTGTTTGCCTTACTTTTACATTAGGAAACCGAAAAGTTTCTACACCCCAGTACGCCTCTCCACCATGCAGCAATCCAAATCAGACCAAATCAAACAGAATTAGAAGAAGCCCATATTTAATGGATACAATTCTCCCAGAATGGCCTTCTAGCACCCCAGAGAGGAGATGGGGTGCTAGGCCCTAAAACCACGAGTCTGTTTTCTGGGGGACAGTTTAAATATCCTGTGGGTATGGTCTTGAGCATCTCTGGGAGAGGGGTCATCATTTGGCAGGCGTTCTGAGATGCAGCAGGGTTTGGAGAGATAGGGGAGGGGGTTGAGTGGAACTTCCACCATAACATTCCAGACTCTTGGGTATATGGATATCAACTTCCACCATAACTGAAATAGTTCCCGTTTGTAAATTTGCTTCAGAGAATCGTTTTCCTACTATTACATCAAAGGATGTCTCCTAACTTCCACGCTAAGGTGATGGCTTATTTCACATCAAATCTCTAACCTAAACATAAGTTCTCAAGTCTCAAAATAGCTTGAAGAAACTGCCTCAAATTATTTTTTCTATTGATGTTTAAAAACGATACCTATACAGGGAGCCAGTAAGCTGGGTTGGTGGATAAAGGTGCTTAGTGCCGAGACTGATGACCTGAGTTTGATTTCTGACTCACATGATGGAGAGAACAAACTCCTGTAATTGTTTTCTGACATCCACATGTATGCGGTGAGACGTGTAGATGAACACACAAATAGGCATGCACATAGAGACAATAAATAAAATGTAATTTATAAAAAGATTGTGTGTACATACACAATAAAACTTAACTTAAAAAAGACAAAGACATATGAATTGGTGAAACTGGCTGATGTGACCAGAAAAATTAACTCCTCACACAGGGCTCAAAGTTATTTCTCCGATGAAGACTGTTAAGCTGAGCTGCTTTGCTTAAAGGTTAATTTACATGTAGTACTGCATAGTCCAATAGGATACTAATGACTCAGTTATTAGTTCCATTTCTCACTACTTTGCAGTCATAGTAGTGGCATAGGCCAATGCGAAGAAAGGGTTAAATGCGTTGCTGGTTCTCACTTGTGCTTTCAGGGAGAGATCCAGGACACGAGCCATTCATGCTCTTTTCCAGGCCCCTTTACACTCCAGAAACCACACTCCAGGCCCTGTCATAAGTCACCCCAGTGGATACTATTTTACACCATTTTCCCATCCCATAACTGATCAAGACACTTCTACGTCATCATCTCTGCCAAGGATCCTTCACTCACTGAGCGCCTTCCTTTCCTTTAGTCAGGGATAAGACTTTAACATGCACCCAGTTTTAGAATATTTGTTTTATTTACATAATTAGTAGAAAGGAGTTCTTAAAAATACCTATTACATTTGTTTCTAGAAATAACAGAAAATAAAATTAGTAGAGTCATGTTACACAATTTCGGAAAGGCGTACCCGTCCTTTCAGAGAAAGTTTTTTTTTTTGTGGTACCCATGATGGAAATGCTTAAGCAGCTGGTGACAGGTTAGCCTTGCTGATAGAAGGAGCCCTTGTAAGTTTTCCTGATTTTTTTTTTCTCATCACTATTTACTTTTGAGTCCAGTGGAAAGAGTCCTAAAAGTAAAAGGCACCTAAAGTAAAATTAGACCTTAGCCAATAAAAACTACATATTTATACCAAAGAAAAGGCTCCCTTGAAAGGCGCTGATACTAACAACATGAAAACCACTGCAAGATAAGTTGTATATAAACGCTTGCCTGAATCTGACACACAGCTACACAATGAAAACCATGTTGTGTTTATAAACCTGTGGGCATTTTGTAACCATTGGATCAGCAGGAGTATAGTGTTAAGGATGGACTCTAATTTTCATAGTCAAGATCAGTTTGCTGCATTCACTCTTGAGATGAACCGGGGACTTATGAAAGTTCCTGGTGTTTGCATTTCAGGTGCAGCAAAACCTAGAACTGCTACTTTAAACTAAAGTCCTCCTTTTACTGTTATAAAGCCATAAAGCTGATGCTGCACTAGGACTTAAGCACCTAAAGTACATTCTGACCAATTTATATCTTCTGAGCTATAATTAGGACCCTCAGGATTTGTATATGTGTACAAATATTGCAAATTATTTCTTTAAGCTGATAAAAAACTCTAAAAATACAAATAATCCTTTACTATAAAAGTTTTAAAAATCAAATATGAGTCAGCAATTAAAAAAGAAAAGAACAGGAGGTCATTGGGCAGGTACTTCTCTGTGTCTCCTCTCAGAAGAACACACTACTCATCGGAGCCAGTTTGTATTCAGCTGTGTCTGTTTCTTGATGCTGGTGTCCATTTTCAGCACTTCTCGAATGGCCATGGTGGCGTAAGTAGAAGGAGGAAGGGAAAAGTCCATCTTCAGAGGCCTGTATTTGCCTTCTACCAGGCAGGAAAGAAGCTGTGGTCAAAGACTCAAAGTGGCAGCAGGTGACCAAAGATACCAAGACTCCCCGAAAAGCCACACCCTTTCCTTAGGATTCCACTCCCCAGGGCCCTCCAGAGGATGGGGTCATGGAAACAAGAGCACAAGTATGAAGAGCAGGAGGGATGTGCTCACTTTACTCAGGATAACAGGGTAGGTAAGGCTGGCAAGGTGCCTTAGCAAGTCAAAGTACCTGCCACCAAGCTGATGACTTGACTCTGATCCCTGCCATCTACACAGTGAAGAGAAGTGGATTCCCCAAGTTGTTCTCTAATCTCTCCCTGTGTGCCATGTGCACACAGACACACACACGCACAGACACACGCACACTTCACATCTTGCTGATTTACCGGAAGCAAATACTGGTGGTGGTTTTCCTTCTAGGTTGTCCACATCCGTATTGAAAAGTGGAATTTTAGGATCATCATATGCAACGACTTCCCTTCAAAATAAAGACAAGCATGAGTGTGAATACTCATAAAATACACAGACAAGCACGAGTGTGAACTCTCACAAATGGCATAAAGCTCTTCATCCCCATTTGTGGAGCAAGACAAACATACAGTATGACTGGTAGGCCTCCCCCGGAACAGAACAGGCTGGATTTTATGCACACCAACTGCTTTCTCATTATTTTATAAGAGATGACAAAGGGATTATTTTATAAGAGATGACAAAGAGATGATGGTAATGATTTGGAAGTTTCTCTAGCATGGTAGGCTTGATTTTGTACAGATGAAGTGGAGGCATTTATATAGCCTCCACAGTGGGCATCGCTGCCATCAACTTCTTATGAGAGAAACTCATCTCCAGATCGTGGAAGGCAAAATCCAACTCTTCCAACTTCATGCCCATCGCCAGGAAAAAGAAAAGAATTCCCTGGCAATGAACAACTAGTTCAGGATTTCTTAGAAAAGCTTCAGGAAATAGCAAAAATATCAAAATAACATATATATATATATATATATATATATATATATATATATATATTTCTAATTTTACTTTGTATGTATGAGTGTTTTGCCTGAATGTGTGTCTGTGTACCATGTGTGAGTGCCAGAAAGGGTGTGAATTCCCTGGAGCTGGAGTTAGGCAGAACTGCCATGTGGGTGCTGGGAACTGAACCCTAGAGGAGCAGTCAGTACTTCTAACTTCTTAGCCATCTTTCTAGGTCCAGAAGCAAACGGAAGTTCTGCAGAGAAAGGTAAGAAGGCTCACTTTCTGTACATCTGTTCAGTAAGTCAGGGATGCCAACAGAGTGTAAAAGCAACTTTCACTGTATGATTGCAGTCAACACCAACTTCTTCATCACTTAAAAAATACTAACTGGTAGCTGTAGTAACAGCAGTAATCAGGACAGCCAACAGCTATGAAGTGCTCATATGCATAGAAACACATGCATACAGAGCAAAACCTTGTGATTCTATAAAATACTCCACTTCTGTATCAGTCTATACTCACCAGCTGACATTCTGAGGCCGAATAATAATCTTTCGGTAGGCACCCGATAAGGAGTAATCTCGAATTGTGTGTCTCATGTTGTCAATATCAAGATTGTCTGCAGCGAGCATTTCCCTGTAGGCTTCACTAACTGATACAAAACACAAGCAGTTAACTAAAATGCAGTCTTTCAGCAGGTTAACCTGAACTATAATAGAAATTGCATAACATGTAAATCTAGCCAGACTGTCCTAATACAGTTAGTTAACTCTAGTTTATAATCCAGAGACTATAAAACCTCCTTGATTTAGCAACTAGGCCTAAACAGTACCTCTAGCTTCAGTGTAGTCACCCTGTGACTTTATTTTTCTTATCAGCTACAGGGCTTGTGGCTAAAGTTCCCCAACTAACCTCAAAAGGCCATGTGACTCTAAAAGTTTAAAAACAGGAGCCCCTAGAAACTATCTAGTCCACTCAGCCCACAGGAGATGGCTCTCTAATGTAGGGACTACATAAGCCACAATATGATCAAGTTCCTCCCTACTACAAACATGTCCTGATTTCTTATAGGCTCCACTGACTTCGTAGATTAGCTATCCTCTACATACATCCATAAGCATTGGAGTGCTAAGTTGCTGTTTTTCTATTTATTTACTTACTTGAGAAAGTGTTTCCCTGTGTAGTCCTGGCGGTCCTTGAACTAGCTCTGTAGACCAGTCTGGACTTAGAAAACCATCTGCCTTTGTCTCCTAAGTGTTGGGACTGAAGCCAGGGGCCACCACACCCGGTTCAGATATTATTTTGGGGGTGGGTTATTTTTTTATTATTTTAAATTTTTTTAAAAATTAAAAGCAATCTTACTTTAAATACCAGTCCCAGTTCCCACTCCCTCCCATCCTCCCACTCTCTACTTTCCCCCCATCCCCCTCCCCATCCACTCCTCAGGGAGGGTGAGGCCTCCCAAGGGGAATCATCAAAGTCTGTCACATCATTTGGGGGCAGGACCTAGGCCCTCCCCCTGTGTCTAGGCTGAGAGAGTACCCCTACATTGGAAATGGGCTCCAAAAAGCCAGTTCATACACTAGGGATAAATACTGGTTCCACTGCCAGAGGCCCCATAGACTGCCCAGGCCCCCCACTGACACCCACGTTCAGGGGGCCTGATTCAGTTCTATGCTGGTTCTGAAGCTGTCAGACCGGGGTCCATGAGCTCCCAGTGGCTCAGGTCAGCTGTTTCTGTGGGTTTCCCCAGCCTGGTCTTGACCCCTTTGCTCATTACTCCTCCCTCTCTACAAATGGACTCCAGGAGCTCAGCTCAGTGCTTAGCTGTGGATCTCTGCTTCTGCTTCATAAGCTATGGGATGAAGGCTCTAGGATGGCATCTAAGGTAGTCATCAATCTCATTATAGGGGAAGGGCATTTAAGGTAGCCTCTCCACTATTGCTTAGATTCTTAGCTGGGGTCATCCTTGAGGATTCCTGGAGAATTCCCCAGTGCCAGATTTCTCTTTAAACCTATAATGGCGCCCTCTATTATGGTATCTCTTTTCTTGCTCTCCTCTATTCTTCCCCCAACTCAACCTTCCTGGATCCCTCATGTTCTCCTCCCCACTCCCCTTCACCCCTCCTGTCTCTCCTGCCTTCCTCCCTCCTCCCATATCCCTATATATTCAGGAGATTTCATCCCTTTCCCCTTTTTTTTGGGGGGGGGGTGTCCATGTACTCTCTTAGGGTCTGATTTTTTTTTATTCAAAATTTTCTTCACTTTATTGTGTGTTAGTGTGCATGAGAGAGAGAGAGAGTGTGTGTGTGTGTGTGTGTGTGTGAGAGAGAGAGAGAGAGAGAGAGAGAGAGAGAGAGAGAGAGAGAGAGAGGAGGGAGGTATGTGTGGACCACAAGAGGTCAGAGGACAAGATTGTGGAGCTGGTCCTTTCATTGACTTCAAGTGTGTTCTAGGAACTTAGATTGTCAAACTTTCATGCCTTTACCTATCTTGCTGGCCCTTAATATTTTTTTCTTTTTTGGAGACAAGGTCTCACTATGTACCCCTGGCTGGCCTCAAACTCACAGTGATCACCCTGCCTCTGTGTCCCGAATGTTAAAGGATTAAAGGTGTGAGCCACCATGCACAGCCTTTGTGGCCCTTAATTTTTATAATCTACCATCAAACTAATTTTTCTCTTCATGGTTTCAAAAAATTTTCATTTTTACATATGTAAATGTATACAAGTCTGTGTGTAAGTATGTATGTGTGCACATATGTGGGTGTCTATGGAGACCAAAAGAAGGCATTGGAAACCCCTGGGGCTTAAGTTGCAGGCAAATGTGCGCCACCCGATGTGGTACTGGCTGTCTTGAAGAGTGACAGTCTTTCTTGAGCACTGGGCCATCTCTCCAGAATGTTGCTATGTAGCTCAGGAGCCTTTAATTAACAACCTTCCAAGCCGGGTGTTGGTGGCGTACGCCTTTAATCCCAGCACTTGGGAGGCAGAGGCAGGTGGATCTCTGAGTTCGAGGCCAGCCTGGTCTACAGAGAAAGTGCCAGGATAGGCTCCAAAACTACACAGAGAAACCCTGTCTCAAAAAACCAAAAAACAAAACAAAACAACAAAAAACAAACAACCTTCCTGCTTCAGCTTCTCCAGTACTATAGCAATGGCATTCGATTCCACCTGAACATCTGACTGCTAGCCATGACCATGAGGGTTTACATTTAATGCTTTCTGTGAATCTTATTTTTCCTATTACTAACTTTAACTTCATCTTATATTATTTACAATTATACAGCAATTTAGGAATACAGTCAGTTCATTTCTTTATTCAAGTTAGTCATTACAACTGGAAATCTAGGGACAAGGAATGAAGATAGCCTCACACTCCCCTGGGAACTTCTGGGTAATAGATGTGACCATGTTATATAGGTCCAAATGCATAACTCTTCCTAGTAGGGTACATCCCTGCACAACTGTGGGGTTTTATGAATGGCTTTGACAGATGTTCTGCTAAATTTACCTTCATTGGAACCAGCCAAGTTCCAGATACTGAGAGGATAAGAAAGAAGGGGGGGGGCATTCTTTTTTCTTTTTTTGTGATGTCTGATTCAGGCTATCAGCTTGCCTTGGTGTACCGATTAGTTTTTCTTAACTTGATACAAATTAGAGCCACCTATGGGAAGGGAACCTCATCTAAGCAATTACTTCCATCAGATTGGTCTGCGGTGTGTCTGTCGCACACATTCCTGATTTCTGGTTGATGCAGGAGGGTCTAGCCCACATGTGGGTGGTGCTATCCCTGGATAAGCCAGGAAGCAGCACTCATCCAGTTCCTGTACCTGTTATTGCTTGAGTTCCTGTCCTGACTTCCCTCAATGATTGAGTGTGACCAGGCTGTGTGAGCCCAATACATCCTTTTCTCCTCAGGTTGCTTTTGGTCATGGTGCTTTATCACAGGGACAGAAACAAAACTAGGATATGTGGGCACAAACTGTTAAACATGACTATTCTCATGTGTTAGCTGAGCCTAACCCACTGCAACTGAAGGGGAAACCCAGGGAACTTTGCTTTGATCAGACCAACTAACTGAGCCATCGTGGTTCTAGAGGGGACTGGCATGTGAGTCAGAGGTCTCCGTGTAGAAGACTCCCTGTTAATGTGTACACACTCTCGACAGAGCAAAAAGCAAAAGAAAGGAGATCGTTCTCCCCCAGACTTGGGGAACGGTTTTCTCTTGCTCCTAGACGTCATAACTTGCACCAGCAGGCCATAGGTTCTTGTACCTCTAGCCCCAGACTGATAGTTCTGGTTCTCTAGCATGCAGATAGCCTGGGACTTCTTAGTAGCTATAATCAAGTGAGCCAAGGCCTCTCATAAATCCCCTTTTATCTCTCTTTATGCTATCTGTTCCAGGAGAATCCTGACTAAAACAGGTATTTGCATTTTTCTGAAAAGCACGAGGACAATTTTAACAGAGTTTAAAAGAAGAACTTCAAAGAAGGCAAGCTGTAGATCTCAGCAGCTGTCCAGGAGGGAGATGGAGAAGAGAGAAAACACACCGTGAGTCAGGCATGGAGTGACCAAGCGGCACACCAAGGGAGGCGGGATGCTCAGACAAAGAGTGAGCTCAGATCACAACAAGGGAGGCGGGGTGCTCAGAGTGAGCTCAGATCAGCTGTCTCCCTATCATGATCTTGACCCCTTGCTCATGTGCTTCCTCCTTCTCTTCAACCGGACTCCAGGAGCTTGATCCAGGGGTTGGCTGTGATCTCCGCATCTGCTTCCATCCCTTAGTTGATGAACGGTCTATGACAGCTAGGGTAGTCACCAATCTGACTACAGGAGAAGGCCAGTTCAGTCCACTATTGCTAGGAGTCTTAGCTGGGGTCATCCTATGAGTCCCTGGGAGTTTCCCTGGGACCAGGTTTCTCCCTAGCTGCATTACGGCCCCCTCTCAGCTTTAGCATCTTGAGCCCTCTCCTTGGTTGCTGCCAAGGGAAGCCAACTATACTATTCCCTGACCAACTTCCTTGTTCTCTCTTGTACAAGTTTACTTCCTTCTCTTCAGTGAAGTCAGCCAGCGTAGGTAATGTAGATGACTTACATATATACATTAGATCTCTATTAACCTGGCTAGAGGTTATCCCATAATCCAAGAAAGACTTTAGTCCTAATCTTTTTTTATTTGTTTTGAGGCAGGGTTTCTGTCTCTTTTGGCTGTCCTAGAACTCACTCTGTAGATCAGGCTGGCCTTGAACTCCTAGAGATCCACCTGCCTCTGCCTCAAATGCTGGAATTAAAGGGTACGCCACCACTACCTGACTACTAATCATTTTCTAACATAAAAAATTCAAGGAATGTATTATTAGTAAGTAGAACTCTGGTTCTTTGACGAAGAAAAACTATCTTTTTAAAATTTTATTTATTTTATGTATGTGAGTGTTCTACCTAAGTGTACACCTTAATGCTAGAAGAGGGTAAGAGATCACTAGAGATGACTGTGCGGCCCCATGTGGTTGCTGGGAATTGAATTCAGGACCTCTGGAGGAGCAGCCAGTGCTCTCAATGGATGAGGCACCTCTCCAGCTCCACCAAGAAAAACTATTTTAACAGAAAAATACTATCTATAGGTCAGTGCTGGATAAGTGTTGGAACAGTTCTTTCAAACTGCTCAAAACCTGTTCCTTTACTGCCTCTGAATCATAAACCAGAGAAATTGCAAGTCCTCCTCTCTACCACCAATGGCATTCAAGAATGTAACAGAAATAATGACAAAAAGTCTGGAGAATGGGAAATAACAGCAGAGGATTCTAACATTCATTTCCTTTTCTCAGAATGACATCCAACTTATAAGCTAAAGCAATCCTCTAGCCTAAGCTCTTGGGACCACAGGCCCCTGACAGTGCAGTGGGGTAGCTTCCTGAATACACTCCTTTCCAGGAGAACGTAATTACATATACATATCCACATGTGTATATATTATATGTATATGTATACACACATATATAATGACATTATATACATAATATGTACATATTATATAATAAAATTATAAAGAAATTTAGTTAAATATAATATACTTTAATGTTTAATTAAATAAATTTATTTAAATATATTTAGTTGTTATACACACACACACACACACACACACACACACACACACACACACACACACATATACACTTCACACAAATAAACTTTCATATAGGGCTTTCTATGTAGCCCTGGTTGGCTTGGAACTTGCTTTGTAGACCACGTTAGCCTTGAACTCACGGAGCTCTGGCAGTCTGCTGGGATTAGTCATCACACTCAGCTGTTTTGAAGGCTAAATCTCCATTAAAACGTGGTATAAAGAAAACTTTATGGTTCTGTTTCAAATATTGATTTTCCTCTGGGTCACTCTTGGCTACTTGTAGCTTAATCACATTATACTTCTTTACAATATTTGGCTCAAACACGGAACTTACTTTTATGTTTGGGGTAGATAACATCAAACCCAGGCAGGGGCATCACCACATCATGAATGGAGTAATTATTAACATCTTCCTCCTCAATATAGGTAGCTGTGGCTGCAAACCCACAAGTAAACAACAGCTGGTTAAGAAAAAGCGTTTTCATGAATTCAGACTCCTATAATTCTATATATCTCAGTGAGTGGAAAGTATAAGGTGTAGAGGCCCAGGAAGCTTAGAATCGTTCTTTTCTAATCAGTTGGCACCTTGGGCAAGGGTCTAACTCTTGTAAAAATCAGAATCCTTCCCAGTAGTACTGCAATGGAGCAATGCAGCAAAGCATCTAATGTAGGACTGGAGACACAGTAAATATTTGACAGTAGACAGGATGGATATTAGCATTTCTTTTTTAAAAATTATTGAAGTTGACTCCTCTGGAAGAGCAGTGCTCTTTCTGGCTGTGCCATAGCTCTAGACACATAGCTCTTCTCACCTGAAGAAACTCTGAAAGTGCCCGGTGACACACCCACAAATATACAGGCTTTGAAGACCCAGATTAACGCTTGTAAAGACTTTTAGCAGATACTGCTATACTAGCTGGAGCTTACTTAAAACACATACGTATCTTTTCATTGGTGATAAAACTATCAGCCTGAGCTCATGTGGCTTTTCCATCTCCCACTTACTTAACTAGTAGCTCTTACTTAACTAGTAGCTATGTCGGATTTCAAAAACAGTTATAAAATATGCCATTTTACCTCCTTTGAGAACAAGGTCCCCAGGGACAGGTTTCAGCCCATAGTCTTCTATCCTTTTGCTCACCATGGTATTCCACACATAGCTTTGATAACTATGGATATACATTAATCGATTATTTCTTGGGATCTGCAGAGAGGGGAGGAACAGGCAAAACAAACAAAAACAATTCTGAGCATTTAAAGTACTGTTTCCCAAATATTTTGCTCATTTAATGGTAATCCTAACACAAGAAACCCAGACTTGAAATCTGATTGTAGGGCTGGAAGTGTAGCCCAGGGGGAAAGCACTTCAAAGTGTCCTATATTATACATGTATATATGGACTATGCTTACTAACATAGTACCCTTGATTGAAAACATACCAACATGTAACAACTTAGCTACTTTCTCTTTCTTAGGCAGTTTAAAGCTCCAAAGAAGGCGATGACCAAGAAACGACTGTACAATGGGGTCAGATCAATGGCTCAGCAGGTAAAGGCACTTGTGCTAAGTCTGACTACCTGAATTTGATCTCTGGGGACAGACACAGTGTAAAGGGAGAATAGACTCTCTAAGGTCGTCCTGGCCTGTGTGCTCAAGTACATGCATATATGCCCTGCAGAGGCACAAACACAAAATAAAGTTTTAAAAGAAATGACTGCACAATGAGTTCTGAATCTTTCAAATCCCATTCAATTACATTAAATCCAACTAACAATTACATTTTCCATAGATACTTTCTTGTGCCTCCAATGCTAATAAACACTGCCAGCATTTCCCATGGCTGCCAGATCATTACCTTCCAGGGTCAGAATGAGCTACAGTCAAGTAAATTTCTCTGAAGACCACGAAAGGATTCTTTCAAGTTTTTTCTAAGACTATGTTTAAGAAGCATTAACCACCTTGAGTCATTGCCTGACTTCACAAATTGCACTCACTATGCCAAATGCAGAGACTATATTCTTCATTCCATATTTTGAAAGTCCTCGAAGCAGCTGCCCTTCCACACACCTTTTGACAGGTAGTTTTCGGAGAGCAGAGGCTGGATCTTTGGTCTTGGCCCATTCTTCTCTGCATTTCACCAAGTACCCCTTTTCAGCTGTGGTAAAAGAGAAGCTACAATCAAACTGTTCAACAGAAAACATGCACCACCTAACATCCTTCAACACTCATGTGTAACAAAGAAACTCAGTCGCCCAAAAGCAAAACCATAGGCCCAAGAAGATTACTTCACCACCTCAGCTAAGGAGGAGGTCTCTCCTCTTTGCCCCTGTACTGTTCTCTTCAAAATTAAACTTTTTTTTTAGCTTGAAAATAGTTACCTAAAATGAGTATTATTATTTTAATACATAAACTATCAGCTGGGCATGCATGCCTTTAATTCCCAGCACTTGGGAAGCAGAGGCAGGCCAATCTCTGTGAGTTCAAGACCAACCTGGTCTACAAGAGCGAGTTCCAGGACAGCCTCCAAAGCCACAGAGAAACCCTGTCTCGAATCCAACCAATGCCCCCCTAAAAAAAAAAAACCCCAAATACTATCAGTTAAATCCCTCTTTTACAGTATAGTTTTAGAGATATTTCCTGAAAAAGATTTAATCATACTATGCTTTAACAAAATAGCCATACATAAGTTATCTATCTATAAATTCAGAGAATTCATAGTAACTGAAGAGAAATGAATTTACATTTAAACATGCATGAATAAATTAGATGAATAAAGAGCTTGAACCAGGATACAGCTCTTAAAAATTTAACCCTATACGTAAAAATCATAAAAATGAAATAGCATTTAGATTTAATATAAAAAACCAAGAACTTTAAAATAACAACAGTAACCTGCAGTTACTTTTACTTAAAGTGATTCCACGAATATCTACCTATACATTGTATGCATTTTATTTTAACACAAATCTTTTTCTCACCTCCAGAACGGGGTTTCAGTATTAAATCCATGACTTCTGTCCAGGAATTCTGTAGAATAGCTCTAGAATTAAACAGTACTTACTCAACTTTGCATAAGATAAGCTTTATATGTTCAAGTGTTGAGAAGGCAACAAGAAACACTTACTAGTTTATTACATTTAAAAGTATATAGAAAAATCATGACAGACTCCAGTGGCCACGATAGTAGATATACGGTCAGGAGTGTTTAATGCTCCCAGCACTTGGAGGCAGAAGCAAGTGGATTTCTGTGAGTTTGAGATCAGCCTGGTCTACAGAGTGAGTGCCAGGACAGGCTCCAAAGCCACAGAGAAACCCCGTCTCAAAGGAAAAAAATAAAAGAGTGCTCATTGCTCTTGCAGAGGACCTGAGTTTGGTTCCCAGGACTCATATCCAGCAGCTCATGGCTGCCTGTAACTCCAGCGATCCACTGCTGTCTTCTGGCCTCTGTGTGCATTACATTCAACATGCACAAACCCCCACGGACATACTCTGCAGAAGACCTGGATTCAGTTTCTGAATGCCCCGTCATACATGGGACATGTATTTCATCTTCTTGCGAGAGCAGGGAGTGGAAAGAATACAAGGCTGGATGAAGGAGTGTGGGAACTGACTTCTAAACATGACATGGCTGTGGGAGCTGACTTGTGAACATGACATGACATTGCTGTGGGAGCTGACTTGTGAACATGACATGACATGGCTGTGGGAGCTGACTTCTGAACATGACATGGCTGTTGCACTCTTGAACTCACAGCAGCCATGACTACCCACACAAGATTCCCCAGAAAATTGGTCCTGTCAATACCCTGTCACAGAATGAAGTGGGGCTTGTGCACATTTTCTTCAGGGGCAAGTTGTCCATGCTTCTGTAAACAACTCTAATGAACCTGAGTGGACACACTTAGAACACATGTAAGTAAACGTGGAGAAAGCTGGGAAGTGGCGATTAGAGGAGGAGAGAGGGGGAACGGGTGTGAGGCGGAGAATATGGTTGGTTGCATATACACAATAGAATGAAACCAATTAGCATATGTAATTAATATATGCCAAGAAAAACATTAAAAAAAAAGTTTGGGCTGTCCTTTTGCTATGGTTTTTCATTTATTGTCTTTATATATCCTGGATTCATCTTCTGCTTAACTATATACTGAGACTTGGAAGTTCTCCTTAGGAAACCCTATGGTGATACAGTAAGTTCTACGAAGGTAGGAAATAGTATGATTTTGTGAAAACAAATCTTTGGAACTCTGAACTAACTTGTACTGACCTTTGAATATATTAGGCAACTCCTGTTTCTGGGTAGATCTGACAGCACTTTACTGAACAATTATTTGCACTAATTTTCTGTGGGATATAAAACTATAGGGTCACATGGCTGTGCTTCTGCTCAGTTAATTAAAAATACATAGACGGACACAACCCTTCCTAAAGTGTTCTGCTCCACAACAACTAGCATCTGTATTATGCTATTCTGTGTTTCTATTAGTTACTGTAGTGGCTTTTTCCTTCCTCAGCGCTGGCGATGCAGTCCAGGGTTCCATGTGTGGTGGCAAGCACTCTCCTAGCTGAACTACATGCTAGTCTTAACTTTCTTCCTATTCTTGTTCTAAATTAGCAGACAGATCATTCTGTGTTGCCCACGCTGGCCTGGCCTTTCACAGTCTTCACCAGCCTCCCAGGACTGGCCTCCTGCCTTGCCCTAAACATGACAGAATCCTGAAATAATTACACCATTAACAAAATCTTAATTTCTTTTTTATGCGAGGCATCCTTTAGATAGAAATTATAAACACAAACTTTCCAACCAACAAAAACTTTTTGGGTCTTGTTTTAGATAAATGTTAGAGCTGATCATGGTAGCGCACCCCTTTCATCCCAACACACAGGAGGCAGAGTCAGGCAGATAAATCTCTGTAGTTCAAAGCCAGGCCTGCCTGGTCTACACAATGAGTGCCAGGATGGCTAGAGCTACATAGTGAGAAAGTGTCTCAAAAAAACAAGACAAAACAAAACTCCAAAAACTTAGAAAATCAAATACATACCTTCCCACTTGGTATGTAGGGACAGCAGTGGTTCCAAATCTTTGCATGCCATAGTAATTAATGAAGCCAGTCTCCTTCAGAGATTGCATGGCTTGCTGTACTTGCTCATTAGTTCCTGTTATATTCCTGCAAAGGACCCAAATGACCCAGAGGAAGGACAGTCAAACTTATTTTATGATGCACATTGCAACAGCGGCTTCTATACCTCACCTTTGCGATCTTTTCTATACCTCCTGAGGACTCTGTTGGTTTGTTATCTTAATCACACTACCCCCCCCCTTTTTTTTTTTTTTTTTAAAAAAGACAGGGTCTCTCTGTGTAGCTCTGGCTGTCCTGGAACTTGCTCTGTACACCAGGCTGGCCCTGAACCATAGAGATCCACCTACCTCTGCCTCTTGAGTACTGGGGTTAAAGGTGTGCGCCAGCCCCCCCCCCCCAACTCTCCCACAACTATGGACTCTTAATAGCCTGCCTTGTTCTTTGACTCAGACTATTACACACAGCTAGCTCACTTTTACCTCAGAGCAAGTTCAAACTAAAGACTTTTTACAAAAAGAAAATTTTACATCTTGCACAAAGTCAGAGACACAGATGTCTACCAAAGTTACTAAGAAAAACTTACCAATTCTTCACTTGCCAGTCTACTAACAATAGATCTGTGTCTTAAAGTTGTCATCGGGCACTGTGTCCTCCCTGTCTGGTCACAGTTTTGCTCCTATTGCCTTGGGACCTTATGTTGACATGGCAATGACTCTGCCTTTATTACTTAGCCTAGAAATATGCTCCTGACCAATGAAAAGCTAATTCTGTAATTCTTATCTTTTGCTTCAAGCCTTGGGGCAAAGAGAGAGTTTTGGAGAGAGAGGAGACTAGAGAGGTAGTAGCTGGAGAGAAGTGCTGGTAGAAATTAGCAGAAATGTAAAAGGATAAGAATGTAGGAAAAGGCAGCAGCAGCAGCAGAAGGAGGAGAATGAAACAGAATTAAAATTGGAATTAGAATTGAGAGAAAATTAGAGCTAAGAAGTTATAGACAATTAGGACAAGAGAATTAGAATAGAGGACAGTAAAGAGCATAAAATGCACACATATACTAAGAACATGCTGTAAGAAGTATTGTTTTCTATAGCCCTCATATTTAAGTTCCTTCGCTTATTGTAGCATCCATTTTTGAACCCTAAGTGAAAACTTTTAAGGCAAGACCTTGAGAGTTTTTGATACAGACTGGCCTCAAACTCATAGAGATTCCCCTACTTCTGTGCTTCTGCTCAGCTCATTTTATTCAGTTTTAAGTGCAAATTATTATAAGATGAAGCACATGGGAAATATGGTGCAGCTTCTAACATTATGTAGTGCCCAGACTTGTTCACTGTCTACAAATCTATCTATCTATCTATCTATCTATCTATCTATCTATCTATCTATCTATCTTTCAAGTCTTGTTATATAGCCCCTGGCCAGTCTACAAACCATGTAGACCATGTTGACCTTGAAGAAGCCATGTGATCTGGGATTACAGGCATGTGCAACTATGCTTGATCCCAAACTGAAACCTATAGCAACAAATAACTCTCGGCTAAAGTAACCTAATCTTTCCATGAATGTGCCCATTCTGTGCAACTCATATGAATTAAATCACGAGCTCTTTATCTTTCAGAACTGGATCTGAAGACCAGAGTGTTTCTGAAGGCTACAGGAAGCTTCTGAGGGTGGGCAAAGACCATTTATTAGGAGAAATACTAGACAGTATTTGTTTCTCACCCCATAGTCTTTGTTCTCCCAGTCACCCTTCCATCTGTGCCAGTTATCCTGCACCCTATCAACACATACAGAAACAGACCATGCACCAGGCATTGGTGGCGCATGCCTTTAGTCTCAGCACTTGGGAGGCAGAGGGAGGCGGATCTCTGTGAGTTCAGGGCCAGCCTGGTCTACAGAGTGAGTGCCAGGACAGGCTTCAAAGTAATACAGAGAAACCCTGTCCCGAAAAACCAAAAAAGAAAAAAACAGACCATGGAGACCGTCGAGGTAACCCCCAGGCACTCCTACCCACAGTTCTTTACCTGAGAACAACAGTGAAGTGATTTCCTTGAAGCTCTCCCAATTTCAGAGGGTTTTTCTGGTAGCTGAAATTCCCTAGTTTAAAGTTCATCAAGCACTTATTCAGGTGGGCGAGTCTTTGTGCACTTATTCTTTAAAGAAAAAAGGAGCAGAAAAAGGATAGTGAGAACCTGAAGAAGACAAGGGCACACCAAGGCTGGGACCATTAGAAAGACTGCACTTTTCCTTCCCCCTGAATTAGTCTTGTGGGTAACAGTACTGAACTGACAGGACTTAAACACCAGTGGGAAGATGTAAGTAAGAGATGTATCGGATTCTACTTTCTGTGGGCAGGAGGTAGCAAAAGGGCCATATGGTAGCAGACAGTGATCCCACAGAACTGTAGAGAGTGGTCTCTAACGTTTAAGAAAAGATTAGTCATAATTAGGCCAGTAAGAAAAGTATTGCAAACTTATAACCAGAAGACAACCTCGGAAAACATAAAAAACACTGGGAAGAAAGAAAATGTACTGGTTTATCCAAAAAAAAAAAAAAAAAAAAAAAAAAAAAAGCATTACACCTCTGCATCTCCTCATCCTTTTAGAAAACACATGGAAGATATGTACAGCTAGAATCATACAAAACTTGTATCCTAGTATTATTTTACAGAAGTGTTCCCATGCTTTTACAATTGTTTCACTAGAAAGTCTTTGTCCGGGGGCTGGAGAGATGGATCAGCAGTTAAGAGCACTAACTGTTTTTCCAGAGGTCCTGATTTCAATTCCCAGCAACCACATGGTGGCTCACAACTACCTTGAATGAGATCTGGTGCCCTCTGCTGGCATGCAGGCAGAAGACATAATAAATAAATAAAATAAAATAAAAAGAAAGTCTTTGTCATCCTCAACAGGAAATCTATTTAGAAAAGCAAATACTACACAGGAAAGTCTTTGTTCTTTCTTCATCCCTATGACCCTCCCCACTTGCAGCCGATGGTAGCACTTTCCTTTTAAAGATTTAGTTTATTTTTAAGTGTGTGTGTGTGTGTGTGTGTGTGTGTGTGTGTGTGGGTGTGTGTGCGCGCGCGCGTGTGTGTCTGTGTGTCTGTGTCTGTGTCTGTAAATAAGTACAGGTACTCCTGGAGGCCAGAGTCATTGGATCACCCTAGAGTCAGAGTTACAGGAGGTCATAAATTGCCCAGTGTGGGTGCTGGCAACCAAACTCAGGTCCTCTGCAAGAGCAGTACACACACTTTACTGCTGAACTATCACTCTAGTCTCCTGGCCTGGAAGATTTTGAAGTAATTTTAAGATTAATACAATGCCCTCAAGAACAGATGTTCATTTCAGAAGGCTTCATGTTAAGGGACTGTTCTTAATATATTAAAATTTTGAAAATGCTCAAGTTTTTATTTAAATATATATGGGGGGAGGGGCTGGAGAGATGGCTCAGCAGTTAAGAGCACTTGCTGTTCTTACAGAGGACCTGGGTTTGATTCCCAGCACTCACACAATGGTTTATAATCACCTGTAACTCTTGTTGCAGATGTCATGGTCTTTTCTGACACCCACAAGCCTGCACATGTAGGCAAAATACTCATACATAAAATAAGATGAATCTAAAATACCAAAACCCCCAAATCCTGTAAGGGATAAAAAGAGGCCATCCTGGCCTATATAGCCAGTCTCAGTCAGCCAAGGTTACACAGTGAGACCTGCCTAGAGACAGACAAAGGACAACGAGATGAAAAAAAAAAAAAAAAAGAACAACAACAACAAAAAACAAACAAACAAACAAACAAAAAAAAAAAACTTTTCAAAGTACAATATAAAGACCAGGGGCACTTGCCAGTGCTCTGATCCTCTCCCCCGCCCCAATGCCAGTCACTTTATATTTTACATTGAATGCTTCCATATGTGTCTGGATTTTCCTGAATAAAGGAAAATCCCTTTTTTCTACTATCTGGACTGTAAGAATCCAATTTATTTGTTTAACTATTAATTGTCTTTTGGATTCTCTAATTTGGGTCATGGACTAGTTGTTACCAATTTTCAATTATTAGAAACAATGTCACAGACTGTTGAGATGGCTCAGAGGTTAAGAACACTGGCTGCTCATACACTCAGCACTTCCCTGCAGCCCCTGTAATTGTTAATGTACGTTTTGTCTACAGATTTCCCCATTTTGAACATTTTATGTAAATGAAAAAGAAATCAAATAGTGATGTTTTCTTAATGCCCAATTACTTAGTATAGTCTTTCCCTTCCTTCCTTCCTTCCTTCTTTCCTTCCTTCCTTCCTTCCTTCCTTCCTTCCTTCCTTCCTTCCTTCCTTCCTTCCTTTCTTATTTTAGGGTCTCCCTGTGTAGCCCAGGCTGACTTCAAACTTGATATTCTCCTGCTTCACTCTAAGAGTGTTAGGATCACTGGCCTGTGCCAATATGCCCAACAATGAAACACTATTAAGGCTTATTATGCTATAAGATAAACTGGTATTTCACTCCTTTTTTATATTGAATAATATCTTCTTTTTGAATACAATGGACAGCCACTTCTGCATTTGTCCAGCAAAAGCCAAGGGCTATATTTAGTTCTTGAAGGTGAAAGTGCTCATTGATAATACTGTTTATCAGTTCTGATGACTGAAGATCAAGCAAGTACTTTTGGTTGTAAATTCATATGTGACAATCTTGTTTTTAAACAATAAGGGCCAACAAACAAGCCTGCTACATAGAAGCCTTTACAAACAAAGCCAGGGAAATCCTGGCCCAAGCTCAGACAGGAGATTGGCAGGAGCAGGCAGGCAAAGGAGCAAGTCATTCTGGTAAGACAGTTTGGGATTCTGTTGAAATGACCAAGGAGTTGCAAGAAGCTGGACAAATGCTGCTTATTCCATGACTCAGCAACCCAGCAATAATTAAAATCCCTGTGTGGCAGAATGGGTTTACCCTGTCCTCCAGTTCTCACAGGAAAGGCCAATCTGCCTACCACATGGATCCATTAAGCAAATACAGGGTGTAGCCTGTAGTCAAGAGATAAGTGCAAAGTGCTTTCAAAAGGCCAGCATTTAGATGGCCTGCTGTGGCTCCTCAAAGTCAACAGGAAGATGAAAAAAAGGTCCTGACACTTGCTGGCTGAGGAAGTGCCTCCGTTTTAAAAGTATGTTTTTAATCCTCAAATTAGTGTTTTTAATCCTCAAATTAGCACCCCACCACCCAGTTCCAAACAAGAAACATCTTTCACACACAAACCCAGAAAACGTGATGGAGAGGTGCCCTATAACAACGTACCATGCTTCAGGTAAAGGAAGAGAAGGAGTGGAATACAGTCAGTAGTAACACGGTCCTCAACATAAGCCTTCAGGATCTAGATCCTGCCCTGAGGCAGCCATGCTCTTTCCTTGCCTTCCTTTTGCCTTTCTGCTTTCTTCCCTCTCCTCTTTCCTCAATACCCTTACTCTACTTTTATTGTGTTTTTCCTGTCTTTTTCCCCTTTTAAGTTTGGCATACAAAGTGAATGAGTTTCCTTATGTCACTTTCATACACATATGTATTGGTTTTATTTTGTTTTCATTCATCCCTTTCTCCTGCCTAATTCTTGCTGATCCCAAACCTTCTCGAGAACAGTTCCCACCTTTACCACACATACTCCTTTACACTCTCCTTTTTTTTTTCTTCCTTCCCTCTTGAGATCTCTTCTTCCCTTCCCTAAACCACACAAATACACTTAAAACTGAGACTCCACATATTCGGGTGCAGGTGTGTGTGTGTGTGTGTGTGTGTGTGTGTGTGTGTGTGTGTGTGTGTGTGTGTGTGTCTGTGTGTTACTTGTCTTTCTGAGTCGCAGTGGTTTTGTTTAGCCTAATGCTCTTTGTTAGTATCTATTTACCAAAAAAATAACGAATGCCCCCAAATTTGTCTTCCTTATATGGATGCTATGCTATCTCTTCTATATGATTCCAACTTTAGCATATATGCTGCTGAAGTGAGTACACAGGAAGTTTTATTTCTTGCTACATGCTCACAAAACTGCTTAACAGGTAGTAAATGTGTTGTGTTTCATAAGTCCCTCTAATATCTCCATAAGCGATTTTATTGGTTTGGAAATAACAACAAAAGTCCTCCCAGGCCCCATGGCATCTCATCCCTTGAGGGCATATTTGACAAATCTGGAGACGGTTTTAATTTTCACAACTGTATGAACAGCAGGGACTATTATGTGCTTGTTGTACGTAGAGGACAGAGATCAGGGAGGCAGCTAAATATCTTATAATGAACAGGAACAGTTACCACAATAGAGACTTTCCCAGTTGAAAAAGCGCATAGTGCAGAGATGAGATGCCCTCATCTAAGTTAAAACCACAGCATCCCACCCCATTGTCTGTGCAAACTTTCCCTGACCACCCTTCATAGTAAGTCCCAGGTTTGCAGTCAAGACTTAAGGCATACCCCTAGTTCAGCTCTCATCTCACTGTAGCAGGGTTCTACTTATCTGTCTGTCCTATTCTATAGCTTCTTCAAATGCAGAGACCATGTTTTCCAACTACACGTCTGTTACAAATAATTTTGTAAGTGAATATTAAAGAACATATGTTGATATTTAATAAACAAGAAAGGTACACTTATTCTCGCTCTCTCTCTCTCTCTTTTTTTTTTTTTAATGTGCACTGGTGCTTTGCTTGTGTGCATGTATCTGTGAGGATGTCATGTCCCCAGAACTGGAGTTACAGACAGTTGTGTGCTGCCATGTGAGTGCTGGGAATTGAACCCAGGATCTCTGGAACAGAAGTCAGTGCTCTTAACCACTGAGCCATCTCCCCAGCCCCAGTGCATTTATTCTTTTGGCTGTGTCACAAACAGCGTTTCAAAATTACTCAGAAAATACATATTTGATAAGATTAGGAGACAGAGATTCTGGGTGAAAAAAATGTAGAAAAACAATATTTACAAAAAAGCTGAAGCTGGGCTGGCAAGATGACTTAGCAGATAGAGGCATCTGCTGTCCACCTGGGTCCAGCCCAAGAGACCTACAGTTTAGGAGAGAACTTACTGTCTCCAGTTGTTCTCTGACCTCTACAAATGTGCTGCACACACACACACACACACACACACACACACACCTAAAATAATAAATACAATAAAAATGTTAAAAAAGATTTTAAAAGACAGAGATACCACAGAAAGTTGAAAGCATTAAATTTTGTAAAGCAAACCAGGGGCTCATGCAGGCAGCACTAGGGACCTCTGCGGCCTCAATCTGGGGAGGAGCTTTACTTACTTGAGGACAGCAATCTCCTGGACTGTGATGGCCCTTTTGTCTTTGGTTCCCATATAAGAGAATATGTTTGGTTTTACTCTGGTGAGACAGAAACAAAGCATTCTGAAGTCACACACATCAATCAAAGCACATTTCTAACAACTTGTTTCAAAATACACATACTACATAATAAGAGAATAAGGAGAAACTTTACTTAAGATTTTAGTGAGGAAAATTTAAATACTGCCTTCTTAGCATGGCTTGATTTGGAGCCTTGGTGGCTGTCGGGATCTCACCTGGTTTCCAGACTTGGCTAACTAGTAACAAAAAACAAAAGTTGCAGACTTCCACAGTCAGAATTTGTTAAGTTACATAAAACTGTGACAATAAAGGGGAAAAATATTCTAGAGATATTATGTAGCACTTTGAACATTTTATATCTTCAGTTTTCAAGAAGTCACAGCAATGTGATTTTTACTTTAAATATAATCTATAACTCTGCATTAAAAAAAAAAAAAGCCAAATGCTAAAATAGGATCTGGGTAGGGTTTTTTGTTGTTGTTTTTGCATTTTCAAGACAGGGTTTCTCTGTATAACAACTCTGGCTGTCCTGGAACTCACTCTGGAGACCAGGTTGGTCTTGAACTAACAGAGATCCACCTGCCTCTGCCTCCCAAGTGCTGGGATTAAAAGTGTTCACCACCACCACCTGGCTGGCTAGACAGTTGTGATATGAAGATATATACAGTTCCATATAAGAATATTTGCATACTCCCAGAAATCCCAAGTGTACATCCCAGAGGAACCATTTCCCCTGTCTACATCCTTAGCAGGGCATCTAGTCTCCTGAAGATGGAGCACTGTTTTTCAGGAAGCTAGTAAAAAAAAGTGAAATGTTATTTAATTAGGTATGGTATTCAGAGCTGACCTGATTCTCAAATTCCTAGGTAGAAGCCTTAACTCCCAGCATCTCATAATATAACACTTGGAAACAAGGTCTTTAAAGAGATGACCAGGTTAGAATGTGGCTTCTCAGGTGGACTCTACATAGGGAGTTCCAGGACAGACAGGGGCAGAGACCCTGTCTGAAAAACAAACAAAAAGAAAGAAAGAAAGAAAGAAAGAAAGAAAGAAAGAAAGAAAGAAACAAAATAAAACAAAAGAAAACCAATGACATATTCTGATCTTGGAATTTCTAGTCCACAGAACTGGGAGAGAATTATTACTAACTTTTGTTAACTTAAGCCACTTAGTGGTATTTTGTTTGGCTTGTTTGGAAAACACATACACTGTATAGTCATGTTTAAACTGACTTAATTTCTTTCTTTCTTTCTTTTTTTCTTTTTTTTTTTTTTGGTTTTTTGAGACAGGGTTTCTCTGTGGCTTTGGAGGCTGTCCTGGAACTAGCTCTTGTAGACCAGGCTGGTCTTGAACTCACAGAGATCCGCCTGCCTCTGCTTCCCAAGTGCTGGGATTAAAGGCATGCGCCACCACTGCCTGGCTAATTTCTATAGAATACAAATTTGCTATGGTATCTAAAAATATTTCTTTTCAAGAATTTCTTTTGTGTGTGTGTATGAGTGTTTGCCAGCGTGCATTTTTGTGTGTGTGCCACAAGCATGCCTGGTGCCCCTGGAGACCAGGAAAGGGGTGGCAGACCCCTTGCAAGTAGAGTTATAGATGGTTATAGGCCATGATGTGGGTGCTGGTATTAAATCTGGATGCTATATAAGAATAGCCAGTGGCCTTAACTGCTGAGCCATCTCTTCATATTTACTAAAACCACAAACACAAAAATCCATGGCACTTCACCTACCCTGCAAACCCACAATCTCTGCTGCATTTTCATCCCTTTGAGAAAATATTTTTTCCTGGCTGTACTGGGAACTCTTCACTGTATGTGAATTAGTCACTTTCAGAACTTTCATCTTGAATTATTAGCATGGGGATTAAAAAGTTTATTGATTTACTTCCCACAGTCATTCCCATTAGGAAGCATAGTTGGCATTTACTGATCTCAGATTCCTGCTCTTTTTTCCCACTGGCATGGAAAGAGAGAACACATTCCCATTTTACCGACTCTGTGCAAGAACAAGAATGAGACACTAACCGTAAATATTTGGACAATACATTGATGGCATCCATGGTGTCTTTGTTTTCCTTGTATAGAACAAAGTGGCAGTAGCTTCCCCGAGATTTTGGCCAAGAATGTTTTCTTGGATCTTAAAAATAAAAAATTTAAATGTCATATGTATCATAAAACATTAAAAAAAATAAAACTCTATGGAGATCATTTTTATGCAGCCTAACAGGAAGCATAAATAGCTGTATGACCCATACATACTACACTTTCTGTAACTGGACACTTAGATACTATCAAAAGTAAAGTGCAAATGTGTGGAAAATGATTAGGACTAAGCAGCCATCTTCTCACAGCAGATATATGGAACCCATGGTGCCTTGAGGATTCCTGGAGCAGCACACATCAGGACCAAAGGGCCCTATACCTGCATTCGAGAGGCAAGAACTGTTACAACAGACCACTTCACACATGGCAGCACAGATGAAGACAGCGTGTGTAAGGGCTTATTTCAGTGACTTTGTAAATTTTCCAAAGGCCACTCTACCATAAAACTTCAGTTAATATCCACAATGGTCTATAGGCATCTACACGAGAAAGGAGCTGGCATTCAAAGCCAATTCTTGCAGAGTTGGGGTGTGGGAAAACTTACACCATATTAAATGCTACCTTCTGAGGTGCTGTGCCATGACTGCCCAACTATTTGGAGACAGATAAACAGTCTATGACCTTGGATACACTCTTTTTTTAAAAAAACATTATGCATACAGTGTTCTGCCTGCATGTACACCTGCAGGCCCAAAGAGGGCACCAGATCACATTACAGATGGTGTGAGCCACCATGTGGTTGCTGAAAATTGAACTCAGGACCTCTGGAAGAGCAGCCAGTGCTCTTAACCACCAAGCCATCTCCCCAGCCCCAGATACCCTGATTGTTAAAACTGTTCTTTTAATTGAATATCTCATTATGATATAATCTAGAAACACATTTTAAACAATACAAGATTTAGATTTAAACTGCTCAGAGTAAAGAAATCAGGACTCTGAAAAGAAATGCAACAGCTATAATCTGCAGATATTGCAAATATTTATGAGTCCTGCATGACACAGAGCTGGGCTGTTTTTCAAGGAGCGTATCTAGTTTCATTGACATAAAAACCCCACAAAAGAAATAAATTATGAGGGCTGGGCAGTGGTGGTGCACACCTTTGATCCCAGCATTCGAGAGGCAGTTCGAGGTTAGCCTGGTCTATAGAGTAAGATCCAGGGCAGGTTCCAAAGCTACAGAGAAACCATATCTCTAACACCCCCCCCCCCCCCCCCCCGCAAAAAAAAACCCTATAACAAAGTATTTTGCACAATCAACTAGAAAGGCTCCTCTTGTTTTGAAAATTATCCTTAAAAGTCTTTTCACACAAACTTAGGAATCTTCAGAGGTTTCTCCCGGAATTAACCATCTAGCTTTGTCAAGCAAAAGAACTTCTTGATAACAGGTTAGTGATTTCATCTACGATGTAAAGAACCATCAAGCAATATAGAAAAGCAGTAACCCATCTCGGAAAACCATATAAATATGCCTAGAACATCAATTTCCTTCTAGATGAATTTGTTAGTCTTTGCTGTCACGTATAGAAAAATAGCACAAGTATCTCCTTAGCTCTTGGTGTGAAGTTCTTACAATTTCCTTAGGTTGTAAATGGAAATATCTCTTTCGTTTTTTTGTTTTTATTTTTCTTGTAGCTCATTACCACTCAAGCAAAGTTATCTGTACTTAGCACTTATGACAACATTGGTATTTCATCTTGTCTACACGAAATACCAATCGCTCTTACCTGCTGCAGTTCTGACCTCTGTCCAAATGCACAGCATAAATTTAGAGCACAAGAGAGCAATGTTTAATTTAGAATACTGTTAAAGTGCTTTAGAGGTGAGCATGCAAATGATCGCATGGTAAGGTGTACTGAAGACTTCCACAGCAGTTGGTAATTGTGTGGTGGGTCAACAGCCATTCAGACATTAACAATGGGATGTTGTGGAGGTAAACAGTAAACAAACAGAAAACTCTCCTCTAGGTACAACCTTCCTGACTCAGTATCTTCACAGTGGGCATGTACAAACTGCGTCTATATCCATGGGATATAGCAAATTCTCTCTTCAATAGATGTTTTTTTTCCGTAAATATGTTAAGACATGTTTGAAACACTGTGTTTGACTATTGTGATGAGAATGAAACTGCTGTTTTTTCATGCCATTTTTTGTGGGTTTTGTAAGTTTCCTTCATTGGAATATAAAAATCTCTCAAATCAGCTGGGAGGTGGTGGCACACACCTTTAATCCCAATACTCGGGAGGCAGAGGCAGGCAAATCTCTATGAGTTTGAGTCTAGCCTGGTCTACAGAGCAAGTTCCAGGACAGCCAGGGCTACACAGAAAAACCAGGTCTTGAAAAAACAATAATGCCACCCCCCCAAGAAAAAAAAATACAAAAAACTTAACGCTTGAATGATTATTAGAATGAGATAATTTTTCAATGTTCACCAATTTACAGATTAAAAGATTTAAGAGATGATTTATGAGATATGCCCAATGAATGCAATGCTCTGCCCTTCCTTTATCATCATTTGAACACGCTGTGTGAGTTTAAGAGTTCTGAAAAATTCAGGGAAAACTAGATATGTGCTGGGTAGTAGATGTCAGGAAGTCATTTTGATCTTACTAGATGTGATAATGGTTTAGGATTTTAGTCCTCATTTGGCAAACTGATGCTCAGAATTTATGAGTAAAATGAGGTTGTCATATTAATTTTATATGGACTAAGGAAAGAAGATGTTTGATGGATTCACAGCGCTATCTTCTCTGCTGGGCACAGATTTGAAATGTCCATAATAGAAGGCTAAAATAATCAAGTATGACACAAGGTGGTGAGGTGTGGCTATACTTTTTAGCTTTTGGCTTTTAGTACAGTCATGTGTAAATACAAAGGCAAGAAATAAATACAGCCACAAGACTGAAAACCTAAATGTTATCTTCCCTTAACAAAAACCAGGATAAACCAGTGAGTTTGGCTCATAAGCATGCACTTCCTATTAGGAAACCCAAGAACAGGACATGAATTCAATGACCTTTGCAACTAACAAATGTAAATATTCATTTTTCTAAGAATACTCAATATACAAGAGTAAAACATTTACAATGGAAATATTCTGAATAAGCTAAAACCCTATTAAAACTAGCCTCCAGGAACACTAATGTACACTTAACCTACAAGTTGAGTGACGTTAGGATGACTTTCACACTTTTTTGAGGCACTCCAAATTTATAATACATTTGCAAAGAATTCTAAGGCTGGCAATGCACTTCCTATTTCCAGAAGGTTGGTTCTACCTTCAGAAGGTATGACATCAAAGTCTAGACCTACACAGAAGGAAACCAGTTACCAAGGGAAACCAGACCCAGAGAGGTTTCTGTGAATAAGAAAGGAAAGATATAGGTAGCCGGAGGAAGATGACATGGTGGGGTAGCATGCAGAACAGTCTTTCTGCTTACTCAAGGTCATCTTCATCATTGCATATACCATACACCAACCTTTCAGCTTTCTCAATATCCTGTTCCATCCACCGTCTTTACTGCTGGCCTGAAACTTCCACCTTCCCTTTTCTCTGGCCCTTTCGTTTCATGGATAAACACATCCATGGCTCTACTGTCTTCAAAGTCAAGCACACGTCTTCTCCTTACTATATATATCTTCCCTCTTTCTCTTTGTTTTACTGCTTAATTTAAAAAGCATCCTGTATATACTGCCTTCTGTTTCAATCTATTGTATAAACTCATTTCCAGTCTCATCATTGTAATACCAAACTACTAAAAGAAACAGACATTAAATTTCTTGTGTTGCTAAGCGATGGGCATATTTTCGAGGCCCTATCTCATTAAATCTGGTGCACTGTGGTCTCTGGAATTCTTTCCTTTTGTGAAGTCTGTTCCAGGAAGATTCTTTGTGTCAGTATCTTTCTCTCCTTGGTAGGCAGAGCTTTAGGTCCAGAGATTCTGCCAGGGAACCATTTACTTTAGAAAACACAAAGAACGTGTATATATCATAAAATAGGTTTTTTTCTTCCTGGTGGCAGTAGCCCTTTTGGGCTATGTAGCTCAGGTTAGCCACGAATTCATGACCCCTTTGCATCTTGAGTGCTGAGATGATACACTTATGCTACCATGACCAGCCCCAGATTTTCCTTTTAAGTCTGTGGTTGAAAACAAGCTCTTGAAAGCAGTTAAGATGCATATAATCTCAAAATACCAATTTATTATCTGTTTATATAATGTTATAATAATTATATGAAATTTACCAGCCTGGGATAAAGTAATATGTCTTTTTTAGACTGGGTTATCACAAAATGCCTGAGATCTAACAGCTGGTTATTTCTGATACTGGGCACTATGATTCAGAAGTTAACATGCCTGTGTTTCACAATGCACAATTCTATTTAGAGAAAGTATTAAAATCCTGTAAATCTTGCTTGGATGGTGGTGGTGCACACCTTTAATCCCAGCACCTGGGATGCAGAGGAAGGTGGATTTCTGAGTTTCAGGACAGCCTGGTCTACAGAACAAGTTCCAGGACAGCCAGTGCTCCCCAGAGAAATCTCATCTAGAAAAACAAACAAACAAAAAAAATACAAAACAACAAACGGATGTGGTGTTGGACAACTATGAACCCAGTACTTGAGAGGCTGAAATGGGGCCAGAAAGATCAGGCGTTTAGGGTACTACATAGTGAGCTTGAGACCAGCCTGGGCTATATGACACCCCAAAATAAATAAATAAAAATGAAAAAGGAATGTTACAAATTTGCTTAATAATATATAGTCTACAAACAACAACTTATACCAGGGTTTGGCAGTGGATGAGCTTAAAAATGTAAATTGCAAAGCTATAAAGGCTACCACATCCAAACATTAAAGGGCTCAGGAGAATACACTGTCATTGGCACTGGGCTCCATTTTCAGGGCCATAAATCAGTCTCCAGAACTTGTTTTCCCTGATATCTCGGTTACTTTTCCTTTAGGCCACTCTCAGCTTGGGGCAGGAGAACTGGGTAAGAAAAGGTTGAATGCAGCCTCCCAAGTGACTGTCTTAGCTAAAGAACAGTCTTTGTGAGGACAGGAAAGGGAAGAGTACTCACAAGACAGACTTAGCCCAACTTTGACTACATACCATAACCCTCAAGCCCCAGAGGTTCAGGTCTCTGGGCAAATACCAGTCCTATTTGCTTTTTTTTGAAAGGTAAAATATTCTGTTACTTGGGATGTTCAAAGAGAAACAGGGAGGGGGTGCTTCGTGTAACATAACTAATTTATGAGATCTTAATTACACACACACACGCACACGCACAGAGACAGAGACAGAGACAGAGAGAGAGAGAGAGAGAGAGAGAGAGAGAGAGAGAGAGCTGGGTGTGGAGTCACAGGTCTTTAATTACAGCATCTGGAATTAAAGAGACAAGGGGATCTCCGAGTTTGAGACTAGACAGATTTATATAGTGAGTTCAACACCAGCCAGGGCTACACAGTAAGACCTTGTCTCAAAAACAAACAGAAAAAGCTACGACATAATCATAGAAAACACAGAACAAGATGTAGCACTGTTAGTTAAACTTCCTCCTTGCACAAAATAGAGCACTGCCTAAGAAATGAAGGTCATTTTCAAGAGGCAACCAGTCAAAAACACAGTTTGTGCCCTTTACAATCTGTATTTTCATGACCACACTAGCAGAACGACACCTTGCTTTTCCTTTCTGCAGTGATCAACTGTAGCCTCCCCAAATGCATCCATAAGAGTTAAGAGTTAAGACCCAATATGCCCATGACTGTAGGTGATAAGTCACCTTTGTCCTTCATCTAGAATATTGCCCTTGGGAAAACAGAAATACAAGAACACAGTTGCTGAAATCTCTTCCCTTGTCACTGACTCCTTTGCAACCTTGGTGACCAAGACATTATAGAATCATACAGCAACAGGCAGATCCTTCTGCCTCAGCTTCTCACAGGCATGTGACACCACGCCCAGCTTTGCTTTTTTGCTATCAATTGAGAACCTCAGATCTCTACCTTTTCCTCCAACTACTCAATGCTTCTCATTTCTGTTTGATTTTCTTCAGGTGGTCAATTTGGCGTTTTTCCTGGAAGCATCATTAAAAACACGGAATCTGCATTCATGTACTACATTCTCTCTCTTTCTCCCCCCTCCCCTCCCCACAGTGTTTCTTTATGTAGCTTAGGAGTCTGTCCTAGAACTCACTCTGTAGACCAGGCTGGGCTCAACCTTAGCGATCGGCCTGCCTCTGCCTCTCAAGTGCTGAGATTAAAGGCATGTGCCACCACCGCCTGGCTAATACATTATCTCTTAAATTCACTTAGGGGTTATTGGCAGAGCCCTAATGGGTTCAAGTCTGTTATATCATTCTGTGGGTTTGCTATGACACATGTACTCTAAAATAACTGACTGTAACATGTAGCACAAGACACTGGTAGGGGAGGAGAATGAAGAAAACAACTGTCTTCTGTTATAATTTTCATGAAAACTCCATGTACCAATTTAGTGGGAAAAACAAGAAATATCTAAGTTTTCTTATGACTATAAGTAAATAGAAATTCTCATCACTGTATAGAACACATGAGAACATAAACATCAAAGTGACTGACAATATGTTCACCTTAACTGCACAATAAACAGAAGATGGACTCAGATGAAGGTCAACTTCTTAAAATCCCATGTTTTATGCATGTGAGTGAAGATACCCATGTTTGGGAAGCAGAACAGGAAATAGAACCCTGAGGGGGTAGGCTAGTTCATCTGAAAGGTTTCTTCTTCCTTTAAGAACACACAGTGAGCAATGATCCCTCCACTTCCTTCTTGAATGAAAACTCTGTTCTTCATTGAGCAGGAGTTTCTCAGGAACCACTGTAATTTTTGTAAATCTTCACTCACATATACAGCTGATTGCCCACCAGACAGACAGACTGCAGGACTGCTCTACATTTGAAATGACTATTGGCCCCCTGAAGGAGTGACATGACCCTCTCCATAAATGGCAAGGCAGCCCAGCCCATGGATATGGACAGGCCAGGCGAGGGAGCAGGAAGGTCCTGTCCCTCCTGCTTGCTGGGTAGGGGAAAGCAGGGTCAATGTTATACTTACTTGCCAAAGCCTTTTTGCCAGCTGCATGATAGGCTACAATGTGTTTCCTGCCTTCTCTATCCTCTGTTTTTGTTTCTAATCCTGGGAAAAGAGATTTAATAGCTTGATGGATGATGGTTCGTTTTTCTTTGGTGTCCTCAATGACCTAATGCAAACAGAAGATAGCTATTACTCTAACAAGCATTGAACTGGGAAATATCATAGTGAATCAGTGAAAATATAGCTCATTTTATCAACCAATCAAAAGTCAACAAGAATGCTTGGTTATTATTTCAGAAAACATTTTCAAGCAGCCTGATATTGACAATCCCATGGATAGAACATGTCCATCTCCAGACACTACACAAGTATCTCAGACTCATCTTTTTCTTTAATCCTCACAGGCTCCCTGTTAAGCCACCATTGTGCCATATGTGGAGATGAGAGTGAGGTTCAGGGAAGTCATGGAATATGTTTGAAGTTACATAATGGAAGGGTCTGAGAGCTGGATTTGAAAGAAAGCAGTTAAACTCTGTGATCACCCACACGAGTTGCTTTTGGTATCTCTTCTAGACAAACAGCACCGGGGAGTCCCAGAGCGAGATGCTAACAGACAAGCCCTCAGGGTATCAGAAAGTTAATCCCTCTGCCAACTTAGCCCACAACTTCCTACTATTGAACTTTATTTTATACCAAATTATTTTATTGAGAAAAATATAACACAACAAAGAAAATCAACAAAGAAAATTTAAACTTATCAAAAAACTTTTGTCAGCTTTTGACATTTCTTACACTAAGAAACAGATTTTACCTCTATTCAATAGCACAAAGGGCTGAATATGTTACTTTTTTTTTTTTTTTTTTTTGGTTTTTCAAGACTGGGTTTCTCTATGTAGCTTTGGAGCCTATCCTGGCACTCACTCTGGATACCAGGCTGGCTTCGAACTCACAGAGACTGGTCTGCTTCTGCCTCCTGAGTACTGGGATTAAAGGCGTGTGCCACCAACGCCCGGCTGAATATGTTACATTTTGAAGACAAAAAGGTTTTAGAAAATGCATTGATACACTATATTCAGTGCATAGGCATTTTCTATTTCTATTTCATTCTCTTAAAAATGCTGATAGTGGCAAATGGAGAGATGTTTCAGAGGTTAAGAGCAGTGGCTGCTCTTCCAGAGGTCCTGAGTTCAATTCCCAGCACCCACATGGTGGCTCACAACCATCTATAATGAGATCGGATTCCCTCTTCTGGCATGCAGTCAGAGTACTGTATACATAATGAATAATGAATAAACAAACCTTTATTTTTTAAAAAAAATGCTGATAATGGGTTTAGCAACATGGCTTAATGGGGAGAAGCACTAGCTGTACAAATTTTCCTCTGACCTCCAAATGTACACACATGGTAAGTTTCTAAAAATTATAAAACAATAGGGTAACTGGGTCACTTGACCATCAGGGTCCCTTACCTCTGACAGCAAGAAAAATTAGAGGTGTTGAGTATGAGACCTACTAACTTTATTTCATAGCCTCATTTAGTTGTTGCAACCTAAAAGCTGAAAACATCAACACAGAGACCACAATCTATACCGTAGCAAAGCACAAAATGATATAAAAAAGGAAATTAATTATAGCTATGGGCTAATGATTTCTTCACAGCACAGAGTCAAGCAAGATCTGCAGTTTCAGAAAACACTAAGTTGGATAACAGTTTGCACATATAAACACATATTTAGACTGAAAGTTCAGCAAGTTCTAGCATGGCAGGGTAGCTCACATCTGCCTATAATCCCAACACCCAGGCAATCACAAGTTCAAGGCTAGCTGGGCTACCTACATACACATCATGTTCCAGGATACAGAGCTTACAGTTACCAAAGCAACAAAACTAGGGCTACAGAGATGGTTGAGGGGTTAAGAGCACTTGCTGCTCTTGCAGAGGACCTGGGTCAGTTCCTAGCAACTAACGGCAGCTCATAACCATCACTAGTTCTAGTTCCAGGGGAATCTGACACTCTCTATTGATCTCCTTAGGCACCACGCATGCAGGTGGTGCATAGACATACAGGTAGAGAAGACACTCATATACATAATTTATGCCCTTTAAAAGTTAAAACTGGGGGGCTGGAGAGATGGCTCAGTGGTTAAGTGCACTGGCTGTTCTTCCAGAGGTCCTGAGTTCAATTCCCAGTTACCACATGGTGGTTAACATCCACCTTGAATGAGATCTGGTGCCTTCTGCTGGCATGCAGGTACAAGACTGTATACATAATAAATAAATAAAATCTTAAAAAAAAAAAAGTTAAAACTGGGGGGCTGGAGAGATAGCTCAGCAGGGAAGAGATCTGGATGCCCTCCCAGAAGACTTGGGTCTGATTCCCAGAACTCCCATGGCAGCTCATAACTGCCTGTAACTCCGGTTCCAGGAGATCTGATACTCCCTTCTGGCCTCCTTATGCACCAGGCACGTATGTGATATATACACAGGCATATATCATGCAGGTAAAACACCCATAACCATAAGTAAAATAAAAAGAAAAGAGAAAGTTAAAACTGTCAACAGACAACACAGCTTTCAGTATAAGATTTAGTTTTGTTACAGGTGGGAATGGGAAATGTACATGGGCTAAGACACATGTAGGGAAACATACTCTATCTGTAATTGCTCTTACAGACAATTTTTTCTTTTTAAAAATGTATTTATTTTTATTTCATGTGTGTATTCTGCCTGCATGTATGTATTTGTACCACACATGTGCCTGATGCCCAAAAAGGTCAGAAGAGGGCATTGGATCTCCCGGACCTGGAGTTTCAGACAGTTGTGAGCCATCACGTGGGAACTGGAACTCAGGCCCTCTGCAAGTACAAGTGGTCTTAACTGCTGGCCATCCCTCCAGCCTTAACTGCTCCTCTACACAAATCCTAAATCCATACTTAAAACATAGGTAACCCTCCTCCCCCTACTGCCTGTGGCCTGACTTTGGTGGTCACTGTTGGCCATGGCAGTGTGAGGAAGGGGGAAGGGAAGAGGGGACAGGAGCAGGATCCAGAGAGGCTGAAGATGCTAACTGGTGGCCTGAGCTTTGAAACTACTTACTACTGATGACAATTCAGAAAGACATTTCCAAATTTAATTTATAAGATTTTTTCCCCCACAAATGCGATGGTGTATGTCTTTAATCCTAGCAGTCAGGAGGCAAAGGCAGTTAGATCTCTGTGACATCAAGGCCACTATGGTCTACATAGAGTTCCAGGCCAGCCAAGGCTACACAGTCAGACCTTGTCTCAAAATAAACAAACACAAAACATTTTTCTGAGACATGGTCTTATTTAGTCCCAGCTTTTCTTAGTAGAACTTCTGATTCTCCTGCCTCCATCACCTGAGTGCTAGGATTCCAGGCTTGTGCCAGTGTGACTAGTTTAAGACACTATTTTGGGAAACAGGACACATTTATAAATTCTGGTGTCACAAGACCCCAAACACTACCCAGGAGCTCTTTTTTTTTTTTTTTTTTTTTTTTTTTTTTTTTTTTTTTTTTAATGACTTACTCTTTGCTGAAGAGACTGGTCCAGGGATGTGTGGATCACACAGGTTGATACACATGCAATGGTACTAGAGAGCTGTTTCTAGAGAGAATTCTGCAAAGCCTGTGCCCTTTCAACAGTGAAAAACATTATTGTTGGTGATATAAAGAAGATAGAGCCAGGTGGTTGTACACGCTTTAATCCCAGCACTCAGGAGGCAGATCTCTGTGAGTTCAAGGCCAGCCTGGCCTACAGAGTGAATTGTAGGACAGCCAAGGCTATAGAGAGAAACCCTGTCTCAAAAAAACAAAAAAGAAGAGGAGGGGGGGAAGGGATATAGAACTCAATTTATGAGACTATTTCAAAAACAATACCAAGACTAAAACCAAATAAGCTGTGGAAGACAAAGAGCACATAAAGAAAGTCTTTTTTCTGAAACGTCTGACTGGTAGCAAGACTGTGCAGATGTATAGCCTGAGGGACTGAGGAGATAGCTGGACTTCCAGAACCGATACAAAAGTGCTGGGCATGGTGATCCACACTTGCAGTCCCAGCAAAGAGAGACAGCTTCCTGGAGCTCACCTGCCAGGTAAAATTCTAGGCCCCGAGAGAGACTCTGTCTCAAAACACAAGGTGTATGGCTCCTGAGAAATGACACCTAAGGTTGTCCTCAGGCCTCCATGTGCAGCCATCTACCTGTGCTCCCACACCCACAACCCACACAAAAGAAAAAGATACAATCATCAGGTATGGTGGAATAAACCTGGAACCTCAGCTTTGGAAGATAGAGGCAGGAAGATCAAGAGTTTGAGGTCATCCTTGGTGACAAAAGAGTTTGAGGCCAGGACAGGCTATATGAGAACTTGTCTTAAATAAACCTGACAAAATTCACCAAAAATAAATAAATTAATTAATTTAAAAAAAATACCAAAAATATAAACCCTATTCTTGGGGTTTGGGATAAAGCCCAGTTGAGCTAAGCATTTTTAAACCCTCAGGCTTAATCCCCAGCACCACAAAATAACAAAACAAAGGCTGAACATGGTGATGAATGCCCAAAACCCTAGGAATTGGGAGGCTGAGGATTAGAGTCCCAGGTCATCTTAGGCTATATAGTGACAGCCTACTTTAAAACACACAAAGTCAAACCAAACAAGCTGCATGAAGAGTGAGTGACAGAGAGAAACCACAACCTATTCCTATGACTTTTCTACTTGGTATTATCAAGGCTTTTGTCTACAGGTAAATTCGGTCATTTGAGAACCTTAGATGTTCAGTATTTCACATCTTCGGAAAGTGATAATAGGGAATGAATGGAGGGGTGTGTTGCAGAGAGACCATGTGCTGTGAGCAGCTAGAATAAACTGAATGTGGAGGTTTCAATGGAAATGGCCCCGTACACCCATAGGGAGAGGCGCTATTAGGAGGTGTGGCCTTGTTGGTGGAAGTGTGTCACTTTGAGGTTTCAGATGCCCAAGCCAGGTCCAGTGTCTCTCTATTCCTGATGCCTGCTGATCCAGACATAGAACTCTCAACTACTTCTCCAGCACCATGTCTTCCTCTTTGCCCCCATGCTTCCCACCATGATGACAATGGACTAAACCTCTGAACTGTAAGTCAGTCCCCAATTTAATATTTTCCTTTATAAAGAGTTCATGGTCATAGTGTGTCCTCACAGCAATAAAGATACCCTAACTAAGACACTGAGTGATGAGAGGAGAAATTTTAGATAATCTAAAATTTATTAGTTTATTATAATGTCGTAAAGGGGCTAAGAGTGTAGCTCAGAGGTAAAATGCTGGCCTAGCATGCACAGAGTTCTGAGTTTGATCTTTAGCACCATATAAATCTAGTATGGTAGCTCATATCTATAATCCCAGAGTTTAGGAGATAGAGTGAGGCAGGAAGGCCTGAAGTTCAAAGCCATCCGTGACTACCCAGGGAGGTTCAGTTCCAAGCCAGCCTGGGCCACGTGAGAGCTTGTCTCAAAACAAAAGAGAGTGAAGTGAGATTCGTTAGAACAGTACATGATTTGCTATATAAAGCCCTGGTTTTCTCCCTAGTAACATGTCTGGTTAGTATAACAATTTCACTAAATGTACTAACCTAGGAAAATAAAATGCCTGCAGGAAAATTGAACAATGGCCTTTGTGGATTCTACCTATTATCTAAGTTCTCTATTTCTCAGCTAGCAGTAGATCCAGGTTGAGCAACAGGCTTCCTCCCTTCCTTCTCCTGAGACTCTCCCTCTCCAACCCATCAGAGACTAAGAAGCTATAATGTCAGAGCTTCCTGCCAGGGCCAGGCACCTGGTCATCAGAAAGAAGGCAGAGAGCTCTTCTGTGTCTATGAACACCCACCCAGGAGGAAGCACACAAACCCAAGCCCTCTTTTGCACCACTTACCTCGATGGCAACACTGGTTTCTTTATTTTTGAAAAGCTGGAGCTCCTCCAGCTGCTGTCTGTCCTCAGCTGTCAGAACAGTGAGTGCATCTTCTGAAGGTTCCTTTAACCACAGAAAGCAAGGAAGTTACACAGAGACAGTAAAACTACCTTTCTTGGATCTTTAGGAAGAACTACTGAATACAAAAGATGGATTTTTTCTAGAGAGAGTTCTACCTCCTCGTCCACTGGAACAGATAAGTCATCCAAATGGCTGATCCGTCCATCTTTTCCAATTTCATGAACAACGAAGTCAGAGTATCTGATGAAAAGGAAAACAAAGTTTTCAAGAAGTGAACATTTTACTTTCTACTAATTTGAGGACAAAGTTTACTCATGGCAGCCCACACGAGCTTGTAACTTCAGCTCCAGTGGACCTGATGTCCTTTTCTAGCCTCCTTGGGTGAAGATAAACACATGCCAGCACTCACACCACACACATAAAATTAATGTTTAAAAATATCCATGTGGGGAGTGAACCTCTGACTTCCACATACACATGCATACATACATACCTGAGGTCTGTATTAAATCAAGTCATAAATACAGTCGATTAACTAAAGCTAAATAATGACAAGTTAATTAAAAAGTTAAATCAGAACCTAGTAAGTTTGTCATAAGCTACCACAAAAAGCTTGTTTCTATCATCACACATAACAACGTCTTAGCAACTTCCACAGTGACACTGGTGGATATGGGTACTAAGGCTCAGGAGACTCAGCTAACTATTAAGTAGCTGAACAGAGTTGTATCCAAATCCTTGTAGCTCCAAACAACCTCTTCCTACTGAAAACATGGTCTATTCAGATGAAGCAGTTTAAGATGAATTATAAGATGAATTCAGCAAGAAAACAAAAAATACCTTGAAAATGTCTAAAAGCATTCAACAAAACAAATACCACCCTCACACACTAACAATCTGCATCAGAGGGAAATTGTGTTTATTTAAACAGTTCTGGAAAAGGTCTGTCCTTGCTAAGAACTAAGAATTTATCATGAGCCGGATTGTGAATTAAAGGCCAAACTGGTTAAGTAGGAAGATTCTGTCAAGAAAGAATAAGAGAAAGGCAAAAGAAACAGAGGAGAAACAGGAAGAAAGCAAGAAATATAATGGGTGCAATACAGAGTGTTAGCCTAGTGTGCATGAGGCCATAAATTACATTCAAAATCCAAGGCCATTTACTTATGCAGCTCTCCCACACTCTATCCCTTTTCTATCAGAAATGTAAACAACCCCACATTTCTACCACTCAAGAGACTGTCGATTGAGAATCAAGACAATTTCTGCCTCAAAAACAAACAAACAAAAAAATATATATATTTTTTTTCTTTTTAAAGACAAGAAGATGGGGAAGACTGAAAAATTTTGGGGGAAGAGGGAGCAAAGAAAGAAGGAAAAATGAGGGGCTGGGACTGTAGCTCAGCAGTTGTGCTTGGCTAGGATGCCTAACCCTGGAGTCTGAATAGAAAGAAGTAAGAGAAAGCTAAATGCAAGACTGTATTGCTGATTTCTTTCTGAAGAAAAGTATTAATCAACACAAAGAAAACAAACATGTTCACTAAACACACCTTTCTTTTAAGATCCCTGAGAAGCCCTCATGAGGGCTTACAAACTTGGTGATGCCTACATCAAGTTCTGTGAGCCCATGCTTCATCATGTCTGCAAAGCTCTCCGGCTCCTCCTCTTCCACTGTCTCCGAAAGGCTGTCTTCTTCCTCTTCCTCCACTTGAACCTGAGCACAGGAATTCTTTTCATCTTTCTCGGCACTTTCAACTTCTGGAGGCCCAGGCTCCTCCTCACTGCTGTGTAGACTGTCATTTTCTACCCCATCCTGACTGTTGGTCAGACAGCATTCTGAGACCTTCTGTTTCTTTGTCTCCTCCTGAGCGGCCACACCATCATTATCTTCCACAGCAAGGCACCCACGTTTCAGGGACATGCTGGTCTTTTCCATCTTTAAGGCTCCAAGAAAACATTTAAGAGAACCTTTCAGAGAGGAGAAAAGAATAGAAGTTAACAATCTCCCATAAAGATCCCAGTTTTGGCAAACAGAGAAGCACAGTGAACCTTGTTCAAAGGGTCCTTAAAAAATCATTTGTTACAATAATTCTCAGGGGGATGGAAAGATGGCTCAATAGTTAAGAATGCTTGCTGATCTTTCAGAGACCCCAAGTTTGGATCCTAATACCTGTATCTGGTGGCTCATAACCACCTTCTAGTCTAGCTCTAGGAGATTAGACACTCTCTTCTTGCCTTCTAAGGCAATCACATATATGTGGCATTCACTGACACACATTCACATAAATAAAAATTGAAAGTATCTTTTTGATGAGAAAATAAGTAATGTGGATATTGGCATATACTCCAAAATATAAAAAGAGGAAACTAGGCTGGAGAGATGGCTCAGAGGTTAAGAGCACTGACTCCTCTTCCAGAGGTCCTGAGTTCAATTCCCAGCAACCACATGGTGGCTCACAACCATCCATTATGAGATCTGGTGCCCTCTTCTGGTGTGCAGATATACATGGAAGCAGAATGTTGTATGCATAATAAATAAATAAAATCTTAAAAAAAAAAAAAACTAAAATGACAACAAAAAAGAAATGAGAAACCTATGGTTTCCAACACACCATGTATAAAAATGCAATTAAAAAAAAAAAGAGGAAACTAGTACAACAGCTTGCACCAATAATCTCACGAGTAGTCAGGTCCAGTTGCGTGTGCTTTTAATCCCAGCATCTGGGAGGCTGATCAGTCAGGGCCGTACAGAAGGTCCCTACCTCAACAAATCAACAAACGGAAAACTTAAAAAAAAAAAAAAAAAGTAGTTTTAAGCCAGAAATATGTTTTTAGGGGTAATTTAGAGGGGCTCGAAAGATGGTTTAGTAGTTTGTTGCTTTTGCAGAGGACCCCCCCACATGGTGACTCACAACGATCCCAAATTTGTTTCACGGGATCTGATGCTTTCTTCTGACCTTTACAGAAACTACACACGCACACGGTGTATATATGTATATACAAGTCGAACTCTCATACATAAGAAATTTAAAGATTAAAATAAACCAAACCCGAACCAAACAGAATGTAAATTCAGGGGAGGAAGGGATGGCTCAGAAGTCAAGAGTACTTGTTGCTCTTTCAGAGGCTCTATGTTCAGTTCTCAGCACCTCCATGTATTGGGCTTACAACTGCCTGGAATTCGAGTTCTTAGGAATCCAGTGCTCTGTTGTGGTGTCTGAAGGTACATGGATACACACAGATAAGCAGGCACACACACATACACCTAAAACAAATTAAAAATTAAAAAGCTGAATAATATGTAGATGCAACTGACTAGGAACTGCAAAAGATGGTTACTTCTAGGTGAGGGCCGAGGTGGTTAAATGGGAGCAGTTGTGTTTCACCGAACACGGCCATGCCAGGTATGGGCATTATCTTCCCAAAACTGACAAAATACAGCAGTATGTAAATGAAAGCATACTCACACCACACCAAGAGATACAGGGTACTGCTGCATAATACCTCTGAAGTCAGCCTGGTATGAGGGTATACACCTGTAATCTCAGCACTTGAGAGGTAGAAATTATAAAGGAGTTCAAGGCCAGCCTGTGATAAAAGAAATTCTGACTAGGCCAGGCGGTGGTGGCACATACTTTGTCTCAGCAATCCAGCACTCAGGAGGCAGATCTCTGTGAGTTCAAGGCCAGCCTGGTCTACAGGGTGAGCTCCAGGACAGCCTCCAAAGCTACAGAGAAACCCTGTCTCAAAAAACCAAGAGAGAGGAGGGAGAGAGAGATTCTGACTCAAAACAGCAAAGGACTGTGGCTTAGTCAGCAAGGTGCTCCTAGCAAGCATGAGGACCTGAGTTTCATCTCTGGCACTCATTTTTTTTTTTTTTTTTTTTTTTAAAGCTGGAGCCTGGCAAGGTAGAGACAGAAGGATTCTCTGGGGGCTCCCTTCTAGCCAATGTGGCCAAACTGCTGAACTCTATATTCACTGAGACACTCCTAAAAAAGCAAGGTGCAAAACCCACAAGACAGTTCAGTGGTAAGGGGTGTGAATGTCTGGCCTGGCTGGTGTTAGCTTAGAAGGCCTATGTGGTAGAAGGGGAGAATGGGCTTCCACAGGGGTCCTCTGACCCCCACATTCGTACCCATGAGCACAGACACACAATCAAATATAGACAAATGTAACTTAAAAATTAAAAAAAAAAATACTAAAGCAGAGAAAGATAGAAGACTTCCGACATTGGCTTCGGGCTTCCCTTTGAATTTCTCTCAAAGCACACAGACACAAGATACAAGTAAAACAAACCACAAATTGCAAATATACCAGGTTGGCTTTAACTCATAACTATCCAACCTCTGCTTCTTGAGTGCTGTGATTGTAGGTGTGCTCCACTATGCCAGCTATTTTATGTATTTGACCACAATCTAAAAAGACACAGCCCCAAAACATATTATTATTTAACCAGACCTCCTGCAATGAACAAGGCAAAATCTAAGACATCACACCTACTTCCCCAGTGAAGAGGAGCTCAGGAGAGGAGCAGACACAGAGCAATCAAAATTAAAGATATTCTGGACAAGGCATGTCTATCTACTTGGTCTTTTTTTTTTAAATTTTTTTATTCATTTTACATACCAACTACAGTTCCTCCTGCCTCCTCTATTCCCACTCCTCTCCCAGCCTGAACCCACTCCTCCGAAAGGGTAAGGTCTCCCATGGGCAGTCAGTAAGTCAACAAAGACTGGCACATTAAGTTGAGGCAGGACCAAGCCCCTCCCCACTGCATCAAGGCATCCTACCACAGGGAATGGGCTCCAAAAAGCCAGCTCATGCACCAGGGATAGATCCTGGTCCCACTGCCAGGGGCCCCTCAGATAGACCAAGCTACACAACTGGTCTTATCAACTTGCTCTTACTTAAAACTAAAATAAGGACGTATGTTTTCCTATTTTTGTAACATAGACAGAAAAGTGAACTTATTACAAACTCAGCAAACATATTAATAAAACCATAAACAAGCTCCAAAAATATTCTAATCCTCTAAGTATGGCTAATGAAAAACCAGAAGCAGCCATGATTAGATAATAAAAATAATGGAAATAAGAACTGGCACTTGGGAGGCAGAGGCAGGCAGATCTCTGTGAGTTAAAGGCCACCCTGGTCTACAGCTAGTTCCAGGACAGGTAGGGCTGTTACACAGAGAAACACTATCTCAAAAATAAATAAATAAATAAATAAATAAATATAAGCTTAACAGACCAGTTGGTCTGTTATTTCTTTCCAGGGTGCAAAATCTCAGTTTCATTAGTGTCTTGTAGTGGCCCAAGCCTATTGAGTTCCAGGACTGCCTGGTCTACACAAAGAGTTCCAGAACTTCCAAGCTACATAGTAGAGAGACTGTCTCAACCCTTCCCCCACAAAATGACAGAGGTGTGGTGGTGGGGGGGATAAGGTGGATGCCCCTTTCCTGTAAGACCAGCACTTAGAGGGCTGAAGCCAGCCTGGTCTACATAGTAAGTCCTGTCTCAAAACTATGTGCTAAATGAACTTGTTAAATTAACAAATTCTGTCTGTTGGCTATTTCTTAATAATTGGACATGATTTCCCTCTTTCTCACTATAGTTAATAGTCTGATTTTTGACAGCTCCTTCAATAATAAAACATTGCCCTGGCCACTGGGCATACCAATTTACAGACGGCCACAGATTTGTTGGTGGTGGTGGTGTTTTAGAGTGGGAACAAATTAAAACAACACCTATATTTTTGTGATTTTTTTTTTTAAAGCGACCTTGAACTCTCCCAGCTCTACCTTCTTGACAGGCGCTCATAAACAGCAACAACCATGTGTTTTTAAAGCCACCTCAGTATAGAGCTGGTGGGAAGGACCAAAGGGTAAGTAGCCTGCACAGTCACCCAGCAGACGCCTGCCGGATTGCTTCCCCGGGGATGAGGCCTGCTCAGCACCTAACACGTTGGCAGCCAGTACCAACACCACTCCCAGACTGGTGCAAGCTGGTCGGAAGATTTGGGGGGCCGAGCAGGGATGGGAAAAAGGCTGGTTTGTTTTTCTAAGAGGGAGATGAGTTTGGGGAGCGCCTGAGGCTCCTCCAAGCAAGGAAATAGAAGGAAAAGGTTCCAGGCCACAGCGCAGCTGCCAAAGAAGGGATCCGGACACAGCGCCGCCTAAGGATCGGAGCGACGATCTGGGATCCGGGGCCGGTAATAAGGGACCTGGGATCGGGGAGCAGAAGGCGGGACGACCCGGGGCGGCGCGGACCGGGCACGTCCGAAGGCCTGGGGCCGCGCACTTACCCGGAGCCTGCGGCGCGGGCCCAGCGGCCAAGGAGGCGCTAGGCTTGGGACGCAGCAGGGGAGCGGCGGCCACTCGGCGGAGACAGGGGCCAGCGCTGGTCAGCGGAGCCTTCACCCGAGGAAACCCACTCACGCAGAGTCCCCGCGGCCGCCGGCCGGGCTCAGCTCGCACACGTGCAGCACACAGCGGAGCAGCTCAGCGCAGGCCACGCCCTTGGGCGGAGCCGGCCCCGCACGCCCGCGGGTTCCGGGGGACGCTCCGCCCTATGCAAAGGATGCTGAGCGCCTTTAGGACTGCAGAGACAGAGACTGCCGTTTTAGTTGTTAGCTGCGCTGGAGTGAGAGCGTCTTTCACAGTTTATTATGGTTAAGAGCGCGTATTCACTGAATAGGTTTCCTATCAACGTTTCCACGCTTGTATTGTGTTTTGATCATGTTCAGACATTATAATCCTTTTTTGTTGTTGTTGTTGCGCCCCGTTACTTAGTGAACAATAGTGAAAGAATCGCTTTCTCTTCTGCAACTCGGTACTTGCAAACGTAACAAGAACCAAGAATGCCATTCTCCTCCAATACCTCTTTGAGACAGGATATTGCTCTGAAACCCAGGCAGGCCTGGAACTCGGCAATCTGCTGCCTATATTTTGTTTTTGTCACTTCTTACTTTTGACAACTTCTCAGGACCACTGTCTTCAAGAAAATCCCATCATTGCTGGCCTATGCTTTGGGGTAAAGAAAAATAAAATGTATTTTTCTTATCATGCACTTCAAGTAGCAAACGGACCAAATCAAAACATCCCATAACATAGTAACATGTCAGATGCAAAATTTTTTGACAGACTTCAACTCAGAGCAAAAATAAAATAAATCTACATTAGTGGAATGTGGCGGTTTGAAAGGAAATGCCCCACAAAGGAACTATCAGGAGGTTACTGTGGAGGTGGGCTTTGAAGTCTCATATATGCTCAAGATTCTGCTCAGTGCCTCAGACCACTTTCTGTTGCCTGTCAGATATAGAGCTCTCAGCTACTTCTCCAGCACCATGTCTGCCTGTGAGTCGCCATGTCTCAATGTGATGATAATGAACTGAACCTCTGAACTGTATTCGAGCCACCACAACGAAATGTTTTCCTTTATAAGAGTTCCTGTGGTCATGGTGTCTCTTCACAGCAATAGACTCCCTGACTAAAACATGGAGTGTCACAAGCCTGTCTCTCCGGCACTGAGGTGATGGAGGCAGAAGGACCAGAAGCTTAAGATCATTTGGGGGCTATGTAAGGAGTCCCAGATCAGCATGGATTAGGTAAGAACTCATCTCAAATAAAAATTCTATTTTAAATCTTTCTATGTCTCTTAGACTCTGTGTATATGTTCACATATGTCATGCTTAGTTTTACTTGTCAATTTGAGAGAATCTAGAATTACCTGTGAGACAGGCCCCTGGCTGCGTCTATGCAGAATTATCCTGATTGGGTTAATTGAAATGGGAGGGCTCTCATACTATGAATAGCATCATTCCCTGGTTGGGATTCTCAACTGTGTAAATCAGTGGTTCTCAACCTGTGGGCCTTGACCCCTCTTGGGGATCTCGAATGACCCTTTCTTTCACGGGGTCACCTGAGATCATTGGAAATATCAGATATTTAAATTATGATTCATAGCAGTAGCAAAATTTTAGTAGAAGCAAAAATAATTTTATGGCTGGGAACTGTATTAAAGAGATGCAGCATAAGGCAGGATGAGAACCGCTAGTGTCAATCGAAAGAGAGAACTTAGCATTAGCATTCGTTACTCTCTGTTTCCAATTGTGGATGTGATGCGACCAGCTGCTGCAAGGTCCTTAGCTTCCCTTCCATAATGGACTGTATCCTTGAACTATCCGTCATCATCAGCCCTTTCTCCCTTAATTTTATCATAGGAAAGAAACTAAGACTATTGGGTGTTTTCCTTTATGGATTTCTACCTTGTTTATTTATTGCATGTTTATGACATGTGTGTATGTGTGTACATGCCTACATGTGGAGGCCAGATGTCAGTTCTGTAGAAGTTGGTTCTTCCCTTTTATCTTTACATGGTTTCTGGGGATAGAAGTCAAGTTGTCAGGCTTGCTTGGCAAGTGCCTTCATCTTCTGAGCCATTTTGATGGGCCTTATTTTTTGATAAAGTTTTTCACTGACTGGAGCTCATCTATTTGACTAGACTGGTTGGCTGGAGAGCTTAAGGATATTGACTTTCTAATGCCTGTATTACAGTATCTGCTGTGCCCAACTTTTTACATGAGATCCAAGATCTGAACTCAAGTCCTCATGCTTGCACAGTGAACGCTGGATTGACTAAACCATCTCCTTGTAGGTGAAGGTTTTCATCAGGACCGAGATCAGTTCTGTTCCACCAGCTGCTTCCCACATAACCATTCAAAGACTTAGTAATTATAAATGCTCAACCGATAGACTGGTCTGTTACTACCCAGCTCTTACAACTTAAATTAACCCATTTCTATTAATTGATCTGCTGCCAGAGGCTCTTGGCTTTTACCTCTCCTGCATGTCCTGCTTCCTTTCCATCTGGCTGGTGACTCCTCTGACTCTGCACTCCTCCTTCCCAGCATTCTTTCTGCCCTGAAGATCCTGCCTAGCTATTGGCCAATCAGCTTTTTATTAACAACAAGAGCAGTGCATATTTACAATGTACAAAGACTATCCACAGCATCTCCCTAAACCAAGACTTCTTCTTAAAATATGGATTTAATGTGAAGATTCAGCTAATTGTGTCATTGTCTTAATTACTTTCCTACTATTATAATGAGACACTATCTCCAAGAGAAAAAAAAAAGAGTTTATTGGGGCTTACAGTTTCAGAGATCGAGTGCATGACAATCATAGTGGACAGTGAGCTGCCATTGACACACCTCCCCCAACAAGGCTGCCTCTCTCATTCCTTCCCAGTCTACCAACTGGGGAGCAAGTATTGAAACATAGGAGCCTATGGGGCCATTCTCATTCAAACTCCACAGTCTTGTGTAATTAGCTTAGACTCATGGGCTCTGCCTTCCTTTAGGATTATTCGCCTCAGTTACCTACCTAGATTCTCTCCATTGTCCTTAATTCACTCACTGCTTTTCTTTGTGAGAAGGCTGAACCCAAATTCAAGCTCCTCCTCCCTCAGCCTCCCATGCCTGGTTCACTTCACTAACTCTTGTGCAATCTCATACTCTTGGACATGGCAAATTAATGAATTAATGCCTCAGTATCAGCAGATCCAAGTACAGCTATGTGGTACAATTTTTATTTTATTTGCTTTTATTTTTATTTTATTTTTTGGTTTGTCGAAACAGAGTTTCTCTGTGTAGCCTTGGTTGTCCTGAAACTCTCACTCTGTAGACCAGGTTGGCCTCGAACTCAGAGAGATCTGACTGCCTCTGCTTTCCAAGTGCTGGGATTAAATGCGTTCGCCACTACTGGCCAGCTCTATTTTGATTTTTAAAATTTTTATTTATTTTGCTATTTTTAATTTTTAAAGCATCTGGATGTTTTGCCGGTATACCAGTGTGTTCCTGGTGCCTGGAGTCTAGAAATTACTCCCCTAGAATTGGAGTTACAGCCAGTTGTCAGCTGCTGGGTGTGCTAGGAAGTGAATCTTGACTCTTTGGAAGAGCTGAACAGTTAGTACTCTGAATTGCTGAAGCCATCTCTCCAGACCCTAATATTTATTTGTTGAGACATAGTCTCATGTGACTCTGGCTGTCCTTGAACTTACAAAGATTCTTGCCTTCTGAGTTTTGGGCTAAGAGGCACGCACCACCACTCCTGGCTCCTAATTTTTATTTTCATTTTATGTATATAGGTGTTTTGTCTGCATATGTCTACATGACAGTGAGTTTTCTTCTCACTGAGTAGCTTCTGTTTTCTATAAAGATTTTTTTCCTGCTGGGGCCCCATTTGCTTTGCCTTCCAGGATTTGCTTGTGAGGTTGTCAGATGTGCTCTACCTATCCGGAAAATGGTAGAGGGTTGGGGGGCTCTGCCAGGCAAAATGCATGATAGATTTTGAGTGCTTTTCTTCTATCAGGCTTCCAGGATGCTTCAACCCCCTTACAAATAGATCTGGGCTCTCCAGTTGGAAAAGATGAAGGTCATCTCTATGCAATCTGACCAGCATTAAATAAAGATCTGGTGCTGGCATTCATTAGTAAATCCATGCCAAACCAAATAACCTGCTCTGGCTCTGGCCACCATGCTAATTTTCAGAACATCAGGATAGTATCTAAACATTTATATAAATTTGCAGTTTCATATAAGATCTATGACATGGAGAGAGCTCTATTATTACTTAGAATTTTTAAACTTTTATTTATTGGTGGGGCGATCGAAGAGGTACGTGGAGGTCGGAGGACAACTTGCAGGAGTTGCTTCTCTTCTTCCACCATATGGAACACAGGTGTCTTGGTGGCAAGTTCTTGTACAGGCTAAGTCATGTTGAGATAGGCATTCTCCATGTTGCCCCCTAGCTGACACAGAAACTAGTGGCAATCCTCCTGCCTCTGCTTCTGAATCACGAGACTTGCCTCCCATGAGAGGGCCAAAGCCAAAGTATTTTCTTTTCTTTCTTTCTTTCTTTTTTAAATTTATTTATTTATTATGTGTGCAGTGTTCTGTCTGCATATGTCCCTGAAGGCCAGAGAGGGCACCAGATCTGATTCCAGATGGTTGTGAGCCACCATGTGGTTGCTGGGAATTGAACTCAGGATCTTTGGAAGAGCAGCCAGTGCTTTTAACCTCTGAGCCATCTCTCCAGTGTACTCAAGGGCGCCTTGAGCTCAGTAAATAGCTGGAGCTGACTTTGAACTCTCGATCCTCCTGCCTTCCCTCACCTCCCAAATGGTGGGATTACCAGTGTGAGTCACTCGGCCAGGGCCGAATTCTGTTTTTATTAACTGCAAAGTGAAGGAGCTCTGACACAGGGGAGGATGCTAGCCCATACCAGGCTGGGAAGTAGGAGAGCCACTTGGGTTTCCTGCGCAGCCGATCTGACAGCCAAGCAGCAGGTGGCGCCGTGGAACAGGACAGCGGCGACGCAGGTGGGTCTGTCTCTCTAGCCTGCGAGAACGGAACCAGCGAGAGGGCGAGCGGAAGTCGAGGTGGCGGCACTGCTTACTTTGCTCGCGGCTGCCCTGGCTGGGCTGTATGAGCCGGGCGGGCGGCGGATGGAATCGAGGCAGGATGCTCGCAGCTGGCGAAGCGGGCCAGGAGCCGGCGGCCCCGGTGAGCGTCCCCGGAAGCCCGGGGGAGGGAGGCCGCCGGGGGGCGGAGCCGCCGCTGTCCCGGGGAGGGTCCCGGCAGTGCAGGTCGCAGCCCCCGGGAGAGGCCGAGGCCCCCACCGACAGCAGGGCCTTGGGAGGCCGGTGCGAACCACACTTCCTGGAGTCTAACTTGTTTGCCGCTCGTGTTTTTCTGCCAGTGCTGCCCCGAAGGCGGTGACAGAGTGAAGAACGCGGAGGAGAAAAGTAAGCCGCCTCCACACCCTCCCAGCACACTCTTCCAGGCTCTGCAAAAGAGGTGGCGCGGCCTGCTACCTTTTAAACGAGTTATTTTTTTCCCCTGTAGGTTGTTTAAATAGCAATAAATACTAGTTGCACGAGGACTTCTGTCTCTTTAAGACTGTAAAATACAGAAGAGAACTTTGAGACTCTACCTAGTGCCCTGACTGGTGTGACTTCACTGGGGCCTGTTATTTTAATGAAACAGCAGCTTGTTATCAGGAGGGAGTGTTGCTGGGTTCAAGGAGGAGGTTAGATAACTGCTCACTTATACTTTTACCTTTAGTAAATTTGTAATTAAAATTTGCTGCAGGTAGAACACAACTTAGGCCTTGGGTCTTGGTCTGGATAGGGGACAGGGAAAGATCTGGTGCCTCCATTTCCTACCTAGGACAGGAAAATATTCCAGAAATGTGGATATTTGTCATTCAACTGTAATAAGATAAGCATAGCAGGTTATTAGAAATCCAGTACTCTTCAGGGGCTGTTTTTGTTATTTTGTGTTTTTTTTTTTTTTTTTTTGAAACAAACTCAAATGTAGCCCAGGTTGACCACCGACTACTATGTGACTAAGGATGACCTTGAACTACTGATCCTTCTGCCTCTATCTCCCAGATGCAGTATGTCTAATCCCTTCAGGAGCTTTTGAAGGATTCCCTCTTTTTTAGAGGAAGGAGAAGAGCAAGTAATGGCTTTTTTGCGTGTTAGAGTTCAGTTCAATGACCTGGACAAGCAGACTGATAGAAATTAGCACTAAGAGAAAGGGGGCTCATGTCACCACGTGGCTCCTAGCAATAAGGCTTGCTCTTACTATTAGCTACTGATAAACCCCTCCCCCCTTAATTCTTCTTGGATCTGGAAAGATTGCTTGGTGCTTAAGAGTGCTTGCTACTTTTACAGAGGACCTTTGGTCCAGAACCCAGGTGAAGGCTCAGTACTCTAGTTTCAGGATTATAAATGCCGTGTTCTCACCTCTTGGGGCTCTTGCTTACACTTGGTACAGGTAAACTCATGGAAGCAAACACACGTGCACATAAATGAACAAATCATTTTTTAAAAAAGCAGAAATGATCTGGGAGATATTTATTACAGTGGCAGAGCTCTTGCCTAGCACTTTAGCATCTGGGGGTTTGGACTCAAGCACCACCACCAAACAAACAAAAAATGGGCTTAGCTGTTAAGAGTATTTGATGCTCTTCCAGAGGAACTGGGTTTAATTTTCAACACCCATGGGGTGGCTAACCACCACTTGTAACTATAGTTCTAGGACATTCAATGCCATTTTCTGGGTCTGTGGCCTCTGTAGATTGAATGGATGTGGCACACAGACATACATGAAGACAAAACACCTATACACATTAAAATAAAATCTTCAAAAGTTCAAAACAAAACCAAACCAAAAACATGTAGCAGGAATAATAAAAACCCAAGGACAGATGTAGGGGTTAAAACTGAAGATCAGAAAAGCAAACTGGCTAGCCACTAGAGAGTTCTCACCTCTACCAGTGCTCAGGTGGAAAAGGGTGATCGTGTCCTCAGACTGCATCTTCAGTCTGCACTGCTCCTCTGACTGCACTGGTCTCCAAACCTCAGACTGATGAGCTCCTGTCTCCTCCTGTATTATATTCCTCTCTAGTGCTGGGATTAAAGGTGTGTGCCACCACTGCCTGGCCTCTATGGCTAGCTAGTGTGGCTAGCTTTGCCCCCTGATCTTCACGCAAGCTTTATTTGTTAGATCATAAACAAAATATCACCACAGAAACACAAACAACCCTTTCCTTCTCTACCTTTGTCACACTAAGATGCTTTGACTCTTTTTGACATCAACTGATATGTCATTTTAGAATGTTAGGCACAAACCACTTCATTAAGGACTTTGTCCTTGCGTATTCAGGGGCTCAGTCAACTGCTGTGCAATGCTGAATGTTCTTTATATATAAGATTAAAAGGGAGAGACATAAAAACTTCCCAAGCCAGGTGTGGTGGCTCATGTCTGAAATCCCAGCCCTTAGGAGGTTGAGGCAGAAGGATTGCCATGATTTGGAGACCAGTTTAGGTCATATATTTAGAGCCTATCTTTTGTTTTTTTAGATCTTTATTTTTTAGTTATGTGCTGTATAATTAAGCCTAGACTCTCCTCTTTTTTAAATTTACTTTTTTTATTTTTATGACGTTTTGCTTGCATGTATGTCTGAGTTCCATATATATGTCTGGTGCCAGAGGAGGCCAGAAGAGGGCTTCAGATCCCTGGGAACTGGAGTTGAGATGGTTCTAAGCTGTCAGGTGGGTGCTGGAAATCAAATCCTGGTCTTCTACAAAAGCAACAAGAGCTATTTCCAGCCCATAGATCCTCTCTTAGGAAACCAAAATTAAAACCAGGTATGGTGGTGCATGCCTATTATCCCAGCACCCGAGAGGTGGAGACATGAGGGTTAGAAGTTGAAAGTCAAAGTCATCCTTGACCACATAGCAAGTTTGAGAACAGCTTGGGATACATGAGATCTTTCTCAAAAGCAAATAAATATAAATAGATAATAAAAATCTACTTATTATTTTGAAGGATGTCATATGTGCTTAAGAATGTGGTATACTGCTGGGCATTGGTGGCGCACGCCTTTAATCCCAGCACTCGGGAAGTAGAGGTAGGCAGATCTCTGATTTCTCGGCCAGCCTGGTCTACAGAGTGAGTGCCAGGATAGGCTCCAAAGCTACACAGAGAAACCCTTCCTTGAACCCCCCCCCCCGCCCCCCCCCAAAAAAAAACCAGAATGTGGTATACATTATTTAAATATTTACACATAGTGGTTGTAATTTTGTTTAAAGTGACGGTAAATTGACCACCCAGGTTACAAAAACCTGCCTCCCAAATATACTCCACACAACTCATTTGTTATATTTATGAAAGGTTCTTAAGATATTAAGAGTTCAGGACGAGATTGCAGTTGGATTATTTTGTTTTTTGAGACACCGTGTCTTACGTATCCCAGACTGGTTTTAAACTTGGCGTGTAGCTGAGGATGCCGCTGAATTTCCCATCTTCCTTCTCCATCATAGGTGTGTGCCACCACATCCGGTGTCTCCAGGCTAGGGCAATGAACCCAGAACTTAATGCGTCAGTTTTTCCAGTTGAGTCACATCTCTAGCCACAGATAATTGTACTTTAATATGTAACAGTTATTATCATGATTAACATGTCAGAAATTATTAAAGTTTAGATATAGAAAAACAACTCTTCATATATGAAGAGAATAAAATAGTTTTGAATTAAAAGCCAGGAAACATGATCTTAGTCTCATTTTTAGCCTTTATTCACTGGGACATATATAACCTCTTATTTTATAGTTTGGCAGTTGAGACTTAGCTGTGTTTTATTTCTCCTATCAGTTGCCTCTTGCTTCTCATCCATTGTAAATTATCTGCTTCTTTTTTTCTAAATAAAATTTTTATTGCATTTCATTTAATGTGTGTGTGTTTGTGTGTGTGTGTGTGTGGGGTGTGTGTGTGTGTGCATGTGTGCTGTGTGTGTGTGTGTGTGTGTGTGTGTGGGGTGTGTGTGTGTGTGCATGTGTGCTGTGTGTGTGTGTGTGTGTGTGTGTGTGTGGTGTGTGGGGTGTGTGTGTTTTGTGTGTGTGTGTGTGGACAAAGGCATGTGCAACCTATGGTGATTGTGTGGAGGTCAGAGGACAACTTGTGAGAGTTAGCTCTCTCCTACCATGTGGGTCCTGGGCATCAAACTTAGGACATCAGGCATGGTGGCATCAGGCATGGTGGCATCAGGCATGGTGGCAAGTACCTTTACCTGCTGAGCCATTTGGCTGGCCAATTTCTCTTTAATTTATTGATTCATTATTTTTGCAGAATTGAGAGTTGAATGTAGGTTTTTGCTTAGGCTGGACAAGTATACTATCAGTGAACTACATCTTTACCACCAAAATATTTTAATTCTTGTAAGTTAACTAGAACAAAGAATAAATTGTTTTCTAGAGTAGGGAGAAGAGAGAAGGAATGAATACTTGGCAGCAACAAACACATGATGTGTAATTGTTCTTTTACACTTTGTGTTTGTGTGTGTGTATGTGCATATCCTAGAACATACAATTTGCAGGAGTTGTTTCTGCCCTTATACTATATGAGTTCCAGGGATTGAATTCAGGCCATCAGGCTTTTAGTAAGTTCCTTTACCCAATGAGCCTTTTTTTTTTTTTTTTTTTTTTGCTTTTTTCGAGACAGGGTTTCTCTGTGTAGCTTTGGAGCCTATCCTGGCACTCGCTCTGGAGACCAGACTGGCCTTGAACTCCCAGAGATCCGCCTGCTTCTGCCTTTCGAGTGCTGGCATTAAAGGCGTGCACCACCACTGCCTGGCACACCCATAACAATTTTTTTTTTTAAAGCATCAGCTTATGTGTAGAAGCAGCTGCTTTTAAAATAAACCATTTGTACAATATAGTAATTACGGTAGAGTAGGAGAAGAAAGGTAACATTACTAAGTGTGAGCCCTGCATCCTCAATTCTCAAGAAGCTGTCAGGAGTCTCCTCTGAGGGGCAGCGTGCCTGAGCCAGTGGCACAGGAGAGCAACAAGTTAGCGGTGCTATAGAACCATAAATTTCAGGACGGTAGGAGATGATTTAATTGCTTTAAAAATTTTTTGTTTAATTGTTTTTTTTTTTGAGACAAAATGTTTTTATTTTGTAGCCCAAGTTGGCTTAGAGCTCCGGATTCCCCCACCTTTACTCCATAGTACTGGGTTTACAGGTGTGCACTACCACACCTGACATTTAACTGTTTCTGAAGTGGACTTTTATTTAGTACAAAATGTTTTAATTTGTTTAAAAATGTTTGAAACTTTTTTGTTTGTGTATTTGCCCCTTGCTCCACTCCATAAAGTATTTGTGGCAATTTAAACTCAATGAAGTTAGCATCCTATGATAATGGAACAAGGTTGAGTCTTCAGGGTGAGAGATGATTTATAGGGAAAGATGAGTTTCCAAGCACAGGATAGTCCAGGAAGATCTCTAGTCCAAATGAGGTGAGAGTAAAGCTCAGAGCTGTCTTTGTTTCCACTCTGCATTACTTTTTTCTTATTTTTATTTTATGTGCATTGGTGTTTTGCCTGCATGAATGTCTTTAGGAGGGTGTCGGATACCCTACATCTGGACTTACAGACAGTGCTAGGAATTGAACCCAAGTCCTCTGGAAGAGCAGCCAGTGCTCTTAACTGCTGAGCTTTCTCTTTAGTTCCCAAATTACTTGTTTTAATGTTTAATAAAATTTCCCCCCCCCACTACCAGTCTCCTCTCACAATAAATAAAAATATTTTTAAAAGTTTTGTGTGTAAGGGATTTTTGTATATAGTTTACCATCTCAGTTTTTTTTTTTCAGTGTGTTTGAATAACATATTTTAACATTGTTTTTCACGTATATAAAAGCCAGAGCTGCCTTTTGATATTCTAGATCATAGTTTTGGCTCCTTACCAACTTTGAAAGTTACGTATTGTCATACCCATAACTCTTGAAAACCCTTAAGATTTAGAAAGTTTTTTCTTTGCTCTAAACTTTCTCCGCCTGTGAGCATCTTGTGGTAATTGGTTGATTAACTGTTTCATTTTTATAATTTGGGTATTACCTATATAAACTCAGATACACATGTATGTAGTTAGAGACACAGTATGGGTGTGTACGCTTTAAATTATCAGGAGGTGCTGAGAATTGAACACAGTAGGCAAGTATGCTGTATTGCTGAGCTTTTGCTCCAGCCCTGAGTTAAACCTTTAAGTCTAGTATACTAACTTGTGTATCCTTTTTATAGCCCCGGTATGCTTTTCTACTTTCTGTAACACAGTGATGTGTGTAGTTGCTTTCCCTGTCTGTAGGTGACATGAGCATTGCAGCTCTTGTTGGAAGCGACCAGCTCACACAAGATGGAGATGATGATGAGCTTCTCCTGAGTGTGTCTGCATTCATAGAAAAGGAAGTGGGAAGTGACCTTAAATCTTTAAAGAAACTTGGCAAACTCATAGAAAAGATGACAGAAGACAAAATAAAGTTAGAAGAACAGGTAAGCATTAAGCCCAGTGAGATTGTGTTAGCTGTGTTCACTGAAACTGAACATAAACAGTGTTATGTATACTGCAAGTCATGCATTTGAAGATGTAGATCATGATAATCATTTAACTGAGTGATAGGCATCAAAGACTCATGCTGACCATTTTATAAACAAAGTAAAGACTTCCTACTGATTTCTATCTTTGAGAACAAAATGCTAGCTAACATTTTATATCATCTTCATCTAATAACTTTTAGAACAGCTTTATGGATAATCCAGAATGTACAAAATGATTAAACACTGTCATTTCAAGTTTTTATAAATACATAGAGAAAGGAAACGTGTCTACTGTTTAGTAGTTGCTGGGTGTGGTGGCACATGCTTACAACATCAGCACAGGCAGGTAGGAGGCAAGTGCATCAAGAGTTCAAGGCCAGCCTCAGTTATGTCATTTCTGTAGACCATTCTGGGTTCCATGAAACCTTGTCTCAAAAATAATAAAAAAAACTGAAAGAGAGTTTTAACAATGTTTGTTTCTGAGAGTTGTTTGAAAGATGATTTTCTTCATGCTTTTATGTATTATCATGGTTTCAGTTTACAATGAACATAATACTATATTTTAAAAACCCAATGAAAATAATCTTAAGCTAAAGAGAAGTAGGTCTTTATAGTTGCACTACTCTGTCAAAGATGAAAGGTTTGATAATGTAAAAAATTAGTTAGGTTAAGCAAACTGTGAATGTGTGGGCATGATGTGCTCTGGTTCTTTCAGCCCCGTGCACTGGTCAGGCCTTCCCCCCTCCCATCACAGCGACTGCTGGTCTTCTTGTGTAGCCTGCTCTGTCAGCTTTTCCAGGCCTTCAAGGTTCTGTTTGAGAATGTCACACTGTTGCATCACTCCAGGATGGCCCCTTTTGTGGCCTGCTACCATGCCCATCTTCAGCTCTGCTTTGCAGTCTTTCCTTGCTACCTGCCTCTCTCATCTTCTGAATTTTCCCTAAATGACTACCCTATATGGCTATTCTGCCATTCCCTTTTCTCTAACAAAAAAATGGAAGCATCTGGCATGAATATTAATTTAACAGTCTATCCCATAGTTCCAAACTTATTTGTAATCACTTTTTCCTTTTCAGAGGTAAACTAATTTTTTGTTTACCACTAAAGGGTTCCAGGTGAGCCTGTAATAAACTGTGTAGCAGGGAATGGCCTAGAACTTCTGATCTTCCTCCTTCCACCTCTGGAGTGCTAGAATTTTCAACATGTCCTACCACTTTGTTTTCCCAGGGATCAAATTCAGGGCTTTATGCGTGCTGGGCAAGCACTCTCCCAAGCAGGAACTCAAGTAAGACCCCTGGGGACAGGAATGACGAAGAGACCAAGGAAAAAACGATGCTTATTGGCTTGCTTCTTCTTCTTTTTTTTTTTTTAATAACTAAGAACACCTGACCACAGGTGGCATTACCCATAGTGGGCTGGGCTCCTCCATGTCAGTCATTAGTAAAGAACATGCCCACAGACTTTCCCGAAAGCCTGTCTGTATGAGCATTTTCTCAGCTGACTCTCTCCCAAATAAATCACACATACAGAGACTTATTCTTAGGGACGCCTGGCCCTACCTAGCTTGGCTTGTTTTTTTGCCAGCTTTTCTTAACTTAAAATACCCTATTTTTTCACCTGTGGGCTTTTTTTTTTTTTTTTTAACTTTTGTATATCTTTTTACTCTGTGGCTGACCCCTCATGTTCTCCTTCTATTTGCCCTCTCTGCCTGTCAGCCCTGCTTATCCTTGCTCCTGCCTTGCTATTGGCCGATCAGCTCTTCATTAGACCATCAGGTGTTTTAGACAGGCACAGTAACACAGCTTCATAAAGTTAAATAAATGTAGCATAAACGGAAGTCACACGTGTTAAAATAACATTCCCAGATACTTGCCTGGGAGCCTTGTATTGGGAGCTCGAATTCCTCCCCCCCTCCTGTGTGTGTGTGTGTGTGTGTGTGTGTGTGTGTGTGTGTGTGTGTGTGTGTGTGTGTCATGAGTGTGCAAATGAATAAGCCAGAGGTCAGTGTCAGGTGTCTATCTTTTATCACTTTCCACCTATATTTTTGAGGCAGGGTCTTTTACTGATTTAGCTAGATGGGCTGGTCACTGAGCAGAGATCAGCCTGTCTCTGTGCTCCTAGCATGAGGGTTACAGACACAGTGCTGTGCCTGGTTTTTTACCTTCTCAGCCCTTTTTATTTTTTATTTTTTGAGATAGTCTTATGTAGCCTACCTAGGCTGGCCTAGAACTCAGTAAATATGCCAAGGGTGACCTTGAATTCCTCGTTCTTCTGCTTCTACATCCCAAGTGCTGGAACTGAAGGTATGTGCCACCACACCTAGCCAAACCTTTTGTTTAAAGGGTTTTTATGTTTTATTTTTAAGACAGGGTCTCATTACCTAACTGTAGCTGCCCTGAAACTCACATATAGTCTCAAACTTACAAAGGCTCTCCTGCACCTTCTACCTTCTGAATGTTGGGATTAAAGATGTACACCACCATGCACAGCTAACGTGAAAATTTTAGTAGAAAGCTTTCAGTTCTGTTGGAACATGTTTTTGGAAAAGACTAAACTAACAAAATTTTACCTCATTGCTAATATTTTTGTGTGTTGTTAGGTACTTACTATTTCATCAGAAATCCCTAAAAGAATTCAAAGTGCTTTAAAAGATGCAGAAGAATCCAAACAAGTTCTTAATCAGTTTTTGGAGCAGGAAGCTCCTCTCTTCAGTTCTATCACTAGCCATCTACTGACTGCACAGCCATGGATGGATGATCTCGGGGCCATGATCACCCAGATAGAAGAGATTGAGCAGCATCTCACATACCTTAAATGGGTTTCACAGATCGAAGAGTTAAGGTGGGGCAGGCATTGTTCTCATAATTATTGTTTCCTTTGAGTCTGTCTCAGAGAGAGAGAGTGTGAGAGAGAGACATAGAGACTGTGTGTGTGTGCTGTTAAATAATTGAGTTAATTAAAGATTATAATTTTTACCAGTTGTTAGGAAAATGACAGTGTGGTAATGATTATTCTGCTCTGTTGTGAATGAACATAAACTTTTTTGTTTTGCAGGTTTTTTTTTTTTAATTTGAATTAGAAACAAGATTGTTTTACATGACAATCCCAGTTCCCTGTTCCTCCTGTCCTCCCCTACTGAACATAAACTTTTTAGGGAGCTTAATTCACATTTGAAAGAAAGTAAGTTAAAAATTTAAGGCTGCACATGCCTTTAATCCCAGCACTTGGGAGACAGAGGCAGAGGCAGTCGAATCTCTGTGAGTTTGAGGCCAGCCTGGTCTACAGATTGAGTTCCAGGACAACCAAGACTACACAGAGAAACCCTGTCTCGAAAAACCAAAAAAAATTAAAAAGTTAAAAAAAAAATTAATGCTTAAGCAGTTGTGTTTTCCTCCTTCCTTCCTTCCTTCCTTCCTTCCTTCCTTCCTTCCTTCCTTCCTTCCTTTCTTCCTTCCTTCCTTCCTTTTTTTTTTTTATTTTTTGAGACGGGATTTGTCCTGAAACTCACTCACTAGGCTGGCCTCCACTGCCTAGTCAAAACTGCTGTTTCTGATGCCATATTTCTTCGAGTCTGTTCATCAGTGGTCCCATAAATATTTAGAGGTGGTCACATGTTGACCTGCATAGTTTCACCTAGAATTTGAATTTTCTTCATTGGTCATCATCTAATTAAAGAACTGCATTGTAAGAGGCTGAGAGATGGCTCAGCAGTTAGAAGCACTTGCTGCTCTTCCAGAGGACCAGGGTTCAGTTTCTGGAACTCACATGGCAGCTCACACCTCTGTAACTTCAGTTCCAGGGATCTATGTCTTCTTCTGGCCTCCCTGGGCACTGTATGCATATGGTACACATAATGTACATGCAGGCAAGGCTCTCTTGGGTTTATGCACCTTTAATCCTATCATCAAGAGATAGAGGCAGGGAGATCTCTGTAAGTTTGAGGATAGCTTGCTCTGCAGAGTGAGTGCCAGGACAGCCAGGGTTACACAAATCTTGACCAAAACCATGAATGAATGAATGAATGAATGAATGAATGAACGAACAAATGAGTAATTGCTTAAAGAAGAACTGTGAGCCTGGCATGAGGTAATCCCAGCATTTGGGGGGCGGTGCTGACGCAGGAATGTTTACATAATGAGTTTCAGGAAAACCCAGGCTACTTATTGAGACCTGGTCTCCAAAACAACAGCAAACAAAAAGAACTACCTAGTTAGACCAATGTGATGGTTCAAACCTGAAATCTAGATACTTTTGAGGCCAAGGCAGGAGGATAGCAAGTTCAGGATCAGCTTATGGCTACATGGCCAGACCTTGTCTATAAACAAACAAACAGGCAGATAGACAAACAATCCCCCTAAAACTATACAGTATTCTTAGGTGAATAATAGAGTTGAAATACCTATGAATAGGGAAAAAATAAGAAAGTTATTTTGGTAAAAAGAGAAGTAAAGTTCACATCTGTTTTGTGAACACTACAGGTTGATTATATCAGGTCTTGCCTCTCAAGTCAGAGTAACATTTCTGCCTAAATGGGGAGATTATTCTGATTCATGGTATGGTTCCCTACCCCTTCCAAATTGTACATTGGTTGTCTTCCTTTATTTTTTGAGACAGTTTCTCACTAAACCCTTGGCTCACAGATTGGCTAGACTGGCTGGCTAGTGACTCCCTAGCCACTCTACGTCTCCTCTTCCTGTGCAGAGATTACAGGTGCCTTACTATGCCTTATTTTTTATATGGCTGTTAAAGGATCCAAACGCCAAGTCCTCAAGCTTGCACAGCGAGTACTTTACCCACTGAGTCATCTCCCTGGAATCTTGAGTAAAGGAGTTTTTTGGGCTCTTTTTTTTTTTTTTTTTTTTTTCCTGAGACAGGGTTTCTTTGTATTGCTTTGGAGACCAGGCTGGCCTCGAACTCACAGAGATCCACCTGTCTCTGCCTCTTGAGTGTTGAGATTAAAGGCATGTGCCACCAACACCCGGCTTAGTAAAGGAGTTTTAATCCTGCTTTACTGTGCTTCATTTCTCGTTACCCCTCTGAAAACATAAAAATAAAGGTATTAATGACATGTTTAAGCAGAATAAGTTGTTTAAAAGCTTCCGTTTTGTGGTAGCTAAAGAGATTAACCAAAACAAGACTGTAGTTGTCAGTAACTTTTTTGGTATCCGAATTTTTAAAAGAGAATTTTAACCGAGGAATTATATTGAATAAGAATCAAATAGGGACTGGAGAGTTGAGGCAGAGGTTAAGAGCACTGACTGCTCTTCCAGAGGCCCTGAGTTCAATTCCCAGCAACCACATGGTGACTCACAACCATCTATAATGAGATCTGATGCCCTCTTCTGGCATGCAGGGATCATGCAGGCAGAACACTATATACATAATAAATAAATCAATTTTAAAAATCAAATAAATAATGAGTGCTACACAGTTATTTCACTCTCTTAATATCATTTTTCCCTTAGGACGTTTGTGATAACATCTCTATTTCCAGTTTTCTTCCAAACCTTGAGGCTTTTTCCATCTCTAAATTTCCCTGTAATGACTTGGTTTTATTCTCCCTTTTTCTCCCTCTCTCTTGCTTGAACTAGCATCTTGTCGGTGTTTCATCAACACCCTAGGAGCAGTGGCATAGCATGACCATTGTTATCCTGGCCTTTTCTGTGCTCTAAGTGTCCCTCACATTTCAATGTTACATAATTGTGGAAATTTTATATTCTGTGTTTATTTGTGTATTTTCTGTTCTTTTGTAATCTTTTGTAAGATACCTTTTTCTGTTTTCTTTTTTGTTTTCGAGACTGGGTTTCTCTGTGTGATAGCTCTGGCTGTCCTGGAACTCACTTTGTAGGTCAGGCTGACCTCAAACTCACAGAGATCACCTGCCTCTGCTTCTCTGAGTGCTGGGTTTAAAAGGAGTGTGCCATCACCGCTCAACTGTTTTTGGTTTTTGAGACAGGGTCTTAGTATGTAATCTTGGCTGGCCTGGAACTTACTGTGTAAGACCAGGCCACCATCAAACTCACAGAGATCTGCTGTTCTTGTTTTTTTTTTTTTTTTTTTTTTTTTTTTTTTTTTTTTTTTAACTCTTTTACTCTTTTGGGGGCTCACCTCCCAACTCCTAAATAAATACACATGGAGGCTTATTCTTATGAATGCCCATCCTTAGGTTTTTTTGTTTTTAACCAGCTTTTTAAAATTATCCAATACGGCTCTGGGCTTTTATCTTTCTGTATTCTGTATACCTTTTTTTTTTACTCCATGGCTTGCTGTGTGGCTGGCCCCTGGTGTCCTCTTTCCTTGATCTTCTCTTCCCAGATTTTCCCTCCTATTTATTCTCTCTGCTTGTCAGCCATGTGTATCCTTTCTCCTGCTTAGCTATTGGCCATTGAGCTCTATATTATAGCAATCAGGTGTTTTAGACAGGCAAAGTAACAGTTTCACAGAGTTAAATGCAACATAAAAGAATGCAACACATCTTTGCATCATTAAACAAATGTTCCATAGCATAAACAAATGTAACACATCTTCAACTAATATTCCACAACAATCTGCTGATTTCCACATCTTGAGTGCTAAGATGCACCCTTGGACCTGCCTCGATTTTTTTATTGGAGGTCTCTAGGCTGTCTTTCTTTCCCCAGTGTATAGTGCAAGGATTACATGCTGTGTCACTGTGCCTGGCTACATTTGAATGTTTGTTAAGTGGGATGGTCTTTAATGGAACTCTTAATTTGGAATACATTATTTTTTTTTCTTAATGTAGAAAGGGTAACTATGGAGGAAAGTAGATAAAAACTAAAGGATACTTCAGTGTCCCAGATGCTAATTACATTATCCCATGGATCATAGCTTCTGAAAGATGTCCTACCAGCAATGAGTGTTGCCTGCCTGTTGTAACACATCTGTCCTCTCAGGAGGAGTGGGAGGGACAGGGGGAAGAAGACAGGGGGAAGAGACACAGGCTGCTGCTCTTAAGAGGATGTTAAAGGAGGGGACTTCAGGCTCTTTCCGATAAAATAAGTGGCTAACTCATGGTCATGCTTCATTCTTCCTTAGATGAAGGAGAGGTTTTTCTTTTTCTCTTTCCTTCTTTCTTTCTTTCCTTCCTTCCTTCCTTCCTTCCTTCCTTCCTTCCTTCCTTCCTTCCTTCTTTCTTTCTTTCTTTCTTTCTTTCTTTCTTTCTTTCTTTCTTGGAGTGGCCTTGAATTTACAGAGATCCACCTGCCTTTGCCTCCAGAGTGCTGGGATTAAAGGTGTTCACCGCCACCAACTGACTGAGAAAGTTTTTCAGAATTTGAAGTTGTTCCAAGTGATGGTTTAGTCAGTAAAGTGCTTGCTATGCAAGCATAAATATCTGAGTTCAGTCTCCAGCACCTGCATTAAAAAGCTAGGTGTTGGGGAGGCAGACAGGAAGATTCCTAGAGCTGGCGGGACAGACAGTGTAGAATCTAGACTCCAGATGAGTTGGGAAACTTCAGGTTCAATGAAGAGGCCATGTCTCAAAACTAAGACTAAGGTGGAGAATGATTGGGAAAGACACCTGCCATTGACACTGGGGTCTACACACACATACACACACACACACACACACACACACACACACACACACACTCACACTCACTCTCTCTCATTCCACAGAAAAGCTCTCATTGACATGTGTTTGCTTTGTCTTACAGTGATAACATTCAGCAATACCTGATGACCAATAACGTGCCTGAGGCAGCCTCTATCCTGGTGACTATGACAGAACTTGACATCAAGCTTCAGGAGTCCTCTTGTACTCATCTTCTTAGTTTCGTGAGAGCCACAGTTAAATTCTGGCATAAAATTCTGAAGGACAAGCTTACCAGGCAGGAAATATCTCGTGGTGATTGCTTTCTGATGGATATTTGGTAATTTGATGGCATCATGTGAAGCATTGTTTCTTTCTTTTCTGTTACAGTGATTTTGAGGAAATTCTGGCACAGCTTCATTGGCCATTCATCACACACACCCAGTCTCAAGCTGTTGGCATAAACTGGCCTGCTGGTGCCCCTGAGATATATGGTACCCTGGAGACACTGTTTTGTCAGCTGTTGAAGCTACAAGCCTCGTATCTTGATTGCAGTGGAAAATTTACTAAAACTTTTTCCTATAGTAGATTTGTGGTTAGTGATTAAACCTTTTTTGGCCTGTGGTGGAGTATGAGTGAGGCACAGGGGAGAAAGTTTTTAGAGTGGCCACAAAGCCAAATAGAAGGTCTTGGCTTAGAGATGATGTGTAACTGCCTATGGGAGAATATATGTTCTCTTAATTGTCTGGGAGTGGGAGGACTGCAAAAAATGAGTTCTGATAGAAACAGCTGTCTTTGTGTTTTTTTGCTGTGAAGAGACACCATGACCACAGAAACTCTTATAAAGGAAAACATTTAATTGGGTGGCTTGCAGTTTCAGAGGTGTAGTCCATTATTGTCATGGTTGGACATGGTGGCATGCAGGCAGACTTGGTGCTGGAGAAGGAGCTGAGAGTTCTACATCTGCATTAGCAGACAGCAGGAGGAAAGAGACACTGGGCCTATCTTGAGCTTTTGAAACCCCCAAAGTCTACCCACAGTGACACACTTCCTCCAAGGCCACAACTATTCCACACTTCCTAATCTCTGTCAAGTTGTATCTCTTCCTAATGACCAAACATTTAAATATATTAGCCTATGTTGGCCATTCTTGCTCAAACCACCACAGTAATTGACCAGTGTTGGCATTACAGGTCTTTTAGGGCAAGAAAACAAATAGGCAATGGGAAGAAACCTTAGTAACAAAGTATTAATCAAATGATTGTGTAAGTTGATTTTTTTTTTTTTTACTACTGATTGATTCTAAAAACCTTTTATATTTTCATTTGTTTTTTATTTTGTGAGTATACATGTAAACATTGCGGCTCAGATGGAAAAGTATTCTGGCACCTGGGAGCCAAAGAATACTGAGTGTTACAGCTTGGATAGAAAAAAGTATTCTGGTAATTGGGAGCCAAGAAATAACACAGGTCACAGTAAGTGCAGCAGCTTACAGCCCTGCTTCAGGAAAGGCTTCCCCAGTGTAACAGCTTTGCGCTGACAGGGGAGGACTTCCCCAGTGAAGTTGTTAACAGTTTGGCTCTGGTCCAGTGTCCCGTAACAACTCCGTAACAACTGTTTGCTAGGGGAAGGTTTCCCAGTGAAAGTTGTTACTTCTTTCCTCTGATCCATTCCTTCGAAGGAAGGTCTTACCCAAACCTCATTCAAGAGATTTATTGGGAGGGAAGAATCCAGGTGAGTGGCTGGCTTTGCCAGGGTGGAAGAGGACAGCCACAAACTGAACAAGCCCAGGTTTTATATAGGGCTTCTTAGGGGTGGAGTTTCCCAGGGAGATTTCCAGGTTGGGAACTGCTCAGATTTCAGTCTCTGAACTCAGATTGGCTAGATCTCCTGCTCAGGGGTTGGTTGGTTTTCTGCTCAGGATCAGGGTCAGATTTGGCTCTAGTTTCAGGGCCAAGGTGTATTTCTTTCACTGGCTCTGATTCCAGGGACAAAGTGTGTTTCTTTGGCTGGACCCTTTCCCTTACAATCAATGTTTTGCCTGTATGTATATCTGGGTACCATGTGCATTCCTTGTGCCTGTTGAAGTCAGAAGAGGGCATCAGATCCTCGGTACTACAGTTATGGATGATCGTGAGTCATGATGTGGTGCTGGGAATCAAGCCTGGATTCTCTGCAAGAGCAACAAGTGTTCTTAAGCACAGAGTCATCTCTCCAGTCCCTAAAACCCTTTTTAGTGAATTTAAATTCAGTACAAAGTTAGCTTTCACATTACTTGTATTAAACCTTTTGCTAAGTATTAATACATTTGTTGGAAAAATTTAGTGTGTATGTACACTTGTGTGTATAAATGTGATTTTGATTCTTTTTCCTTGACTTGGCTGTATCAGAGATGAATTACTAACTGAACAAAAACAACTCCCAGAAAAATACTCTCTTCCTGAATGCCCTTCTGTGATCCTGCCCATCCAGATCATGCTGACTCCCCTTCAGAAGAGATTCAAATACCACTTCAGAGGCAGCCGACAGACTAATGTTATCAGCAAGGTGTGCTTTGCTATTGCCCCCCCCCTTTTTTTTGAAACAGGGTCTAAGAAGAACCCCAGGATGGTCTCAAACTTGAGGTCCCTTTGCATCTGCTTCCTGAGTGCTGGGATTACATTTTATGTGCAACAATGTCCACTTTGCCCTGAGTTTTCATTAAATGTTACCTGTGCCAGGGCTTTTGTGTATGTAAGTTATAAACCTGCCTCTATTCATGTTTCTGTTTTCCCAAAACAGCTGACTTCCTGCTTTATAACTGCCCTTTGTAGACATAACTAGGACTTAGGTTGACAGGTTGTCAGAATTGGTGCTCTCTGTGGGACATGTCTGACTAATTTCTCACATTTGCATTTGGGCATGCAGGCTTTACAATGCCTAGTCTTCACTGTACAGACCACTCCTGTAGGTCTATAAATAGCGTGAAAGAGATGTGACTCCTTCCACAAGATAGAGCATTGGATGTTGACTAGGGTTGCCAGTGCCAAAGTGATTCATAGCCGCAGAAGAGACATCATGGCAGTAAGTGACAGAAAAATTTGAACTGAGGGGCCACACCAGTGTATCCTGTTGGCGTTTTTCCATAATTATAATCTACAAGGTTGTGAGCACTACCTTGTTTATTCTTGATGTTTGCCTCAGCCAATGCAGTGCATAGAACAGGGTCAATTCTGAATTTAGTGCAAGATCACACCAGGCAAGTATTATACATGCACATGAATGAACTTAGTATATTCCTGTTTATATTTTATGAGTTTCATTTTTGGATAGAGGGTTGTTGGAATAGCAGAATCATTTAGTACTCAGTAGTAAATGAGGCAAAACATAAACTGAACTTGTAGAAAGGCAATAATATAATTTGGTATAAGTAAATTTTGAGTTGTGTTGGCTCAGTTTGAAAGTCTGATCCTAATGAATTTAATACACTGTCACTAGACCTAAAGTGAGACAGTCCTTGAGATTAGACTTTGCCCTTATTTGTATTCCCAACCTTTGGAACATCATAGGGATTTAACAGTCAGTAAGTTTCTTCCTCCAGTGCTGGGGATTGAACCCAGGGCCTTCCACATGCTAGAAAAGTGCTGACTTATATCCCCAGCTTTGTATATGTTTTTGAGTTGTCTAGAAAAACTTGGGATGTTGTTTGCAGAATCCTCTCTAAAGACAACTTAAGAAGCATGATGTGGGGCTGGTGAGGTGTCCCAGTGGGTGTGGCCACACACATCTCTAAGCCTGACAGCTTGAGTTTGGTTCCCAGGACCATATGGTAGCAAGAGAGAACCGACTCCTAAAGGTTGTCTTGTTAATGCCAACTGTTCACTGTGACACTTGTTCACGGCCACATACTCATACATTCAAATGTGCATGTATACACAGAGAAAAATGTAATAAAAATATTAAATTCTTTGTGCCTACATTTCCTTTCCATAGTTACAGCCATTTTAAGGCTTGGATGTAGTTGTAATGTAGATCAGCTGACTTTTTCCTTATTTTTGCTTTTGAAAAAAGAAAGCATAAGTATAGTGTTGGTGACACACACCTTTAATCCCAGCACTTGGGAGGCAGAGGCAGGTGGATCTTTGTGAGTTCCAGGCCAGCCTGGTCTATGGAGTACGTTCCAGGACAGCCAAGACTGCATAGGGAAACAAACACTGTCTTGAAAAACCAAAAGGGGGAAATAAGGAGTTTGAAGCTAAGCATGAGCTACATGAGATCCTATCCCCAAAACCTTTTTTTGGAATGCTATTTCAAAAAACAATTTCAAAGATATCAGTTGTTTGTAATACCTCATCATGCTAGTTTGGAGGACTTTAAAAATAAACCAGCGTTTTATTTCTCTCTCTCTGTGTAGATCAGAGGAACAACCTGTTTGAATTGGCACTTTTCCTCCACTATGTGGATTCCAGGGAACAAACTCAGGCTGTTAAGCTTGCTGGCAGGTCCCTTTGCCCACAGAGCCACCCTGCTGGTGACTTTGCTTTGCTCTAGAACCTAGGGTTTTGTATGTGCTGGGCAGATGTTAGCTTTTAAGTGTACATGACTGTCTTATTTTCATTGTTGTCATTATGCCCCCCCCCCAACCTTTTTTTGTAGTCCTGGGGATTGAAACCAAGGCTTTTTATACCTAAGCAAACATTACACTACTAAGTACCCCTAACTCCAATATGGTATTTTAGATTTATGAGTTTACTGACTTAAGCCAAATTAGTGAAATTTGTTGCGTATATTGGGAAACATTTGATATGAAGTCTTCTGTGGGTTTGAGTTACTGTCTTACATATAGGAACTTTCAACCAATTTTTGTGTTTGGTTATAATGAAATGCATTTAATGAGAATTGTCTGTGACAAAAGAATAGATAAAGAATGGAAGTCATCTCCTTTCCCCTTAGCCTGAATGGTACTTGGCTCAGGTGCTTATGTGGATTGGAAGCCATGCTCACTTTCTGGATGAGAAGATTTAGCCCATATTGGATAAGGCAGGCTGTGCAGTAAACGCCAGGGTAAGAGGCTGAGGTCTGTGCATTTCAGCTGCATTAGAATTGTTCATGTGTCTGACCAACATGGTTCCTCGTACCTGTTTGTTTCTTTCAGCTTGAGTTTTCTCGGGGCCTTGTGATGCTCATTCTTGAGAAGCTGGCTTCTGATATACCTTGCCTGCTCTATGATGACAACCTTTTCTGTCATTTGGTGGATGAGGTGCTGTTGTTTGAAAGGGAGCTGCACAGTGTTCATGGCTATCCTAGCACTTTTGCCAGTTGTATGCATATTCTGTCAGAGGAAACCTGTTTTCAGAGATGGTTAACTGTGGAGAGAAAATGTAAGTGCTCCTGTGGCCATTGAGTTGGGAGGGCTGTCTCAATTTTTTTGTTTGCTTGCTTGCTTTTTGTTTTATTTTTAGACAGGGTCTCACTGTGTAACCTTGACTGGCCTAGAACTCTCTATATAGACTAGGTCGGCCTCAAACTTATTGAGATCTATCTGCCTCTGCCTCCTAAGGGTTAGGATTAAAGGCATGTACCACCACTGCCTGGCAATCTGTTTTTGGTGTGTACATTTTTTGGAGATTTTTTTTTCTTGGAATTAAAGTCTGCATGTTGAAATATTGAGTCAGTAGAGGATATTGCTGTTTCATAGATTTTTGCCATGTACTATTCTACTTGGTTGAGTATTTTTGGATGTGCCATATCCAGTCAGCTTAACTATTTTGAGGATTTGAGAGGAGGGAGAGCAAGGTATCTTATTTAACTCTAAAGTAGAACATTTTAAATATAGTGCAGTTAGTGGGAGATTGAAAATTTATTTTGTATGAAAAAAATTCATTGCTAAGAAGTGTAAGTTGATAAATTAAGAATGACTGTAACTCCTTGACATGATCCTTCTTTTTGTCTTGTTAGTTGCTCTTCAAAAAATGGACTCAATGCTCTCATCAGAGGCTGTTTGGGTATCCCAATATAAAGACATCACTGATGTGGATGAAATGAAGGTTCCAGACTGTGCAGAAGTTTTTATGACTTTACTTTTGGTTATAACTGGTAAGTACAGGTTTTTTTAATGTATGATGTTAGTTTAAAATGAAGTTTTTAAGCTAGGTATGGAGTTGCACACTTGTAATCCCATTTTGGGAGGTAGAAACATGGCAGGAGGACCAAGAGCTTAAGGCCAGTCTCAGCTACAAAGCAAGTTTGAGGTCAGCCTGGGATATATGAGACTGTCTTAAAAACAAAACAAAACAAAACAAAAAAAACAAGGAACAAACAAAACACCTAAACTAATTGTAGTTAGTTTGGGGCTTGAGAGATAGCTCAGCAGATAAGAATATTCGCTTCTCTTACAGAAAACCTGATTTAGCTCCTAGTTCATAAGCTTCTAGAGAACCCAGTGCCCTTTGGCCTCCTCAGGCACCAGGCATACATGTAGTTCACATGTACACATGCAGGCACACATTTATAACATAAAATAAAAATAACTAAATCGTTAAAGTAAGTAGTTTCACTGGGAGGTGGTGGCACAAGCCTTTAATTCCAGCACTTGGGAGGCAGAGCCAGCCTGGTCTACAGAGCAAGTCCAAGACAGCCAGTGCTACACAGAGAAACGTTGTTTCCAAAGCCAAAGAAGCAAAAGAGTAGTAAGTTTCAGGTGGGATTTTTTTTTGTTTGTTTGTTTGGTTTATATATATAGCAGTATAGTAACTTCATGTTTTTCCCACACTAATAAAAATCTAGGACAGTATCTCACTTTTGGTTTTATAATAATCTAGAACTGAGCCAGGTATAGTAGCACTCACTTTTCATCCCAGCACTCTGGAAGAAGAGGCTGGAGTATTTGTGGCTTTGAGACCATTCTGGTTTATGAGTTCTATGCCATTCCGGATGTATACTGGGATCCTGTCTCAAGATAATAAAATATCAATAAATATTAATAATAATATTAATAGTAACAATAATCAGGCCATCTAGAGACCCTGTCTCAAAATAACTACAACTTAGGATGTAAATACTGGCATGCACATGGAAGGGAAAAAGTCTTGAACAAGGTGGGGCGGTGGTGGCACATATCTTTAATTCCAGGACTCAGGAGGCAGAGGCAGGTGGGTCTCTATGAGTTCGAGGCCAGCCAAAAACCAACAACAACAACAAAAAAAGACTTGGAAAAAAACCATAAAAATGTGTTAATTTTTTAACTCATTGCCTTCCTTTTTACAAGTCTTCAGATTTCATTTTATTACTGTTATTCTAAAGGTTTTATGAGTGTGAGTATATACAATATCTGCATGAAAGTATATGTACTATGGTTCGTGCTTAGTGCCTGTGGAGGCCAGAAGAAATGTTGGATCCCCTGAAACTGGAGTTACGCATGATTGTGAGCTGTCTTGCAGGTGCTGAGAGCCAAACCTGTGTTCTCTACATGAACAGCAAGAGCTCTTAACAGGCTCCTTTTATTTTGTTTAAATTTTTAGCTTTATGTGTATGAGATTTTTGCTTGCACATATGTATGTGTACCACATGTGTGTTAGTGCCTGTGTAGTTCAGAAGAGAGTGTTGGGGGTTACAGGTGGTTGTAAGCTATCGTGGGTGCTGGGAACTGAACCAGGATGCTCTCTCCAAGAACAGCCAGTGTTCTTTCTGCTGAACCATTTCTCCAGCCCCTGTTTATTATTTTTAAGAGAGAGAGTTATTGTATTGCCTGGACTGGCTTGACCTCCTATTCTCATATGATCTTTCTGCCTTGGCTTTCCAGGTAGCTGAGACTAGGTACACACTACCATGTTCAGTGCAAACCTAAACTTTCTTGGCGCTGGTTTATCAGGATATGAAGAAGAGAGTAGAATAATAAAGTAGTTTCAGGATTGAAGTAGTATAGGAATTCTTCTCATGCAGTGTTATGATGGCCAGAGAAGGTGGCCAGTATCCTTAGCCTCTCTTGGTGTGTAGCATCCAAATTCCCTACTGTAGATTGTTGGTTCTCTAGGTGCTAGTAGCTCCTCATTGCTGTTATCCTAGGCCGTCTTTGCTTCCATCCTTTTGTGGCAATTATGGTTTGAAAGGAAATGGCCCCCAAAGGAAGCGGCACTGTTAGAAGGTGTGGCTTTGTTGGCCTTTCTGGAAGAAATCTGTCACTGTGGGGGTAGGCATAGGTAGGTCGGTTTCCTATGCTCAGGATACCACCAAGTGTCCAATCGCTTCCTGTTGCTTGCAAGTTATAGGACTCTTAGCTACTCCAACACCATGTCTGCCTGCACACTGCCATGCTTCCTGTGATGATGACAATGGACCAAATCTCTGAAACTGTAAGGAGCCAGCCCAATTAAATGTTTTTATTTGTAAGAGTTCCTGTGGTCATGGTATCTCTTTACAGCAATAAAAACCCTAATTAAGGCAGAAGTTGGTACCAGGGACTGTGGTTTTATTTGGAGGGATTCAGACTTTGGTACTTTGGATTAGGGAAGCAGTGGGATGCTTTAAGCACTGCTTAATGGGCCACACTAGTAGGAGCATGGAAGACAGAGGTGCTAAGAGTTACTTGAACTGTGGGGGGGGGGTTCACTCAAGAGGTTTCAGAGGAGAAGGATGTTGCCTAGAGATCATTCTTATGATATTTTGGTGAAGATAGTGACTGCATTTTGCTCTTGTCAAAAGAGTCTGCCTGAGGCTAAAGTAAAGAATTTGGGATTAATTCTGTTTGTTGGTGAAGGAAATCTCAAAGCAGCCTACTTTTGACTCTGTCATGTGTTTACTAGTGTCTGTGCTTATAAAGATTTATAATAAAAAGGAGCAAGCTGAGCAAGGAAAAATACAAGATGGAGAACAATTTGAGGAGAAAAGGGCTGCCAGAAGTAGAATGATGCTAAGTCCTGTGCTCTAGGAGATAAACAATTAAGAAATGGAATATAGGGAGTGGTGATCTCAGGACAAGATCCCACCCCGCTAAGTTTCCAACTTGTGAAAAGGAACTAAAGAAAAGCTTAGAGCCAGGTGTGGTGGTGCACACCTTTAATCCCAGCACTGGGAAGGCAGAAGCTGGCGAATCTCTGAGTTTAAGGCCAGCCTGGTCTGAGAGCAAGTTTCAGGACAGCCAAGTTTATGCAGTGAGAGACAGAAAGCTGGTGAACTTGTAACTGAACAAGGGGATCGTCTTCCAGCCCCAGTAAGCAGCAGAACTTGGCAGTGTCGGCCACATGGTTGTGGCTTTACAGTTAAGGATAGAAGAAACGGGTTATGGAATTTGCCTCCAAGGCTAAAGAAAGCCCCTGAGACCAGGCTTGTGTCAGGAGTGTTACTGAGTAGAGGACTAGTAGAGAGGACATTGAGTAAAGCTCTGAAGTTGAAGACTGAATTGCCTTGGAGAACCCAGGAGGTTAGAGATAGAAAAGTTGTGGGAGAGCTGCCAAGGAGAACTGCTAACAGGAGTGGAACCAGCCCAAGAGAAAGAAGTATGTTACAGTCAATAAAACTGAACAGAATTGGAGATATGAAGTGCATCTTGAAATCAGACATGTTGAAGCCTGAGGTTCATGTGTATGTCCATGGACTGGGCTGCTGGTGGGGTCTATGTTGATGACTGAGGTCCATGCTATCAGGGGAGGCCAGATGTATGTTCATAGTCTGCTAATGCAGAGGCCCGTGCTAGTGTCTGTGGTCCAGGTTGCTACTGGAGGCCTGTGCTTGATGCTGATGTGTGGCCTGCACTGCCCCATGAGGCCATGTTGATGGCCATGGTCCATGCTGTTGCCAGAAACCATATGGCAGTCCATGACCTGTGCTCCCACTGACTGTGAAAGGCAAGGAAGCTACTTTTGATGGTGGACACACAGTTGAGAAAGAGAGTCATAGAGAGCTTGTGACAACACCTACCCACCCCCTACCCCACCCCCAACAAAGTAACAGCCTAGATAGTCAGCCATCAAAGAGAACTCTTAAAATTGTGATAAGGAAAAGACAGACATTGTATGTACTCACTCATATGTGGATTTTAGACATAGAGTAAAGGATTGCCAGCCTGTAGCCCAGGCTGCCAGAGAGGCTGGTAAACAAAGAGGACCCTAAGAGACACATACATAGTCCCCTGGAGAAGGGGAAAGGGGCAAGATCTTCTGAGCAAATTGGGAGCATGGGAGGAGGGGAGAGGGAACTAGGAGAATGAGAAGGGGAGAAGAGGAGGGGTGAGGAAGACATGATGGGACAGGGAGGTTGAGTTGGGGGAAGAACAGAAGAGAGCAAGATAAGAGATAATATAATAGAGGGAGACATTATAAGTTTAAAGAGAAATCAGGCACTAGGGAAATGTCTAGAGAGCTACAAAGATGACACCAACTAACAATCTAAGCAACAGAGGAGAGGCTACCTTAAATGCCTTTTCCTGATAATGAGATTGATGACTAATTCATATGCCATCGTACAGCCTTCATCTAGCAGCTGGTGGAAGTAGAAGCAGACACCCACAGCTAAACACTGGATTGGAATCCAGTTGCAGAGAAGGAGGAGTGATGAGCAAAGGGGTCCAGACCAGGCTGGGGAAACCCACAGAAACAGCTGACCTGAACAAGGGAGAGCTCATGGTCTCCAGACTGATAGCTGGGAAACCAGCATGGGACTGATCCAGACCCCCTGAATGTTGGTGTCAGTGAGGAGACCTCAGAAATCTATGGGGCCCTTGTAGTGGATCAGTACTTATCCCTAGCATAGGAATGGACTTTGGGAGCCCATCCCACATGGAGGGATACTCCCTGAGTCTAGACACACGGGGGTGGGCCTAGGCCCTATCTCAAAGAATATGACAGGCTTTGAAGACCCCCTATGGAAGGCCTCACCCTCCCTGAGGAGCAGAAAGGGTATGGGATAGGTAGGGCATTAGTTGGGGGGGCAGGGGAGGAGGGGGAGGGAGAGGGACCTGGGATTGACATGTAAAATAATTTTCTTTCTAATAAAAAAAAGGGGAAAAATTGTGATAAGGATGTTGAAGTGTAGTTTTCCACAATTGATCGATGGCTTTTGGCAGGAATGTGGGAGAACATGCTCCAGTGAGTATATGGGCAACACAAATTGGACTTGTGTGTTTTTGGTTTTTTTGTTTCTTCTTTTTCTTTTTGGTGGGTGGGGGTCACAAAGATGGTGGGAATGGACCTTGGGTGCATTATGTGAAATTCCTAAATAATCAATAAAAATATTTTGTTGGAAAAAAGAAAAGGATAGCCAGATATCTTGGTGCATACCTTTAATCCCAATACCAGGATTTTAGAGGTAGAGGCTAGAGAATCAGGGATTCAAAGTCATTCGTAGCTACATATGAAATTGGAGGCCAGCCTGGGCTCTCAAGCCCTTCTCACCAGAGCTACTAGCTTAAGGAACAGTTGTTTCAAAACATAATTTGCTTTTTTAAAATGAGACATGATTTATGTATAGCAAAACACACAGATCTAGATCTTAAGTATTCTTAAGTATACTGTTGGATGAGTCCTGACATGTTTTACCTTTGTAATCCTTAAGAGTTTAGAAATGGTCAGTTGAGATATTTCATAAAGACAGTAAAGTAGAGCTTTAGGGAAAACTACCTGTGGTGACAGTGCCAAACCCCTTCATGTGTTTTGTAAACGTTCTCCACAGACAGGTATAAGAATCTTCCCACAGCCCCCCGAAAGCTGCAGTTCCTGGAGTTACAGAAGGACCTAGTAGATGACTTTAGGATACGATTGACCCAGGTGATGAAAGAAGAGACCAGGGCTCCACTTGACTTCCGATACTGTGCAATTCTTAATGCCGTGAACTACATCTCAACAGTCCTGGCAGACTGGGCTGACAATGTTGTGAGTTAATGTGCTTTTATATTTCCATAAATAATGTATTAGTGCTGTGATCTTTAACATTTGAAACATTGACTCTGTTGCAAGCAAAAAAATTATGTTAGACAAAAAGCATAATGATGCCAAATTTAGAAAATGTGAATAAAGGTTTATCTCAGTCATATCTAAAACAGTTAAATAATACTAGTTATTTAATAACTTCACTCATTAGAGGGCTGGGGGTATAGCTCAGTAGGAGCATATAATTGCCAGGACCATTGATTGAGAGAAAGAAAGAGATAAAGGAGAAAACTATCAGGTGTCTTAGGTTAGCTGTAATCCCAGCACTTGGAAATATGGATCAGGAGCCTCAAGGTCATTCTTAGTGATGTAGTGACTTTCAGGCCAGCTTAAGTTTCTTGAGGTCCTACTTCAAAAACAAACAAAAGAAAGGAAACAAAGCAAACAAAGACAGACACACAGACTTCCATGAATAGCTATATGGCATGAACCATTTTTCTCTTCCAGCTTTGTACTCTGGAAATAATAATAGGCTAAATGCTAACACAGAAAAGTCATTATTTTATAATGATGTCAAAATCAATAAATTTAAATCAGTGGTAGAGTTCAGTGGCAGAGCATGGTGGAAAGTCCTAGTTTCATTTCCCAGCACTGCAAAGAAGAAAAAAACCTAACACTTGACTCTTTTGGATATCTTCAAAACAGGGCTATCTTAGTTATGGTTCCTGTTGCTGTAATAAAACACTGTGACCAAAAGCAACTTGTAGTGCATCATCCAGGGAGTCAGGGCAGGAACATGGAGACAGGAGCTGATGCAGAAGTCACAGAGGACTGTTGCTTATTGGATTGCTCTCCATTGCTTGCTCAGTCTGCTTTTTTAAAATAGCACCAAGGACCACCAAGCCAGGGGTGATGCCACCCACAAGGGCTGGAACTTCCTACATGAATAATTAAGAAAATGCAGTACAGGCCTGCCCACCGGCACATCTGGTGGGTGCATTATGTATCTGCCACTCTTACTGTTTTTTTTTTTAAAGATTTTTTTTTAATGTGTGCTAGTGTTTTGACTGCATGTAAGTGTGTGTACCTCATATGTGCAGTATCCACAGAGGCTAGAAGATCCCCCCAAACTGGAGTTACAGAGGGTTGTAAGCTACCATGTGGGTGCTGGCCACTGAACCTGGATCCTGTGAAAGAGTAGAAAGTGCTTTTAACTCCAGACTCTCTCTCCTTCTTACACTACTGGGTCCTGTGAAAGAGTAGTAAGTGCTTTTAACTCCAGACTCCCTCTCCTTATTCAAATCACTGCAGTATATGTTCAAACATTTAAGGTTTTTTTTTTTTCAAGATAACGTTTCTCTGTGGCTTTGGAGGCTGTCCTGGAACTAACTCTTGTAGACCAGGCTGGTCTCGAACTCACAGAGATCCACCTGCCTTCTGTGTGCTGGGACTAAAGGCGTGTGCCACCACCGCCCTGCCACATTTAAGTTTTAATCTTGTTATTAATCTAAACAAAATATATTGGCTGTTAGCTAAGTAATGGTAACCAGGTTTTCTGGTATGCATTCCACTCAAATATGCCTTGAGGGACTGAGGCTGTGGCTCAGTTTGTAGAATCATTGCCCCTATGCATAAGCCCCGGGTTTGATTCCACACAGCATAAAGTGGGCATGTGGCAAAGTCTGTGATACCAGCACATGGGAGGTAGAGGCAGGAAAATCAGAAGTTCTAGGTTATCCTCAGCTGCACAGGAAGTTCAAGTTTAGCCTGGGGTACATGAAATCCTCCCTCACAAAACAACAACAAAAGCCTTTATAGTTTCAACATTGGTTAATTTCTCTTAGATACTTTAGATCCAGTACTAAAGTGATTTCAGAGGGCCTGTGGGCTGACTTCTTGGGCAGGGTGCTGTTTATCTACATCCATAGATGTTCTAAAACTGAGATAACAGCTATGCATTTGGCTTTATACTTGTGTATAAGTACATAAAGTACATTTCATGACAGAAGCCATTCATAAGGATCTTAGATAACCATGCGATGGTGAAATATCCACTACACTGTAAAAACTATGATGAGCAAATAGGCACATTATAAACGTAAGCTGTTATATATCATAAAAACAAAATAGGCAAAAAACCCCAAATAGACAGATATACCACTTAAAAATATAGTATGTATAGGGGAATTAAAAAAATGATACGTTTGAGGTTAGGATTTAGCTCAGTGGCAGAGTTCTTGCTTAGTACAAATGAAGCCCTAGATTCAGTCTCTTGTAGACCAGGCTGGTCTCGAACTCACAGAAATCTGCCTGCCTCTGCCTCCCGAGTGCTGGGATTAAAGGCATTGGCCAACACCGCCTGGCTACATAACAAGATCTTAAAACAGTACAAAAAAGAAAACAAACAAAACTCTTACATGCACCAAAGCCAAAACAAAACCCAGACAACAAACCCACACAAAACTGCTACCAGTGTGCATGGAGAGAGCTTTAAGCCTCTGTATATGGCAGGTGAAGATGTAAGCTACTGCAGCTGCTGAGGAAGACAACCTGGCAGTTCTTTAGACAGCAAGATGGAATTAAAAATCCAGCAGTTCCACTCCTCCAGACAGGCAAAGACAAACAGGAACACCATTTCTCACAGAAAAAATGCACACACCATTGTTTTCAGAAACATTAAGCATAAGAGATACAAAATAGAAATAATCCAAACATCCAGCAGCTAGTGGAGTGGATAAAATGTAATATGTTTATATGATGGAGTATTTGGGGGTAATAAAAACAGATGAAGTACATAGTACATGCTATAGAACTAAGTGAAAGAAGTTGGTCATAAAGAATAATACTTCATTTGGTTCCATTTCCTTAAAATGTCCAGAATTGTCAAAACCATAGACAGAGAGTAGATTAGTGATTGCTTAGACTTGAAGGGAGTGTGGAGAAAATGAAAATACAGGTAATGAATGAGGGGTTTTGTTGCAGGAAGCTAGGACAGTATTGTAGAATTGTGATGGATACACAACTCTGAATTACTGAAACTATCAAATTGTAATAAAAAGGATTTATTTTGTGCATGCATGTGTGTTTCACAGCACACTTGGAGATCAGAGACCAACTTACTGGGGTTGGTTCTGTCATTCTACCATGTGGGACCCAGGGAACAAACTTGAGGTTATCAGACTTGGTGACACATGCCTTTAACCGCCTAGCCATCTTACTGGTCCTGAACTGTACGTTTTATTTTTGGGAGAGGATGAACGCTTTTATACTTTTTTGCTTTTGAGAAAGGGACTCATGTTGCCCACACTGGTTTTGAACTCATGGTAATCTGGTGTTAGCCTCTGGAGTGTGGTGTTGCCACTGTGCCAAGGTGTGTAGGTAGGTGTGTGTGTGTGTGTGTGTGTGTGTGTGTGTGTGTGTGTTCGCTCACCATGGCACACATGTGGAGGCTACAGTTGTTTCCTTTCACTGTTTTCCATCTTGAACTCAGGTCATCAGGCTTGGCAGCAAGTTACTTTACTGATGAAGCCATCTCACTGATGCTGAACTGCACACCTTAAATGAGGGAATTCTATGATATCGAAATTCTATTTCAGGATGCCTAGCACTGTGTTAATAAATGTACTAACAGATATTTGCTTTCAGTTCTTTCTGCAGCTGCAACAGGCAGCACTGGAGGTCTTTGCAGAGAATAATGCCCTCAGTAAGTTGCAGCTGGGACAACTAGCCTCCATGGAGAGCTCTGTCTTTGATGACATGATAAACCTCTTAGAGCGTTTAAAGCTTGATATGTTGACTCGCCAAGTAGACCATGTTTTTAGAGAAGTGAAAGACGCTGCAAAATTGTATAAGAAAGAAAGGTATGTCTTGCATCAGTCACCCTTAAAATAAGTTAGAGTCAAAGGTGTTATGTACACTCTAAATTTTAGCTTTTGTAGAACCCCCACCCCTAGTTTTGGCATTGAACTTGGGGTTTGTGTATGGTAGGTTCAAACTTTGGTTTTGATGTAAACCTTTCTAAAATCTATTTTGAAGAATTTACTCAGAATATACAAGTTATAATGTGGATCTCATAGAGAAATGGCATATGATCTAGGGTTGACTAGCTCAGTGCACAAGTTGAAAAAAAGATTTGTTGAAACCTTAAGGATACAGAGTGATAAGGTCATTTTGGTGAAGGTTGTTTGTTTTTCCAGATGGCTGTCCCTGCCGTCTCAGTGTGAGCAGGCAGTGATGTCCCTGTCCAGCTCAGCTTGCCCACTCTTACTGACCTTACGGGACCGTCTGCTTCAGCTGGAGCAGCAGCTTTGTTTCTCCTTATTCAGAGTTTTCTGGCAAATGCTTGTAGAGAAGCTGGACATGTACATCTATCAGGAGGTAAGTCAGTGGGTGCTGGGGGCTGTGCTGGTGAAGGCAGCCGTTACATGGATTGCTCTTTGTTTCAGATAATCCTGGCTAACCATTTCAATGAAGGAGGAGCAGCCCAGTTACAGTTTGATATGACACGGAATCTTTTCCCTTTGTTTTCTCACTATTGCAAGAGACCGGAAAACTATTTCAAACAGTAAGCCTAATGTCTAACTGTAAATATTGGCGTATCCAAATGTTAGAGGAGTTGACTTCTTTTTAACAATTTTAGAGTTTCATTGATATTTGTTAAAATATCATCAGTTAAAATCTGGAGCTGGGCCGGGCGTTGGTGGCGCATATCTTTAATCCCAGCACTCTGGAGGCAGAGGCAGGTGGATCTCTGTGAGTTCGAGACCAGTCTGGTCTACAAGAGCTAGTTCCAGGACAGCCTCCAAAGCCACAGAGAAACCCTGTCTTGAAAAAACAAAAAACAAAAACAAACAAACAAACAAAATCTCAAATTCAGAGCTGGAGAGATGGCTCATAAGTTAAGAGCACTTGATGCTCTTGCAGAGGACTGGGGTTTGGTTCTCAGCACTTATATAGTGGCTTACAACCATCCATAACTCTAGTTCAGGGGTATCTGACACCCTCTTCTGGCCTCCATGGGCACCAGGCACATACAAGGTGCACAGACACATACAGGCAAAACAGGCACATAAAATGAAAATTTAAAAATATATGAAAATTAATTAAAACCTTTAAACATTCATTGTATAGTTTATTTTCAGAACACAATAAGGAAACCAGAATAATGCATGTGATCCACATCCTCAGAAATTTGAGCAGAACTAGGTATAAATTACATGTTGGACTTGCTTCCTAGCATCTGGTTCTGTGCTATTTACTTGTTATTGGGAGAGTAAAAAGAAAATGGATGCAAGTATAATTCTACCACCTGTAGAAAATAAGAAATCACAGCTAGGCTTAGGGACTAACAGTAGACTAACCAGAGGACAATTATTTTTTTTTTATAAATTTAATACCAGTTTAGTTCTAAGTATAGTTATAAACATGAGAACAATTACTAGGCATCTAGTAAAAAATTTGTTGATGTAAAATTTACATTATATATAGGGCTTATGCAATTTGGAAACATTCCTTTAAAATATAAAAGCTTATGTTTGCTTATTTCAGGAAGCTATGATTGCTTCTGGTTTGCTTTTCTTTTTTTGAAATGGCATTTCAGGTATCCCAGATTGGCCTTGAACTTAGTGCGTAGTCGTAGAGGCTGCCTCTGAGCGTCTTGATTCTCCTGGCTCCCTCTTCTGAGTGTTGTGATTGCTGGTGTGTACCCTCCACACCCCCAAGTCCTCTCCTATGCTTCATTCATGCTAGGCAAGCACTCTCTCTAGTGCGTTAAATCTCCAGTGCCTTTATTATTATCATTATTACTGTTTTTTCAAGTCAGGGTTTCTCTGTGTAGTTTTGGATGCCCTAGAACTCGATCTGGAGACCAGGCTGACCTTGAAGTCCCAGAGATCCTCCTGCCTCTGCCTCCTGAGTGCTGGGATTAAAGGCATACGCCACCACCACCCAGCTGTTTTTTATTTAAATTTTTAAATTTCCTTGGTGGAGGCCAGATGACAACTTGTGGGAAATGATTCTGTTCTTCCTCTATGTAAAACCCAAGAATTGAACTCAGGTTATCAAGCTTGCTAGCAGGCACTTTACCCATGGACTACCAGCCTTCCTATTCCTGTTGTGGTTTTGGTTTTTTGAGACAAAGTCTTGCTGTGTAGCCTTGGATACCCTGGAGCTCACAGTGTAGACCAGACTGTCCTAGAACTTGGAGAGATACTCCTACTTTGGCTTCCTGAGTCCTGGAATTAAAAGTGTGCCACTGTCTCCAACCTATCGTTTTTGTTTTGTTTTTCTGCTATGTTCATTTTTATTCCTTTTCTTTTTTTCCTTTATCTTAATTTTACCTAAAATCATTGCTACATTTAATAATCTGCTAACATCAAAGAGTGTATTGAGGCTGTATTAGTCCTATACACCTTGTGTAGTCCCAGAATGTTTAAAGAGCTAATTAGTAAGTCCATAGATAGTTGAAATGACTATGCAGACTCTCCAAAGTCATTGTTGTCCTATGGATGGCTCTCTCCTCCCCTTCTCTTTTGTCTTCCTAAACAGTGTAAAAGAAGCCTGCATCATTCTGAATTTGAACATTGGTTCTGCACTACTCCTAAAAGATGTCCTACAGTCAGCTTCTGAGCATCTTTCTGCTACAGCAGCCTTAAATGAAGTTGGAATTTACAAACTGGCTCAGCAAGATGTTGAAATTCTGCTCAATTTGAGGACAAACTGGCCTAACACTGGAAAATAATGTATCTTTGAGAAAAGGGTTATTTAACAAAGAAGACAGTTGGATTGAAGTTGCCTGATAAAGTTCTGAATTAATGAAACTGTACAAATGAAAACTTGGTAGAGCCATTTATTATCTTGAGTTACAATGTCACTAAAACAATGACCATGCTTCCTTTGTCCTCTGGCTCGTTAAACAACAAAGAACAGAAAACTCAGCTTTGAGAAGCAGAGTAATTACAAATTGGGAATTACAAATAGGAATCAGACATCTGAAGACAGTGTGAGAGCAAAGGTCAGCCATAACTGACCCCCACGTTCCTAATCAAGGGGAGCTGTTGTGGAACGCTGAACATAGCCAGTACATTGTAGAAATACGAAATTATGGCTGTATGTTGATAATTGAGGCTCCTGTATACAGTTTGTGATCTTACTTTTTTTGTGTTTATGTAAGAAATGTGCAGGGAGTAGTGGAAGCCTCCTGTAATCCCAGCACCCTGAAGGTTGAGGCAGGAGGATCACTTTGTTTTAAGACTCACCTGGGCAAAACAAAACAAACTGTCCCCAAACCAATAGCACAACAGTTTTATGAGATGGCATTAAGCTATAGTTGTTCCTTATTTTTAATTCTCATGCCCTTCCATTTAAAGTATTTTGTGTGTGTGTATTTGTGTGTGCATTCATGTACAGGTATGTTTGTATTTGTGCATGTGTGGGATATACATGTGTTTGTGCCTGTGGAGGTCAGAGGTCATCCTTGGGTCCTGTTCCTCAAGATGTCTACCTTGTTTTGGAGACAGGGTCTCTCACTGGGACTTTGGACAAGCCCCAGGGTTTTTCTGTCTCTGCCTCCCCTAGACAGGCATTACAAGGGTAAGCTATCATGTCAGGGTTTACATGTGTTCTAGGGAGCAAACTCTTTATCTTGGCCTGTCAGTTGGGAATATTTTACCCTTTACCACTAAGCAACTCCTCAGCCCTTCCTGGTTCTATTTCTTGACAATGGCCATTTTTTTTTTCCTCTGATTGAAACATTTTAGAGTCCAAATACTGCTTTAGTAATTTGCCTGTGGTAGTAATTATGTAGCTGATGAGATCTAGTGTGTGAGCTGGGAGGTGGTGGCAGAAGCCTTTAATACCAGTAGTTAGGAGGCAGAGGCAGGTGAATCTCTGCTAGTTCGAGGCCTCCCAGGGCTACAGAGTAAGTTTCAGGACAGCCAAGGCTACATAGAGAAAAAGCCTCCAAAACTATAGAGAAACCCTGTCTCAAAACAAAAACAAACAACAACAACAAGAACCTCTGTGTGTGTCTAGGTGTGTATTTGAGTGTGTGCAAGTGGAGGCCAGAGATTGATGTTGAGTGCGTTTTCAATTGCTTCCCACCTTATTTTTTGAGACAAGGTCTCAGTGAACACGGAGCTCATTGATTTAGCTAGATTGGCTGGCCAGTGAGCTCTAGGCATCTACCTGCTTTTCCCAGTGCTGGGGTTATAGATGTGTGCAACTATGCCCAGCTTTTAAATGTGAGCTGTGAATTTGAGCTCAGGTCCTTATAGTTGTTCAACAAGCCCTTTGCCAGCTGAGCCATCTCCCTGACCTGAGACAAAATCTTAAAACTTACTTTCCTTTTTCCTTATATTTCCTTGGGTGTGTTTTATGTGTGGTACTTGAGACTGAACTTGGAGCCTTGCTCATGCAAGGCAAGGCCTCCACCAACATGCCCAGCCCAAGCAATGATTCCTGATCCGTTGGCTAATAAGTCCTTAGAAAGTAAGATTTTTTTTTTTTTAACAAAAATTGAGCTTAATTAGCCAGAGGATTTCTATACCTATAAAATTTTATTCTAGTTTCCCCTCCCTAATATAGCGTTTATTTAGTAGTCTTAATGCTATGTAATATCTTAATCTAAAAATTGTTGTGCTAAGACTGGAGATGGCTCAGCTGTGAAGCTGCTCTATCAGAGGCCTTGGGTTCAGGGCCCAGCACACAGCAGTCGCTCACAACAGGCTGTAATTCCAGTCCCATGGGGTACAGCGCCCTCTTTTGCCTCTGAGGGCATTGCATGGATGTGGTGCACAGACATACATTCAGGCAAACACTCATAGACTTACAATAAATACAATCTCAAAAAGTTAATTGTCAGGCTTGCAGCTAGCCTACATTGTTGATAGTCACAGAAAGTAAATTTGAGCAAAAATATACAGCCTCTTTTCTCAGAGATAGAGCAAGAGAGAGAGGGGAGAGAACTTGACTTGCTTTATAGCTCAGGCTGGAGTTGAACTTATGATTCTCCTGCCACCCCCACCCCAAGTACTGGGATCTAACACATATCACCACTATGCCTGTTATTATCTATTAAAAGTCATGTTAAACTATAATTACGATTGTGTGTATATGAATGGTATGTGGGTGTGACTTCATGCATGTGAACATCAGGGGACAACTTTGTGTCATCACTTCTCCCTTTCTACCTTTATGTGAGTCCCAAGGATCAAACTCTGGTTTCCTGTCTCAGCTTTCTTACTGCCCATACTCTATTATGAAAAGAAATTTTCCAATTACTGTGTAGAGCCGAGAGCTTTAGGAATTCTAGCAGACTGGGCCTCCTCACTTCATGTTTGGGAATTGATGAGGTTTCCTTTTTTTCTTTTTGGTAGGGTCTCTCTGCATAGCCCTGGAACTCACTATATAGATCAGGCTGTCTTCAAGCTCACAGAAATCTGAGTGCTGGGTTTAAAGGCATGCTCCAATGTGCCTCACAGTAATGAGGTTTCCTAATTAGAAAAGAATAAGGCTGCTTCTAGGACTTTCCAAGTGTCATTACTCTTCTCCTTCCCCAGAGTTGAGTTTTCCCTACATTTACTTTGTAATTATTTGAAGTTAAAGGGAATGAAATATTTCACTCAAAGGTGGTGAGTGGGGAGATGGCTTAGTAGGTAAGGTGCTTGCTGTGCAAGTGCAAAGACCTGAGTTTGAATCCTCAACCCATGTAAAGCTGGCCACACTAAGGGTGAGCTCACTTCTGCAGCGAGATGGGAGGCAGAGACAGAGAACCCTGTAAGGTGGTGAGCTAGCTAGCCGGGTACACAATGCAGCAGCGAACAACAAAGAGGCCATGTGGGAGGTGAGAATGGACACCTGGGATTGCTTTGACCTCCACATGTGTGCCATGGCCATGTGTACACTCCTCTCACACACACAAACACATGCACACACAACGTACACACACCCACATTAAACAAGAAAGGGTAGTGGTACTTTGTTACTTCAAAATCATACCATGTTATTAAAATACTAAAAAGTTTACACTTTGTCCCTGAATTTATCCAAAGTTATTAAATGCCCATTATCATTTAAAGCTTTACCTACAGCACACAGACCCAAGTGTTTTAGGGCTGCAAAAGTACAAATGAGAAGAAATAAAAATTTACAAGTAGAATTATTTTCAACTAGAGGAAGTTATGGAGTGACCTTACTTTGTAGGTCACATTGACCTTCTTTATACTGTACAAATGATAATGCTGTCTGCCAGAGGAGCCCACCATCTCACACACTGACATGATGCCAGTAAAGAAAGGAAGCATTCTATTAACTGTGATTCTCAGCTATTCCAAAAGAGAGATTATAAAGTCTGTTGGTTTTTCTGCAAGTAATTAGTTGAAATTCATTCCTGTGTGAAATTAAACTGTGTCACAAATAAAAATAGTTACTTAAGAGTTAGATGCCTATGTGTAAAGTACTGTGCCAGAGACTCAGGGTACAGGTCTTCCATGAAACTTAACTACAGCAGAGAACACTTCTGTAACTGAACTCGGCAGTGCTCTGTCTCAGAGTACTGAGTGTCACAGTCTGGAGACGACCTGGAATTTTTTTTTTAAGCTCCCAGATGATCTCATTTGCAGACCCAGATCAAAACCAGAAAGACAGGGTGGAGTGGTGTGGGGGGATGGCATTGCCACACCAAATCCAGTAGATTCTGTGTGACAAGTTCCACAGACTGAGGCGATAACTTCAAAAGAAGGAGGTCTCCTGGAAATGGTTGTGGAACTCTCGACCAGAGAAAAATATTGAGCTGTAGTTCTCATGGCAATCTCTGTTCCTCTATTCTTTTCTTTCTTTTTTTTTTTTAAGATTTTATTTATTTATTATGTATACAACATTCTGCTTCCATGTATATCTGCACACCAGAAGAGGGCACCAGATCTCATAACGGATGGTTGTGAGCCACCATGTGGTTGCTGGGAATTGAACTCAGGACCTCTGGAAGAGCATCTGAGCCATCTCTCCAGCCCTCCTCTATTCTTTTCTATATTAAAGAAATGTTCCTGAAAGCCTATGCTGACATTTTTTACAAAAGATAGAAATGAAAAACCGTCCCCTGAGACGTGGTCACTGACCATGACCTCATCTCCAGGAAAACCAGCACTTTTCAAATCACTCACGTCATTCACTTAAGTACAAATAGTATTGACGAAAACTTGCCCAACAATAAAATTTCACAGGGCTGTACAATTGTAATTGAGAGTAGGTTTAAACGTGTGGTAAAGAAAGTTTTTTGATAAGAAAAAGTCAAAAAGCTCAATATTTCAAAGATTCACAAGAGGTAGGCAACAAATGTTAAACAATAACTGATCATAAAAATTTATTTAACCTGATCTTAGAAAATAGGCACTTAGCTGTGATTAGCCTTGAATGATTTTCTGATTCATTGTTAGCTTTGAATAAGTTGTATGTTACTGTGCCTAGTGACAATGATGCTATTTGTTCTATCTGGGTTTGTTTCAGTGAACAAATTCTGAGAAGCTATGCTTTATCCTGATAAAAAGCCTTGCTTGAAAGCTGCAAAATACACTCAGATTCAAACTGCCTGTTTGTTTCTGTTTGTCACTGCTAGATCCTTACCCACCTAGTTAGTCTTCAAGAACCCTCATCCCAGGGACTCCCATACCCAGCTGGGGAGGTTCGTGGCAGGGAAGAAGCTGCCCAGCTAAAACACAGAACAGAAACCGTCTTAGACGAACGCAGTCTCCTGATTACAGCATGTTTATGTCTAATATAGAAGCAGTGGTCTGCATCAATAGACTCTTCTATTGAACTGATTTTAAAAACAGGAAATCTAATCTACTTTCCAAAAATAATGAGACAATCATAGCAGAAGTCAGACATAACACTGCAACTTATTCTTTGAACACTAGGTTTTATGCCTACATTTTAAAAAATCATTCATTTTTAAGTTATTAATGAGATTTAATTTTTTCCAACTTTTTTTTATTTGAATTAGAAACAGGATTGTTTTACATGACAATCCCAGTTTCCTTCTCCCACACGTCCTCCCCTACTCCCTCCCAACTAAAACCTTATCTTAAAACTAAAACGTATCTTTTCTGCTCCCCCTGGATGGTGAGGCCTTCCATAGGGTGTCATCAGTCTTTTGTATCCTTTGGGATAGGGCCTAGGCCCACCCCCATGTGTCTTGACTCAGGGAGTATTCCTCTATATGGAATGGGCTCCCAAAGTCCACACCTATGCTAGGGATAAATACTGGTCTACTACAGGAGGTCCCATAGATTTCTGAGGTTTCCTCACAGAAACCCATGTTCCTGGGGTCCGGATCAGTCCCATGCTGGTATTCCAGCTATCAGACTGGGGAGCAAGAGTTCCCGGATGTTCAGGTCAGCTGTTTCTGTGGGTTTCACCAGCCTGGTCTGGACCTCTGTGCTCTTCACTGGTCCTTCTCTGCATCTGGGTTCCAGTTCAGATCGGTGATTAGTTATGGGTGTCTGCTTCTACTTCCATCAGCTGCTGGATGAAGGCATATAAGTCAGTCATCAATCTCATAGTCAGGGGAGGTCATTTAAGGTAGCCTCTCCTCCGTTGCTGAGATAGTTAGCTGGTGTCATCTTTGTAGATCTCCAGACATTTCCCTAGTGCCTGATTTCTCTGTAAACCAAAAATGTCTCCCTCTATTATGATATCTCCATTCTTGTTATTGTGTATTCTTTCCCTGACTCATACTTTGTGCTCCCTCATGTCCTCGGCATCCCTCTTCTTCTCCCCTTCTCATTCTCCTAGCTCCCTCCCCCCTCTTCCCGTGCTCCCAATTTGCTCAGTAGATCTTGAACTTCTCCCCTTCTCCAGGGGACCATGTATATCTCTCTTAGGGACCTCCTTGTTTATTAGCTTCTTTGGCAGTGTGGATTGTAGGCTGGTAATCCTTGCTTTATGTCTAAAATCTGCATATAAGTGAGTACATACCATGTTTGTCTTTTTGCGATTGGGTTACCTCGCTCAGAATGGTTTCTTCTAGATCCATCCATTTTCCTGCAGATTTCAAGATTCCATTGTTTTTTTTTCCACAGAGGAGGAAACCATTGTGTAAATGTACCACATTTTCTCTATCCATTCTTCGGTTGAGGGGCATCTAGGCTGCTTCCAGTTTCTGGCTATTACAAATAGTGCTGCTATGAACATCGTTGAACATATGTTCTTGTATGAATGTGCTTCTTTTGGGTATATGCCTAAGAGCGGAATTGCAGGATCTTGTGGTAGACTGATTCCCATTTTTTTGAGGAGTCCCCATAGAGATTTAATTTTTTTTAAAGGACATTGGGGCAGGAGAGCTGGCTCAGCATTTAATAGTAATTGTTCTTGCCAAGGATCTGAGTTCTGTTCCCAGCACCCATCTCATGTGGTTTACAGCAGCCCATAACCACAGTTCCAGGGCATCTAATGCCCTCTTAATGACTCCCTTAGGCACCTGCAAAATATGGCATATACTTAGACAGGCATACACATAAATAAAATAACACATTTGAAAAAAAGGGTAATATACCCAATCAGCAACTATGCCAGAATCTGTGGCCAATATTTTTTTCACATCTACTTGCCCTTCTCTATGTATATACTTATTTATTTATATATTTTTGAGGCAGTAGTGTGGTCTTGAACATCTCTGGGGGAGGAGCTGTCATTTTGCAGACTTTCTGAGACTGGGCAGGGTTCCAAATGAGGTGGCCCCTGATACAGAACTCCATCTAAACAATGACATTAATACTGCCTGAGCCTTCTGAGTCATTGGACTGCTGGTATGACATTCTTGCTACCCATTGTGCTTGTTTTGTGTTGCATGGATATACACCATTTGTGTGACTGATCCTCACAGTATTCAGAAGATGGTCTCAGAATCCCTCAACTTGGAATAATGGGTAGTTGTGAAATCCCTCAATTGTACTGGTAATTGAGCCCACCTATCTGCAATACCAGAGCTCTTAACTGCTGAGTCATCTCTATTGCCCTATGCTGTTTATTTATGATCAGCATTTACATTGCTAATGTTTTCATCTGTCCTGTTGTAACTGTTTAAACACACATCCCTTTTAGTGAGATCTTGTTAATGTTATAGTTTAAAGTAGGGCACTTGAGGTTTCTGGAAGATGAATACAGAACTGGAGTATTGAATGCATAACTCTTTGTAGGAACTTCAGTTAAAAGTGTTTAGTTAGAACCTCCAGCTGGACCCTACATGATCTAGAAAGCCCCATTCTAGTCTCTATTTCCAAACACCATTCTCTTAGAAAATATCCAGCAAAGAAAAGGTTCCATAAAGCCCAGTTCCACATTCTTGGAGAGGATTGCAATTTCCTCCCATCTTGCTGCCAGCAGCCCAAGTCCCCACCTAAGCATTCCAGTGTTTGACAATACTTGGGCATAAATCCTACTTGTAACTTCACCTACAGGCTATATAATCTCCCTGCTTTAGTTTTGGGGTGTGACTTCTCTGGCCTCGATATTTGGCCTGGAGAATCCACCCAGGAGTTGCTTTGCTCAAATAAACGTGTTGTTACTTTTTTAATTCAGCCCTATCTGGCTTACTGTGTCAGCAGAGAAACCTATTATCAGGGTACAGAAAACCTATTTAAAACCTCTGATTTCTTTCTACTTCTTTTGTTTGTTTAACTGATTTTTATTGGGGAGATACCTGATTTTTGACAAAGAAGCTAAAATTATAAAATGGAAATAAGAAAGTATCTTACACAAATGGTGTTGTCATAACTGGGTATAGAAGAATGGAAATACAGATCTGTTACATGATAAATAAAAGACCCTGAGACAGACATTGGGGTTCAACCTGAAAATCAGGGAAGCAAAGAAGCCAAGCTACCAGAGAGTTCTTACCTCTAACAGGGCTGCAATAAAATGAGATCCTGCTTCAACAAGTCTTCCAATTCAGTGTCGTTCTCTCCGGTAACTAGGAGGGGGATCTGGGTCCTTAACACTCTCCATCCTGCTCAGCCCCAGGAAGAGACCGGATGAACTGGCCCTTCTCTAGCCCTACCTGCCTGAGGACCCAGCACAGTAGCATAGACATTGAGGTCCCATTGAATTAATGGGACCTCCTGAAACTGAGAAGCTTCCTTAAAGCAAAGGACACAGTCAACAAGACAAAACAGCAGCCTACAAAATGGGAAAAGATCTTCACCAACCCCACATCTGACAGAGGGCTGACCTCCAAAATATACAAAGAGCTCAAGACACATCAAAAGACCAAATAAGCCAATTAAAAAATGGAGTACAGATCTAAACAGAGAGCTTTCAACAGAAGAATCGCCAATGGATTAATGGCACTTATGGAATTGCTCAACATCCTTAGTCATCAGAAATGCAAATCAAAACAACTCTGAGATACCATCTTACACCTGTCAGATGACCAAGATCAAAAATTCATGACAGCTTATGCTGTAGAGGATGTGGAGAAAGGGGAACACTCTTCCATTGCTGGTGGGAGTGCAAACTTGTACAACCCCTTTGGAAATCAGTATGGTGGTTTCTCAGAAAATTGGGAATCAGTCTACCTCAAGACCCAGCAATACAACTTTTGGGCATATACCCAAAGGGTGCACACTCACACCACAAGGACATTTGCTCAACTATGTTCAAAGCAGCATCATTCGTAAGTACCAGTAACCTAGAAACAACCTAGATGCCCCTCAACCAAATAATGGATAAGGAAAATGTGGTACATTTACACAAGGAACTACTACTCAGTGGTAAAAAACAATGACATTTTGAAATTTGCAGGCAAATGGACAGAACTAGAAAAAGTCATCCTGAGTGAGGTAACCCAGACCCAGAAAGACAAGTATAATATGTATCATAAATAGATATTAGATCTAAAGCAAAGGACAATCAGCCTACAGGCCACAACCCCAGAGAATCTTAAGTAACAAAGAGGGCCCTAAGAGAGACATACATGGATCTGCCTAGCAAGGGGGAAAAGACAAGATCTCCTGAATAAATTGGAAGTTTGAGGGTAGGTGGAGGGTAGAAGGAGAGAGGGGAGGAAGAAAGGGGAGTGGGAGGAAAAAGATGGTTGTATGTGTTGGGAAGCTTCACCCATCTCACTCCTTCCATTCCAGATCCTGCCCCTAAGAAAGCCCACTGTAGGCAGCTCCTACCTTGGAACTGTTCAAGACTGCCTATAGGCTATGTTAGTCCTGGCCCATAGATCTGCCACATGCTCTCCCTCCTGCCTTCCGGGAGTGCTCTGATTTGCTTTGGTCTGTTTATTAAAACTGGATTTATTAATTTGACTTGATTTGGCTTATCACATCGGCAGAGGAACCTAATAACCTGGGACCCAATACTTATCAACTCTCAACACTGAGCAACAGCTAAATAAAAGGAAGTTGAATTGAAACTGTATAAGATAATTACTAAATTAATACTTCCTTAGTATAATCTGTTAAACTAAACCTTAGAGAAAACACAAGACAGCCTTTATCTAATACATGCCATCACTACTATAATCATGCTTTCAGTTTTTCATGGGTGTATTTAGGCAATACAAAGAAATAGCAAATACATACCAAAACATTGCATTGATGCGAACCGCATCTAATTCAACACAATTAAGAAATCTCTCTTAAAACTGTGATGCCCAGCTTACTGTAGTGAGATTTTTACACAGAGGGTCTCTCTATCCTCTCCATGGATGAGCATCGGTAGCACAAATTCTAATAAGTCTTACTAATAAAACAAAACAAAACAGGAATCAGATATTAGGGGGGAAGCTGAAAGATCAGAGAAACAAAGTAGCCAACCACTGGGGAGTTCTTACCTCTACCAAGGCTTGGACCAAAGGGGCCATCCTGTCCTCAGACTGCCTCCTCAGACTGACTTAACTCCTGTCTCCTGTATTATATTTCTCCTTAGTGTTGGGATTAAAGGCGAGCACCACCACTGCCCAGCCTCTATGGCTAACTAGTGTGACTGCTGTAATTAAAGGTGTGTGTCACCACAGTGGCCTGGCTTCTGTGGCTGTCTAGTGTGACTAGCTTTGCATTCTGATTTTCAGGCAAGCTTAATTTGTTAGATCATAAACATTTAACCACAGATGTGTGACCAATAATGATATACATAAAAGATGAACCATCATTTACATCCTAGCATCCTAGTTTCTAATAGGCCTGGTTAACATACTACTTATCTTTGGGGTATTTTAGAGGCAGCCCTCCCTTAGCTAAATTCTCCATTGTGTGACTCACTGTTTCCGAAGCATTTATAAAACCTTTATATCACCAATTCTACTCTTGTACATCAAAGCTTCAAAGTGGAGTGCTACCCAGTACATGAGATGTCATTTACAATTTCCACAAATTAACTGCAAATGGATCTTAGACCTAACTGTCAAATTCAAAGTGTAGAACTTCTAGAATATATTTGAGAAACTAGGTCTCTCTGAGTTTGGCAATCTGCCTGTGCCTCAGGAGCTTTCTTTTAGGGGCTGATGTATAGAGCCAAAACAGAACTCCTTCTCCAAAACTAGAAATATTCTTGGGAGAGCTAGTCAAGATCTTGGGTCAGTCTTTGTGGAGGGGTTTCTTCAGACCCCAACTCTTTCCACACATGGGGCTGTCTATAGTTATCACTCTCAATACCACTGTGGATCATTTTTTATAATGTTCTTGAGATACCCTGTTTTGTTTTGTGCGATTTTGTCTGATTAGCTTCCTTCTGTATTTGTATACTTCCCTTTAAAACGGAGGCTTGAGACTTGCTGTTGATTGAGTTCAGCAGAAATCTCCCCCGGTCTGGGATACGTATATGCTGGGGTGGAAGCCAGGGCTGGATAGCACTGTGTGAGTCCTTCAGTTCCACCGGTCCTGTCACTCAGGACTCACTAGCCAATCAAAGCCTCCAGCGGACTCGCCAGTCAGATGGGAGGGATCTTCCGGGCGCTGGGCTCAGCTCCTCTGCTGAGTAAGTCGGAAGTCGGCCTGTGTCTTGGCTGTGGGCTTGCTTCCCTGTGGGGAGCTTGCGAGCGAGCTGCTCAGCAGCGCCATGGTGAGTGAGGGATGCTGTCCCCGGAGTGGGAGGAGTGGCCGGCTGTCCCCTGGCTGGGTAGGAAGGAGCCGGCGGCCAGAAGCAGTGTCCTGATCATCACTGCGTGTCCCGTGTGGTCCGTTGTCCTTGCAACTCCTTGGGCCAGGGAGGCAGCCTCCTAATAACTTCACTAAGAAGAGGTCACTGTGAAATGCTGGCGTTTGTAGTGCTTGTATTGTCACTATGGAAGGCAGATTTGCCCAACTGGGAGAGCTCTGATATCTTCCAGAAGTTCTGCACTTCTACCTTTTAGGTTTAGGTTTAGGATGTGATGTGATGTGATGTGGAAGAGTAAACTTGATGGTAATAAAATTGATGGCATAAGGATTTACCCATTCTTAGGATACATTAAATCACAAAGTAGAATGAAGCAAAGAGCGGATTGTCTCCCAGATGTAAGCATTTTGACGGATTGGATGGGATGGACAGGGATGGATTCTGGCACTCGGGAGCCAAAGAATACTGAGTGTTACAGCTCGGATAGAAAGATATTCTGGCAATTGGGAGCCAAGGAATAGCACAGGTCACAGCAAAGCATAGCAGCTTATAGCTCTGTTGCAGGGAGAGGCTACCCCTCTCCCTGTATCAGCCCTGCTCCAAGCAGGAGAGGGCTTCTCCAGCAGCGGCTCCAGTCTCCCCCCTACCCCCACCAGTGAGAGGAGAGAGGAATGTAACAACTCTGCTCTGCCCAGAGAAGGTTTCCTCAGGCGAAAAGCGTTACTTACAGTCCTGCTCTGCTCTGGGTCCTCTCTGCTCTGGCTGAAAGAAGGTCTCACCTAAAACTCATTTCAAGAGATTTATTGGGAGGGAAGAATCCAGGAGAGTGGCAGAGGACAGCAGGGCAGCCCGAACAGCCACAAGCTGAACAGACACAGGGTTTATATAGGGCTTCTTAGGGGGTGGAGTTTTTTCAGGGTGGGGATTGGTCAGATTTCTATCCCTCAGCTCAGACTGGCTAGATCTCCTGCTCAGGGATCGGTTAGTTTTCTGCACAGGCTTAGGGTCAGATTTGGCTCTGGTTTCAGGGCCCAAGTGCGGTTCTTTCACTGGTCCCTTTTAGCCTTTTGGCTCTAATTTTAGGGCCAGGTTGTATTTCTTTCACTGACTTTGATTCCAGGGACAAAGTGTGTTTCTTTCACTGGTCCCTTTTAGCCTTTTGGCTCTAATTTTAGGGCCAGGTTGTATTTCTTTCACTGACTTTGATTCCAGGGACAAAGTGTGTTTCTTTGGCACTGGTTTCAGGGTCAGGGTGTGTTTCTTTGGCTGGCCCCTTTTCCCTACACCAATTACCCCAAAGATAAGTACTGTGATAACCAAGCCTTTTAGAGACTAGTATGATAAAATGTAAATGTTTGTTCACCATGGTTAACCAGCCATTAAGCTACAATTCCCATAACAAAGGAGACAACCCTAATTTACAACCAGCCAAAAGGATATGTCATCCCCCAGCAAAGAACAGACCTCTATCATGCTGCTCAGGTGTCCTATACAGGTTCACAACCAACCTTAAGTCCTGGTGTGACATAAAGGCATATTAGTTCTAGAACAGCTGCATCTCCAGCCTTTCTGAAAAGTAGTTTTGAGTCAAGGTCTCCTATGTTGATTGAGATGGAAACCTGTTTGTAGCCCCACAGGACACTGCGCTTGCTATCCTCCTGACTAAACACCCTAAATTCTTGGATTACAGGTGTGTAGCACCACAGAGTTCTAAAATGACCAGTTTGAGTCACATAGTAGACTGTCCATTGCAGTAACAGGGAAAGGATTTGTGTTTGGAGCGGGGCTTCTCAGTTCAGATCAGAAATGGAGGAACAATGTACTGGTTACACTACAGGAGAAAACAGACTAGGCAATAGCTAGACCACAGACGGAAGTTTAAGGCAGTGAGCCACAGGGTCTCCATTATAAAGAAGGTCCTGATGGGGCAGGGTGAGTGACTTTTTGTGTAATTTCCCTGCATGTATTAATTCCTTCCATGTGCATGAAGACAGACAGAATTGATGCGTGTACAGTTTAGGGAGAGTAGCTTGAACTACTGAGTATTCAATTTTCAGTTAGAGAACTCTCCTATGTAGATGTGTACAATCCTGTTTGACACAGTTAAGTCAGCTAAGAGGTTTGAGACACAGACCAATGGCACTCAGCAGCTAATAATGTTCATGGGACAAAGTCATACAATGCCTTATTAATGGCATTCTCTCTATCAGGGAAGTACCTACTCTGTTTCAAAGTTAGTATAGCTAAATGTTCTTCCAATTATGCTTATCATTTTAAAGTCAATTATTGGTTTCATTTTTAAAATTTCACTTTCTTTAAATTCATTACAGCTCTAATCTCTATTTGTTTATATTTTCAGTATTTCCTTTAAGAATTTCATTCCATTTTTTTCTTAAGTGCTATTATTTATTTATGTCAGTTTAGAACAGTGGTTCTCAACCTGGGGGGGAGGTGTGTGGAGGCTCCCTTTGGGGGATCAAAGGACCCTATTACAGGAGTGGCCTAAGATCATTAGAAAACACAGACATTTATATTACAGTTCATAACAGTAGCAAAATTATAGTTATGAAG